ATTTATCAACATGAACACCAAAGATTCTTTCTTTATGAACATTAGCATCATATTTTTCTTTTTTATCATTATCAACAACGAATCCTGGGAATCTTCTGTTATTGTGTGGAATGTGAATACCACCATCAGCTGCTCCTTTTAAGGCAGCAAATACTCTATTTCCGAGTGTTGATCTAACCAAACCAATATCAAGAACAGCAAAGAATGGTCTTCTTTCTGGATTCTCTTTATCAGCTACATCATACAATGTTCCATCTATTGTTTTATTACCTTCATAGAATTTATCCATCTTTAATGATTTAAGTGTTCTTCTGGCTAATAATAAACCTGTGGCATATGCAGCAGCATAATTTGTTAAACCACTTGTCAAACCAAATCTCTTCAATTCAGTTGATTCAGCAGCTGCTACTACCTTATCACCTTTCAATGTTGCATAAATGACTTAGCATATGATCTTTGTATTTGTGTGTCTGACAACGAATCTGTATTTTGGTGAATTGTATTTATCCTTATCTTATGTGATCATTCTGCTTCTTGCATAATAATCAGTCTTTCCTTCTCGTCGTCTTCTGAATTTTGTTTAGAATCTTTTGAAGTATGGTGTTCCTTTTACAAGTTTAACAAATGCCATTAATTATTAAAAAGATTTGAATTTTTCATAAATTATACACAAATACTTATATATATATTTATTATCTTAATTGTTAAATTGCTATCCACTTTTATCATATTAACTAAATTTCTTAGTAATTCGATTTCATCTTTTTGCTCTTATCAATTCAATTTAATTAATCTCTATATTAGTTCCAATAAAATATTTGATTTCAACCATCAACTAAAATATCAAAATTAAATCATTCATATTTTATACTCATAAATTTCAATCATTTATACATTCTACTTTTTGATAATAGATTTATTTATAGATTTTATAAATTTAAGAAAAAAATAATGTAAAATATTAATATTAAAATTTATCTTCAATAATGAAGCAAATGTTGGGGTTTACTCGACAATTTGTTCATTTAATTATATAATAGAAAATAAATAGTTTAAATTCCAACATAAATGTTATCATTTTATATTTTAACATTTATATGTTCAAAATCACAGAATAATAACATCTACTGTTGTAAAAATTAGCATAGAGTCGCATCGAAGATAAATAAAGACTACCAAACAATTAAATCAGATCTCTTAGACCCTCAATTTTCTTAAATGATATAAATAGTATTGTAGATGGTTCTTTGCCTTCTATTTAATAATCAAAATAAGACTAATAAGAAGGATTATCTAATAAACATCCAGAAATCATATAAATTTTATCTGAAAGAGAATATGTTAAACTCCCAAAAATTGGAAGATTCTCTCATATTCTAAAATCTCCCAAAACTGAAGTTAATTAGTAGAAATTATTATCACTCTAAAACTCTCCAATCAGAAACAATTCAGATCCTTAATAGATAGGAAATAAATATTTTTCAAAAACACCTATAAAAAATGCTGAAGTTCTAGTTTTATAAACAAATTTAAGTATTAAGAAAAAGAGTGTCAAATTCAACCCTGAAATTGAAACAATTAATGAAGCAGGGTTTATTGAAAGAGAAATCATAGAAATCCCCAAGAGATAAAGCAGATTCAAAAGAAACAATTGGAAACTTCACACTTAAATAAACTGAAATTCTTCAATATCTATAAATAATTATTATCACAGAAAATTCTCAAAGTTATTAAGCATCTTCTTCAGTATTTAATTCTTTTTAATCATTTTATGATCCTTATTAATATTCCTCATTCAATTATAATCCCTCATTCTACTTTTACTATTATTCTCCTTATCCTTATAATTATTCAAACTATTATAATTCTTAAGATTCATTATTTTAAATTAATTCAGTACTTTAATCAGCTAAAAGATTAGCTTCTGAATTCTCATTTAAAGATAATTCTTAAACTTCTTCAACTATATTTACATCTAATTCTTTTTATAATTATGCCTATTATAATTCCTCTTATTTTTTTATAAACTATTATTTTTCTTCTCTCAATTATTTCAAGATTTCTGGTTCCTGTTATACTTGTCTTTATGGAATTTCATCATCATCAATTTCTTCTAATTAAGGTTCCTAACTAATTGTAGATTACTAATTATTAATTGAATTATCTTATTAATTAGACTCTGATTCTTGAACTTTAGTTTCTATAGTTGGTGTATATTTTATAAGAGACTTGATTGTTTTGTCATTTTATAATGAATTATAGATATCTAATAATTATTAATTCTTTGATAGTTTTCCTATTTAAATCAAAATAAATTAATTACCTTAATTTTTTTAATGATTATCTAAAGCCATATATAACATATATTTGACACTTTAAACTTTATCTAATGCTAATTCTAATAAAGGTTAAAGAAGATATTTCTCAAAAATGTCATCTTCTAAATTCATTATCTTTGAACACATTTAAACAAAACTTAAGTTATATAAAATAATATTTACGATTATCTTTGGTAGAAAACTGATGACTTTTAAAAACCAATCATACTTTCTATAATGCATATTTTATATTATTCAGACAAAGGTGAATTTTTTATTCCTTAAAAAAATGAAAATATTTTTGATGACGCTATTTTTCTAACTTATGCTACATTATCTGTACATAACTTAAATGCAATAGGCATAATCATTTTAAATATAATATCTGCTGGAAATATAAGAGCCATTTCATCTAATTAATTAGCAATAGATTCTCTAATTCTCCATTTTTTTTGATCTTTTTAAATAAAAAAAAATATTTCCAAAAAAGCTTCTTTTTTTTCATCAGAAAATATTTTTAAAAATTACGATAAATTTTTAACACAACCCATTAGGACATTATCGTTTGGTTCTTTAACAAAAATATTCTCTAAAATAGGAAATAAATCTATTTCAGCTCTTTCAGCGCCAATAATTTTAGCAATTTCATGAAGACTTGCTGCTAAAGTTTTACAAATTCTTTCATTTTTTTATTTCCATAAATGATTAAATAATTTATGCAATTATTACCATCTTGCAACTCCAACTGTCTATAATACTGCAGGAAAACCATAAGCACAAGCAAACATTACTTATTATTCAGGTAGTAATTCTCTAATATCTGAATCAGCCATTTTAAGGTAATTTTCAATTAATTTTGGTTCAATTTTCTCTTTTTCAATAGCCGCAATAAATCTAGCTAAACATCTATATGCAACTCCCTTTATATACTTATTTGAATCACTAAAAATGTAATTATCTCATTACTTCTAGAATTGTAATATCTGAGGTGTTAAATCAACAGTTTTTTAATTTTATGATGATAATTCAACAATCTATAAAAAATGTTCAACACATGCAGTTTTTACTTTAGTATTTGATTCTTTACATCTTTTCATATAGAATGGAAATAATTTTTTATTAAAAAAGTCTTTACCAACTACTTTCGCTACTAAAGGTAATTAATTTACTGCTTCTCTTCTTACATCTTATTTTGAATCTTCTCCTAGAGACATTACTTCAAATGCAATAAAAGATTCACTTAATTAGATTCCAAACATTGATGACAGCTTTCCCATTAATTACAAAGCCACTATTCTATTATCTTAATTAAGATCATCATGTGCCATCTTTATAATGATTGGTAATAATTAATTTCCTTTCTCATCTCCTTATAAATGAAGAGCAATTTTTGTCAATTAACAACCTGCAAGTTCTTTGATTTTCAAAATACTATTCAACAAAAAAAAGCTTAAGATTTGTATTACAGGTTATTAAGCTTAATGAGATCCTTCATATATTAAATTAAGTTATTCTATAAACATGATTTAAAATCTTTCATCTTCATTTTTCTAAAATAATTATTAAGACAATATTACATATTTTTCCATAATCAATGCCAATTTATCAATTGATTTTTATCCTAAATTTCTTACACAATAACTTATATGTTTAGTATAGTTTTCCTTGTCTATATTAGTCATCTTATGAATGTTAAGTAATTTATTAAGTAGCTAATCTTAATCATCATCTAAAATAAAAGAATGAATATCGCCTTGCTTCTGATTCAAGAAAAATGCTTCTTCCTTCAATATTTAATTCATTATAGATCTGTCATCTGATTTTTGTTTGGGAGAAATTTTAATATTATACATATTTTTTAAATTAATATTAAGCTTTTAATGTTTACATCATTAACTTTTCTTTTTTGATATTTATTTCCTTTAAACTTATAATTGCTTTCTATTATTTTCCTTTTAAGGTTCTTCAATCTATTATTATTAATTTTAAGTCTTCTTATTTGATGTCTACTGTTTCTAAGTTTTTTTAACTTTATTTTTGAAATTTTTCTGTTTGCTTTTTGAATTTTATTTTTTTTATTTATCCTTTTCCCAATCTAATTATTTATAATACAAATTTATTTCATTTCTAAATTTTCTGAATATAAATAAAGTTGCTCTTGCATCAATCTCAGAACTATGCTATCCTTATTAAATATTTTGACCCAAATATTTCAAACACATCTTTTTTAAACCCTCATATTATTTCTATTATTACTTGATCCTTCTTCTAACTTTAAAAAGTCTATTTTCATCAAATCTCTTGTTTGGTAATCCTCAATATTAAATTCCATAGCATCAAAATCGCTCTTTAAAGTATGACCAATTATTGTCTTATCTTATAGATATTACTTTATTTTATACCTTTAAATAAAAGTTAAAGTTTTTATTTTTCAAAGTCATTGTATATTGGTTTATCTTTAATTATTTATGGAGTAATCCCAGATATTCGTGTAATATAATTTATCACCTTAAATCTTGGTTTATAGTATTGATCCAAGACAACATAACCATTATAATTAACAACTGTTATTCTGGCCAACATTTAAACACTAGCACCAATCTCATTTTCACATTCCACCATTTCACAATCTATAGCTAAAATTGAGCCTGTTTGATTCTGACTCCCAGGAACAGGGAATCTTACGTCGAATTTTTACATTGCTTCTGTTATAGTTTAGACTTTTTATGATTCTTAGTCAACTTATTTTAGTTACACCTTATTGAACATAATTAAATTATAATAAAAATAATTTCTTTTATTTATTAATTTTCAAATAATGATAAGTATTTTAACATTTTCAAATGATTTTACTAAAATTTTGATATTCTTATAATTCCTCCTAAATACACTCTCTTTAAGAATCATTTGATTTTTTCAAGAAATTATTTATGTTTTAAGAATTCTATTAGAAATAAAATTTATAAATCAAATGTTCATCAAAATTTATTTAAATTTACTTAAAATTGAAAATTAACTGAAACTATTAGAAATAAACTTATTAATAAAACTTAACGACATATTTGTGCCATATGTGTCTATATTCTTATTGAATATTGAGTCAATTTTTTCTTTAACTTAACTTTTATGCGAGACTTTGATATCCAGAATTAATTTTTCTGTATTTAGATAAAATTATGTCCAATATAGAGATATTTTCATAAAAATAATTTTAAAAAACTTCTTTCTCACTTTTCTTTCAAACGAAATAATTAGAAAAACCCTGTATTTAATCTTCTCAAAACTGGTAGCTTAAGTATCTTCATATAGTTTTAGATATTTATTTTAATATATTCATTGTATCTTAATAAATCTATTTTATATTATAATTTTTAATATCATTCTGGATTTTTTATTAAGTTACTCTCCACATGAATCACAATCGACTATTTCTAAATCTAATTTATTTATCAAGAATTCCAAATTAAAGTCTTTTCGCATAAGTGTCAAAAGTACTTAATTAAGATTTACGTATTAAACATAATTGCAATATGAAAAAATCAATTTTCTTAAAATATACTATTGTTTCATTATTTATCTTTTATTATTGATTTAAATATAATAAGATGAAAATTTGATAATTGAAGAAGAATTTATTTAATAATCATATTATGAGGAATATTTTATACCAAGAAAAGAAGAAATTAAATATTTTACATTAATTTTATATAAAATATTAATCTTAAAAATGAGCATGTAAAGAAAAAGCCATTCTCCTGAATTACGAAAAGAGTTAGCATTAAAATTATTAAAAAATGAAAAGCATCCTTTTGTTTCCAAATAATCTTAATCGCCAGAAATAAAGATGACCAGGTCTACAGTATTATAAAAGCGTAAGCCTTAAGATCATCCTGTTAATTCACCTATCATTGAAGATTTGTTAAGGCAATGTAAAATGTTGGAGGAATTAGTTAAGAAGTCTAAAAAGGTAAAAGTTCCTATAAATAAGAGTAGATTATTGATGAAAAAGAAACTAAGATTTAACTCTTACTTCAATTACTTAAACAAAGAGAAAATTGTTGTAAAGAGTTATAAATGTAATCTCATAAACTTATGGAAGAGAGATAAATTTTAATCGAACACATCACTTAATTAGAAAACTAATTAAATGTCTAAGAAGAAGAAGAAGCATGTATGATATATGATTTTATGTATAAGATTCTCAAGATGGATTTTAACAACATATGACTAATTTAAATGATTTAAGACACTTTCTAAATTAAATTCGTCATAGTAATGAAGATATTCCAGTTTTTGTTGATGTTGATAATATGACTTATGAATAACTTCTCTAACTTGAAGATACAATTGGATATGTAAATAGAGGTTTAACCAAAGAACAAATAAAAACTATTCCAAAAATAAACTTTGATCAATGTAAAACAGATGAATAATTGTAAAATAACATTATATAATTTTAAGATGCTCTATATGTTAAAATGAATTCTAAATTACAGATAAATGCAGATCATTACCTTGTCAACATTTATATCATTCAAAATGCATAAAATTATGGTTAGAAAAAGAAAAACATTGTCCGATATGTAAACAAGAATTGGAGATTAATATACCAATCTAGTCTTAGTATTAAACAGAAGAATAAGCTATGTTTGAACAATGAATTAATAAATTATATATCTTATAATGAACAATCGAATATTTGTATTCATTTTTATTGTGGCATTTTACAATCAAATGAATTAAATAATTTCATAGGTCCAAATATTTTTTGTTTTCTTTTTTCAAAATTTTAAATTTGTATTAAAAGATGATAAAGCTTGAGAATTTATTTTAGATAATAGAAAATTAGCATTTTATTCTCTCATAGACTTTTTAGAAATTCAATAATTGTTATTTTAGATTTGCCTTATTTGATTGAACTATATTATCTTAATCTGAATTTAATTTTTAGTCATATTTCTATTATAAATAATTACATTAAGATAATCCAATTATTGTAAGTAATATTTTCTCTTAGAATTAGAAGAATTGTTAAAAATGGTCGAATTTTTTCTTGCGTATACAAAATTTTAGCATTATTGCTTTAAATCTTAATAAATTTTATCATATTTTAGACTTTCTTTCTTTGCTTTTAAGTAAAGATGACTTTATAATAAAAGTTCCTTATTTCAAATGTTTCTCCTACAAGATAATTTTTTCTCCTAAAAATTTTGAGAAGTTTTGTTAGAAATTTGACTACAGTTTATTGAAGTTCGATTCAGCTCATATTAGTTTAATTTTTCACCATCTTTAAATCTGATGAGTTAGAACTTAAGGATCTTTATTTGATTTATTGATTCCCATTTCCCTCTTTATCTAAATAGTGGTTTCTTAGGTTTTATTATTCCTCATCAATGTCTTAAATAAATTAGAAAACTCTAGTTTATTCATTATATTTATTTATATTGTACCATTATATAACTATGATTAATTATTTGAAAAATAGCTTTTATATTGATTCGAAAATTGTTTATGATAGCTTATAACTAATTTCTAATAAACTTATAAATATAAATATCTTATTTAGATTAAGGTCTATTATATTAACAACAGATATTCGCTTAAATAATTTCAAAAAAACTATGATTCACAGTTTTTTTCAATAAATAATGTATTAATTGAAATCAAATTAATTAAAAGAATTAATAAATTTTGATATGATGATCTTCCAATATTAAAAGGAAAGATTTAATATATTTAAATACTTTTTAATATTAAAAATTTTCTGTATTCACAAATATATCTAATAATCATGAGATTTCTATTAATATTAATAGAGACTATGTATTTTTTGACTTTTGTGAGAAATATTGAATGAAATCAAATTAATTCTTAACAAAAATAAATGAAATTTCTTATTGTTAATGGTTATCATGCATCTCGGAACAACTTAAGATTAATTGAATAATTCAAATAGTTAATGTGGGATGTATTAGAATAATTAATTAGATTACACAATAATTAAAAGAAGTTGCGGATATTGAATTTGAGTTCATAATTGTTGATAGACATTCAGTATAAGAATATCTTTTTGAACCTGAAACATCATTTGTTAGACCAGAATATGGATTAAAATTTGATGCACTCGATATGATTTTTATAGCTGCATCACCAAATGTTAGGCCATGGCATCATAGAATGAAAAGTGTAATTATATATAAATAAATAAGATTATAACACTTATTCGAATGTGTTTAAAAACAAAGAAATTACTATTTATGACTTCATTTGGTGCTTAAGCTCTTGCATATTTATGTGCCTCAAATATTTAGAATGTATAAAATTATTATTAATTGTTTAGTATATAAATATTACTAATGGATATGGTGAAGGATGCAAGCTAGTAGATTTTCCAAAATATACAAATTAAGCATTAAAGAATGGGTCTGATGATTTTTTTTTAGATTCAACTACTGGTGATTTATATTTTTATAGTAAATAAACTGATGAATGGATTCCTAAATCTAATGTTGGTATTCATCATCGAAGAGATGCTATGGAATATTAATCTATTGGAAAATTTGTAGTTAAATCTCCTACTTATAAACCAAAATAATAAATGCTCAGTAATTAAACAGAAATGACCTGTATTATTAAAAAATAGTTTTTAAATTATTGGTTGTTTAAAGATGTATCCATGGAATTCTCAATTAAATAATCTAATTCTTGGGATATACATTCTATTACATTCATTAATCCAGAAAAAGTATATTATTACATATTATTATATAGAGATTTTAAGTTTTAGCTGAAAACAATGTTAGAGGACCTTTAATTTTGTAATGTGAAAATATTTTGGCTCTACTTTTTGAAATTGATAATAAATCTAAAGATCAAATTAATATAGTTTAAAATTTTATTGAAAATGCAATCAAAACTATTAGATATTCTTCACATTATGTATTTTTATCCAAATATCTAGAATTAAATAAGTATAACATTTGAAAAATATTTTAATACTTAAAGAGGTATTAAAAACATTGAAATCATATTTGATAAAGCTGTGAAAAAATTAAATCAATTCGATGATTCTATGAAACCTAAGGGTATTGAATATAGAAAACTTATCAATACACAAATCTAAGAATAAGAAAAAGAAAAAGAGAGAATGCATGCTATTTAAGCTGGACTTTTAAATAGAAAACAAAAATAACCAGAGTAAATCTATTTAAATTAATTTAGAGTTGTATCTCATAACAATATTATTTAAAAAAATTATAAGGTGAAAAGAAGAAAATCGTTTACTTAAAAATAAAACTAACTAATGATACTTTCTCAACAAGTTCAAAATCATGAATTTCTTTAGTAAAACCCAAATCTTGATAACTTTTTTTATGATTAATAATTCAAAAGTAGTAGACATATTAAAATGAATACAGAACCAAAACTACACCCTAGAATTAAGTAAGATGAAGATTTCGAGAATGATTAAAAAAATCAAAACCATCAATTTAATCAAATATAAGTTAGAAAAATATTACATCCATCTTTAGAAGAATAATTCTTAGGATAAAGAAAGATTTGGATTCCTGGGTTTTTGAATTATAAATTTTCAGATGTTTAAATAGGTCTTAATTCAGCAAGAAAAGTTAGTAGACCTCTGACTGATCGTTTTTGAATTATTTTTTTTAAGCAATAATTAAATCTTTTATATCATAATAAATCACTTAAAAATTTTAGAAATATAATATGATTACTAAAATTAAGAATATCATTTTTAATAAGAATTAAAATAGCTTTAGATTAACCTTAAGGATATCTAGATTTTTTACTTCCTTAGTTGGGAAAAATTGATATAATTTATCTACTTTAACAATATCATATTTTTTAGAAAATTAGAAATTATAAATAAAGGTTTCAATAAATTTAATAATATATCGATTTCAATTATGAAATTTTAAAGTAGAATTTTGAATTAGTGTTTAATTTAATTAAGGATTTCATAATAATAAAAATTCTAAAAATTTATTAATATGAATCAAGTTTTTTCTTAAATTCAAACGGGACTACTTACAAATTTATCAAGCAAGAAATATTAAGAACCTTAAAAAGAAATTGACATAGAGTTGTAAGATATGACAGATTAACAGAGCTATGTTTTACTTCCAAAAGAATGTAATTTATAAATATTTTCAAAGAAATAAATACTCAATCTAAATAGTAATAGCCTCTAAATAATCAAACATAAACATAAAATTTTGGATAAAATCACTTCTCTTAATATCAAATTTAGGTATATTTACTTTATATAGACATTATTATATAAATTAGAATTAATAATAATTTATTCCACAAAACAGCACTTTAAATTTCTAATATCCTTAGAACAACTAGTAATTTTAATCAAAATAAAATTTTATTTAGTAGATATTTTCCATATTTTAGAAATCACTACGCCGTTTGTATATTTTGCAAAGCTACATAAACTATTATCAATGATTAAAAGCCTTTTATGTGTTATAAATGTCGACAAATATAACAGCCCAAATATGACTTTTTAAAATGTGCCAATTGTAAGGTGACTGTTAAATATCAATAAGGAAGTAAGTAGCTATGATAATTAAAAAGTATCATCCATTATCAAATGTACAAACTGCTAAAAACATAATTAAATATAATTTTAACCTCAGGTACAATATATATAAGGAAAAGAAAAGATTTGAAATATTGTATCAATATAATATATCTAATAAATAAAAAATAATCAATTTTATCTATATTTTTAGAATTTATTAATATTATGGAATTTCTTCTCAAATTTATTCAGTATATAAGAAGCTTGAAAAACCAAAATCAAAACTGAGAAACTATAAATTTATAAATTTATCAAATAAACTAGATTGCTTTTGTTATTAATTTACATTTCTCATAAAAATTAGAATTTTAGTTTTATTGAGCTATTCTAGTTATTTTCATTTAATTATGATTAATTTGCTTTATTATTGTAAATAGCATGAATGTAGACTCAATAAATTTCTATTGAACTCATTTATGAAGTACTCATTTGATTTGTTTAACATTAGATTTGATTTAGAATTGTTTTTAAGTTTTTAAGCCATTATATTTATCTATGAAGTAAACCTACACTTTATCTTTTTAGAGATGATTTTATTATTAAAATTAAGAAAAATGTATAATCATAGAGGATCAAGCTTAGAAAAGACTTTTTTTTGCATATAATTTATGCCATATTTTGAATTTGTAAGCATTCTTTTATAGTTTGACTTAAAATCCAAAATGGAAGAATGAACTTTGATATTTTTTCTTGGAATTCTTTCGCTAAGTGGTTATACATAGCTGTGGTGATTGACTGACTTTAATTTTATAATATTCAAACTTACTTATTTTTAATCAAGATCAGCTAGTGCCATGATGTTTTTTAAAGAGAGTCTGCATTATGCAATTGCAGGAAGCTTTTGAAAAGAAGATTTATCTTTATTCATTCTTTTTTATTTTAATAAAAATATATTTATTTTCTTAAATTAATTGAAATTCAAATCTAATTCCTTTAAGTGATTAAATTCTCTAGGTTTTTTTATTTTTTCAGATAATTTAAAAATTTTTTCATAATAATTCACTTTAGAGAATAAAATTAATAATAATTTACTCTAAAAGAAAAGTAATTTCAAATTGATCTTTTCCTCCCAACATCACAGGGAATTTAAAAAAAATACAATATGAGAAAAAAATTTAGCCTTTGACTATAACATCTTTAACCTTATAGAAATAATGAATAACTTTCATTTGAATTAAAAGTTTTTCAATTAAATTAAAGCTAAAACTTTTTAAGGTTTCTAATCTTTTTAGATTTGTTTTTGAAACTTGATGTAAAAAATAAATAGATGAGAATATTTTAAATTTCTACAAACTAATTTTATTAATATTAATCAAAAAGCATTTGAATTGATAATTCTTTGTCGTTTATAACAACTTAAATAGAATCCTAAATAAATCAATTTTATTCTATAAGCCCATTTAATAAATATTATTTAATATCTCAAAAGAATATAAAAGGATTGTAAAACTATTATTGATCATGTTGCCAATAGGATGTCCAATCTTGATGTATTAGCAATAAATAGGAAAAGTGAGAATAGGCCATATATCAAATATATAGTCTTATGCAATTGCATTAAAAAAGTAATTGAAAATTTTTTTTCCAAATAAACTCCTCATAGCATACATAATAATCATGCTTTTTGTTATAAAGTATCTTTATTTAAAATAAAATTAATAATTATTATTTTGTTACATAATTTTTAATTGAGTTTTGAATTTTATTATAATTTAATTATCTTATTTGGAAAAAAATATAAATGAAAATATAAAAAAACAAATTTTAATGGTGGACTTATAATTTTAAGTATTAGTATATTTTTTTATACTATCCTACATATCAATATTAATTTATAATCTCTATTAGGCTGGTGATTTTGATAATATGAAACATTTTTAATTAAACTATTTATTTTTCATATGAAGTTCCTGCTAAAAAATAAAAATAAGTTATTTATTTAAAATTATTTCGTTTTTTTTGATTAAGATTAATGATCAAAAAAATAAAAAGATAAGTTAATGTATTATTTGTAGTTTATACTGAACTTTGATAATTTAGATAAATAAATTCCTTTTTATTTATGAGAATTTAAAATTAATCTATTAAAAATTGACAAATGATTATGAATCAGAATTAAGAAATTAAATAGATTGATATCAGTTTCAAGAGTTAATTATGCATTCAACAAAAATATTCTCAATTATATATTATTTAGTTCAGCATTAAATATTTAATTTGTAAATAAGATAAAATTCATTCTTGATATTTTTAAGAATTTTAGATTTTGATGAAAAGCATAAATTTGTTAGCAAAGAAATATTGATGAGGATAAGAAAGATGTTTTAAAATCTGGAAAATAAAAATGAATTGAGAAAAGTAAAGACTAAATTTATAGATTTTAGTAAAAATGATAGGGATTCTAAGGATAATGTGTAGAAAATCATTGAAGAGAAGATTTAGATGATATATGAAGAATGCAGGTAGTTGAGATTAGATATAAATTAATATGAAAGATAACATTATAAATAAATAAATTAAAAATGAATAGCATTGATAGTTATCAAAGCAAGGCAACAATGAATGCATAATCAATAATCTCTAAAATAGCCACTCGAAATGGATAAGCAGAGTAAGCATATATAACTATATGTTAGCAATGGGTCATTAATAGCGGCTTTGGATGAGGAAACTGTCTCTGCTGCTTGGAATGCATTCGGTAATAATAAAATAAATATTATAAAGGTCTTCATGTTTCAAGATAATTGCGAATGGGAAGAGGAGTTGCGGTGAACAAATTTGGAACATTTTCTTTTAGTGCTCCAGATGTTATATTGGATGGAGTTACTAATCCAGTAGAAAGAGATAAACAGCCACGTTAACCAGTTTTTCTTGTAGCAAAGGTAGTTGATTAAATTAATGTAAGGAATTTGTTAATGGATTCAATCTAAAAACTGCTATAGCAATAGGTAGATAATTAAGGCCTTACAAAGTTTAGACATCTGGTAAGATCTAACATGCTATTGTAAATTGGGCAGAAATAGCACTATATGCATCATAAAATAAGGATTCAGCTAAAATGGCTGTTGAAAGAGTAATTAAATCATTATCAGATATTGTTCGAAATGTACAAATATTAAATGATAATATTATAGAGGGATGTAGTTGAAGTAGAAATTCCATGTGTAGGTACATTCTTTGTTAAATCTCATTGTGCTGCTGTATAATTTTTAGAATCTCTTATGGAAAATTGTAAAGTAAAATATTGCATTGATATTCTCCTTTGTAGGAAATAACAAAAAGACCTTTGTCAGAAAGAAAATCAAAAGGAGATATGGGATTAACATAATAATACCTTTAATAATTAAGCAAGAGTTAACATCCTGAAGAAAATAATCTTATGATTGATGAGGGTGCCAGAAATTATTTAACTAATTCTCTTGGAATTGAATTACCTGACACAAGACCTAAAACTGCTAAAAATTCATAAGTTTCTAACAAAAAGGGAGGGCTTATGAGTAGAACTGTATAATATATTGATCAATAGTCTTTATAGATTGAAGTAAGACCTTCAACTCAATAGATTTCTAGAATGGGATTCTAAAAGTCAGTTAATGATAAAGTATATTCTTTAGAAAGATTAAAATATTATATTAGAGATCACGCATTAAATATTGAAGATGTAATATCAAAAAAATTATATTATTTAGTCATTTTTAGATCTTTGTTAATAAGCATTTGGAAAAACAAGTGAAAGAAAAATTAGAATGAATTTCGATGACTTTAAAAGAGCTGTTAATAAAATTGATTTGCCTCTTAATGAAATTTAAATTATCACCTTATTTTAAACTTTAGATGTGAATAATGATGGATTCATTGATAAATTTGATTGGCTCAAAGCTATCGTTGATAAAAGTATTATTTGATTTAAATTTAATAGAATCTCATGTTAATTATATAAAGGATGTTGTATACAAATTCTAAATTCACACTGATGATTTATTATAAAGAATGAATTTGAATAGAGATCATCCTCCAGTTAATTTGTAATAATTAAAATTTGCTCTTATGCATTTAGATGAATCTTTAAACTAACATAAAGCGCTTAAAGTAGCGAAAGAAATAATGGATGGAAAAGAAACAATTAGTATGAGTGATTTATTAGCATTATTCAATACTGTTGAAGAAGATGATAAAATGTATGATTTGTCTTGGTTTAAAGATACATTACATAAAATGAGAGGTCATTTAATTGATCCTTAAAAAATGAAAATCTTAAGATCTTCCTTTGAATATTTTGATGAACATTAAGAAGGTAATCTAGATACAGCAAATTTTAAGACTGTTTTAATGGAAAGTTCTTTGGGATTGAATGTTTAAGATATTAATAGATTAGTACGATATCTTCCTAAAAATAGAGACTCATTAATTAATTATTATGATTTTATTTAAATGATTATGGATGTTAACAAATAAATGGATTAAAAAGATACTGCTAAAGATCTTGTTGATTTTGCATAGAAAATTAGTAAGTATTTAACTTAAAAGAAATTCACTGTTATATAATTTTTATAATAAGTAAAATCAGGTTATGGTTCTTGTAATATTGAGTCTACTGCATAATATTTAGAGAAAAATTTGTTTACTTAATTATCTCATGATGAATGTTTAGAATATTGTAGAGAAATGGATGTAGATGGAAATGGTGTTGTTAGTGATGAAGATATGAATATATTCATAAAAAGATATTCATATTTTAATGTACGAAAAGATTAATCTTAAATTGAACAGATTGTTGAAAATTTAAAAATTAAACCATAAACATCAGATAATTTATCAGCTATTGAAAAAACTTGTGTTTAATCTAAATCTATTGATTTGATAACTATGGGATAAAAAAAGATGTTTTAATCTTTGGTTGATGGAATGAATTAATAAAAAAGTTTATTTCCTGTTGAGGAATTACCAGAATCTAAATTTGATTAAATTCTGAAAGATTTAAGAATAAAATTAAATAGAAAAGGAATGTCTTATGAAGAACTTTTCACATTTTTAGATACTGATCATAATGGATTTTTATCAATAAGTGAATTTTAAAATATTGATAAAATTATGACTCTAAGTTAACCAGCCAAAGATGGTTTTTTTGCCTTTATGGATAAATAGAAAATTGGATTAATAGATCAAAATACTTTTGTTAAGTTTTTGAGTAAATCGATTATTTAATAAATGCCATCTCTATCAGAGGATGATTGGGATTGGGAATTGGAAATCTTATTTAAAATAAGAAATTGGTGTTAAAGAGAGAATATTACTATTGAAGATGCTTTTAGAACTTTTGATAAAGATTTTGATGGTTAAATAAACAAAGCTGATTTAAGAACATTTTTAAAAGATATATTAAAAATTGAAGAAAAAGAAATTACTGAAGCTAAAATAAATAGATTATATAAATTGATGGATTAATATAAAAGAGGAAAAATTACATTAATGGATTTTAGAAGATTTGTAGAAGAAGGATTTTTTTATGGTAAAAATAAATAAATATTTGGATAAACAACAAATTTATCAGCAAAATAATAATAGGAATCAAGATCATCTTTTGATTGGAAAATGAATGCTAGATAATAAATAGGATTAATAATAAGTAGACATTATCCAAGTGTAAAAGAGTCTTTTGATATAGTATCAGGATATCGTAAGAAATTAGTATTTTAGAAATTTAAGAAATGGATAGATGAGAAGAATGTTTTATCAGGATTTGATTTAACTGAAAAATTAGTATATGAGATATTTTCAGATCTTGATTCTCATAAAAAGGGATATTTAGTGGAATCTGATTGGTTAAATGCATTTGCATAATACAATTGGTAAGATTAAATGATTAAAGAAATTTAAGATGCTCTTTCTACATATTTTTCAAGTATATAAAATGCAATTCATTATTTTTAAATGGAACATAGTCATGTAATAACAAGAGAGAGTTTTTTTAAGGCTTTATAGGCATTATTTCCAAAAAGATTTGTAGAAGGTGATATTGAAACATTATGGACAAGAGTTTAGAAGAATGGATCATTAAGTAATCATGCATTTGCACTGATATTTGGGAAAGGTGGTAAAGTTTATGAAGTTCCAGAAGGTTAATAATAACAATAAGTTATAAGACCAAAGACTCAAGGGTAATATTAATTTATTAATAATATATTAGAGGCTTAAGTATATTACCAATGGATGAGAGAAATTAAGTAAATATAAATTTGTTAGATAAAATTAGAAGGTTTTTAAGAAATTCAAATAAAAATATAACAGAATTATTTAAATAATATGATGCAGATAATACAGGGTTTATAACAAATTTGGAATTTCGTTAAGTAATAAGAAGTTTGAATATGGGTTTAACATTTTAAGATATTGATATATTATCAGCAATGCTTGATACGGATAGAAATAGTATGGTGAATTGGAGAGATTTTGCTAAGAGATTAGATTTTAGATAAGCAGATAATAAAATATTAGAGAGAGCAGCAATTCATTTATAAAGAGTGAATGATCATATATATCATTATTTATTATCTCCAAAAGATGCATTTAGATAGATAGATGCTTAACATACAGGATATTTAAGTTTTGATAAATTTAAGGATATGATAGAAATGTTATATAGATTGGCAACAGAGGATATTCCTCCATTTGCAATAATAAAAGATTTATTTGAATTTATAGATAAAAGAAGAGATGGTTTACTTGATTTAACAGAATGGATGGATGCATTTTCTAAATTTTCAAATCCTAATGAAAAGAAAAGGTATATTAAATAAAATAATAAAAAGACCAATGAGTGCAAATGTAAGAATGAAAAAATCATCATAAAAATCATTAATGGCATAAACTGATAAAGAATGGATGATAAAACATAGTGTTTAATCTCCATAATAATATGAAGGTTTAACAGATGATGGATTAATAAATGCAACAAATAAATTTAAAACTTTTTTAAGAAAACCTGAAAGTAAATTGACAGCTTTATAATATGTTGGTAATTTTAAATATAATAATAATAAGAAAATGGTATTTGGGAGAGTTCTAAAGAATTTGATAGAACAATAAATGCAATAGGAAAGAATAGAAAATATCTTCTTGAAATATTTAAACATTTGACTTAGAATGGTCAGATTCCACTGACTGAAAATGTATATTTATTTAAATAGATTTGTTAGTTAATAAAATAAGAAATGGATAAAATGCTTAGATCATAAGGAATCGTAGTAAGAGATGAATAATGGCCATAATTAATATCTTGGTCTAAAAAGAATGGAAGAATAGATTATAAATTCTTACTTGAAGTATATAAAGATAGATTAAATGGTATGGATACCTAACCTAGAATGGGGGATGAATGAATGAATGATGAATATTTATTAAAACAGCGGCCAATGTTATATTAATAATTAAATAAATATTTTAAAAAAGCCCTTACCAGCTTTTTAAATCATAAGTCTTTTCCTAGATTGAATAAGTATCGTTTTCAATCTTATATATATTAGTGAGCAGTACCAAAAATAGAGTAAATAAAAAGTCTTAGACTGCCAACAGTTCTAAGTGTCTCTTTGTTCCTAAAAATTAAGAACGAGAATAATTCAATATCACACCACCTTAGAAACATAAAGTATTTAATATATTTATATTATTTAAGAATCTACTTTCTAAAATTGAAGAATTGAATATAGATTCTAATTGTTCAACTGATAGCAGTCAACGTTAAGAAAATCTAAGTCCAGTCTATTATTATCCTAAAGGAAAAGAACCTTGTGGTGAACTCTAAGTTATACTTAATGGTGATCTGATCTAAGTGATATCCTAAACAAAAAATAGGACAAAATCACGTAAGTTCAGTGATCAAGAAACCTATGCTATGAGTAATTTTATAGCTGGTCCTAAATGTCTTGAAATACCATTACCATAATTCCTTTGATCACATAAATATCTATGGAATTATCTATTATTAATCAAAACATCTCAATTATACTGTTTAAATAACTCTCCAATCTCTATTCTCTATTCAACCCACTTTATTATTATTTATAACATTTCAATTACATTTCTCTTCCAATATTCATATAATCTAAAGCAAAAATCTAATTTAAATACCTCTTTTATACTAATACTATATTATACAATTTATTATCTAACATCTTATCAATATATCATTACTAAATAATACTTAAATCCCTTTCACATTATATATCATCTCTTCTACTTCTTTTCATCTATTTCAAATATTTATACCAGAAATACTATTTCTTATAAATTATCCTTTAAGTTTTAAACCTTATTAAACCAAAATTAGTTACTTTGTATTTTTACAATTCAACATTTTATTTATTATAGTCTTGTGTTGATAATTTCAAGAATTTATAAATTCAATCTTAATTGTTCTCCTTTTAATTTATTTAATAAGTTTAAATTCTATCAATTCATTATGTCATTTGTTCCAAAATAATTTGTTTTTCATATAATTAGAGAGGATCAAAATACTTTTGCCAATTCTAGTATTATACTTATTATTATTATTTTATCTTTATTACCTTAAAAACTATTCTCTAAATTTCTTTTATCTTCTCCCAGAAACAATTTCCATTTTTCATTATTATTCCTAATATGTTTTATTAATGGTATGTTACACGTCTATCTTTAACTTTTATATATCTATTTTTACCTTTAATATCTATGTTTTTATCTCAAAATATATAACTCCTTTTGTAATTCTAAAATAAAATAATGTAAAAAGCCTCAATCCTTTAAATAAGAATAGATATGATTATTTAATAATTTTATTATATCAACAAAAATAAAAATTAAGGGTTGGGATTTTTCTTTTTAATTGAAATTTCAAGTATTTTCTTATTTTAATAATTTTAAAATATCTATAAAATAAGTTTGATGTATTGAAATTAGTAGGAAATAAATTATAATAATAAATAGGACACCAAAAATGGAAAATATAATTTAAAACAATGGACAATCAAAATATTATAATTTTGTATATAACATATCAATCTCTATCTAGATCATCATCTGCTGTTGGATCAAACTATTATCATTAAAATAATTTACTATTTTTGCGTTTTCATTATTTACTATATGAGATATTAAACTTTATCCACTTTTTTTTTTTGCTTCATAAGATACTTAGAAGTCTGGAAAATGATACAATAAAATTTCTTCATATAAAAGATCTTATAAATATTTATTTAATTTTTACCTTTTATTTATTCTCTTGTCATTTCATATTTTTCAAATTCAAACTCTAATTAATTGACTAATTAAGCACTTGGTTCATCTGCTTCAAAATGTAATTATGCCAAATATGGATGCTCTAAAGCTTATTAAACTGTAATTCTTTAATGATAATCAAATGTTAATAATTTTCTTAATAAATCCAAAGCTTTTTTAAGAAATAAAATGAATACCATTTTTAGAAGCATTTTTAAATAATTATTCTAAAGGAATTCCTTATTTTGGTCCAGTTTCTTTAATAACTTTCCTTAAATTATTTTAAACTTTTTCATCTTAAAAAGATTATATATAAGCTTCATTAGGTGTTCCCAATAATTCAAAAATTAATTTAACTTATCGTTTAGCTTAATTAATTTTATTAAAAAATACTTGAATCACCTCTCAAAAATGGTTTTCTTAATAATAACTCTGCCAAAATACATCCAACTGACCACATATCAACAGCAGGAGTATAATTCTTAAAACTCACTAACAATTCTGGAGCTCTATACCATCTAGTTTCAACATAATATGTCATAATATTGGCATTATTTGATGAAGTTGGATCTGCCATTGCTCTACCTAAACCGAAATCACAGATTTTCAGATCACAATTTCTATTTAATAATAAATTTCTTGGTTTCTAAATTAATTTTTAATAAAGAGATACTAAATCACGATGCAATATTCCTGCTGTATGTAAATATTTTAATCCTCTCAATATTTAATATAAAAATAATTAGATATGTTCATCTGTTAAAACTTAGTCGCTTTTGATTACTTATGCTAAGTCTGTTTCTAATAATTCAGTAACCATATAAACATCTTCAAATTCTTCTCTTGATTTTGGAAGAAGCAATGTTTTTAATTCAACTATCTAATATTATTCATAATTTTTTTACATTCTCATGTCTCATCAATCTAAGAATCTTTAACTCTCTCAATGTTCTCTTTGCATATAATCTATGTTCAAAAGCTCTTTCTATTTTTTTTATGGCCACTTATCTGTCCTTTTCTGTTTTTGCGTTCTTATCATCTGCTTAAATGACACATCCATAAGCACCACTTCCAACTTTATATTTTATTTAACTATTATTACTTATTTCTATAGGAGAATAATTATCTTCTAACATAAATGTATGCTCTTAAAGTTAGAATTTTTTCACTTTTTAGGATTTATTCTGATATTTAGCATATAACTCTATTATCTTTTATGGTAATTTGAATTCTTATTACATAATTATTATTTAATATAATTCTTTTTAATTTTTTTATGTATTTCATAATCTCATCAATATACTGAATTCTTAAACTATTTGGTTACAAAAAATCTTTCTTCCTCTATTATTAACATCTAGACATAAATGAATATAAACCATTTTTTAAATCCCCTATGATATTGTTGACTAATTATATACAAATCATTCAAATTCTTCTCACAAATTAACTCAAAAAAAAATATAACAATTTATTCTAAATAATTTCTAATACAATAAAATCATTAAATTTAAGAGTAATTAAATATAAGAAATTATACAAGTTTAATGATCAATGATTTCCATTTAATTTAAAATTGTTTATTTATATGACTTAAATTAACTATTGAATCATCACTGAATTCGTTTTTATTTATTTGAGCTAAACTTTAAAACAGTTTAATCTAAACACAAATTAATTTGCAAAAAAGATTTAAAAAAAAGATTTCAATTGTTTCATTTCAAATTCTTTATAAGTTTCAGAAATCGCTCTAATTCTCTTCTGCATTTCTTTTAAATCACTTCTGACTATATTTACATTCTTTGAATAGCTATTTAGAACATTAATAAGTAAAAAATCTCGAACATAAAATAAAAGTCTTCTGTATTGTAGTTTGGATCTTAAGATTAAATAGAGGATTAGCAAATTTAGATACAATTTAGTAGTTACAATGATTTAGAGAAAGTATAGACATATATTGATTAGCTTTTGATTCACTAAGATTCATTGAAATCTAGATTAAGTTTATAATTAGAGTACTTCAATTTGAAAAGTATTTATTTGATCAATCAAAAAGACTTCGCTAAGAAATATCTTTTTGGATGTAAATGTGAATGCTGATGTTATAGAAATTAAAATTATCAATTGTGATTTTACATTTTAATTATTGACATAAATCAAACCTAAAGTTAAGGTTTTTTTTCTTTCTTATTCAATTATTCTACATTATTTAAATTAATCTATTTGTTGTAACGAAATTCTTATAAAACAAAAAATTAAATAAATTTTACGAATGCAAATGATTATTTTGCCAGTTTATAATAATCAGTATAAAATTCTATATCGTTTGGATGTCTTTAAATCAAATTAAAATATATCAAATCTTATTATATTTAAAATAATTCGTTTTTATAAACTTAAATATAAGAGGATTTTTAAATATTTTGATCATTTAGTTATATCAAATCTATTTGAAGGATTTTGATTTTCAATTGGAATAAAATCAACAAAATTAGCTTCTGGAAAAATCTTTATTAAACCATTTCAAATTAAGTGTTACAGAATAAACAAAGTAATTTTCTAAAGCATAATTAAATACACGATAAATAATTTAGTATTATCGATAATCGATATATGGCTAGCATTTCTAAGTCACTAGAAATAGATAATAAAATTATCGCATAAACCATCTTTTCTTTACAATAGAATTTATTGATACGAAAACAGACTACTATCAATATTTTCGAATTTAAATTGTAATAATTTTATTTCTAAAATATTTGATAAATGGAAATGAAAAGTGAATACATTTTTAGTAAGATCCATATATAAAAAAGATAAATGAAAACCTTCAAAAAAATAAATTTCTAGTTTCAAAGGAAAAACTCTACCAAAGCTTTAATTTAGAATTTATAAATTGATATGATTTATATAGTTAATATGTTCATAATCTCAAATGATATAAGTGAGTTGTCTAAAATGCTTTGCTACTATGAATTTAATTAAAAATTGAAATCAAAATTTTGGAATTACAAATAATAATTAATGATTGAATTATTCTTCCTCTCACTGATACTGAGCTTAGAAATTTAATGCAGTTAATATGAATTTAAGGTAGAAATTGGTTAGTTAAAAACAGTGCTTGAATTAAATAATGCTACTAATGTAACTCTATCTGAAGAAAGTAATCACGAATTTTGTTGGGTTGACAATGAAAAAGTCTTCATAAATAAAACATCTCTTTCGAACTATTTAGAACTTGATATTATGAATAAATACTATTATTTGTTGGCAACTTAAAATTTTATATGGGTACTTATGAACGATATGATTTTGGCTTAATTAACACATGATGGAATAATAACTAATTAGAAAAAAATTTAAGGTCATTAAAGCTAATTTAAAGGTTATTACAACGAAAAAAATGAAAATGCAATTTTCTTGGTTGATTATCAGTTGTTAAACGATCCTTAAATTACATTTTATCCTGGTACTATTAAATTATATGATGGATTTCTATTTGCATTGAACAAATTCATTTACGTTTATGATCTTTAAAATAATACAAATAAATATTTTGGACAAATAGATTTAACTAAATATCAAAAAATTATTGACTATGATTTAAAAAAAATTGATGATAAGAAATATTACTTATATTTAATGGATTAACATCTTGGACTGAATATAATAAAGTTGCTTTTAAGATATAATAATATCAATTCTAAAGTAATATATGCAGAATTAAACCCTCTATAAAATCCGAAATCATTTTTTTGTAATGAATATAATAGTTGTTATGGATTATATTATAGTCATGTGTATAAGATTTTAAATTTTAAAATAAATTTCCTTGATAACAGCATTTCAATAGGTGAAATTTTATAGGAGGAGAATAAAATATTAAAATTAGTGAATGTTGGTGATATGATGTTTATATAGTCTAAAAATAACCATAAAGTGTATCTTTATAATTCTTAAGAGATATAAAATATACAAATTTTGGGATTATAGTAAATATCTGTTGTGAATTCTTCGTTGATCTACGTAATTACAAATACAAAATTAATAAGATTATCACTTAATTATTCTCATCCTAAGATTATATGTTTTTGTGATGATAATGAAGCATGTCCATAAATATATGATTATAAGATTAATTATAGGGATAAGATTAGAATGTAGAATTTAAAATTCACAGTGGAATTTTAAACATCTTTAGAAGATTAAATGAACGAAGTTTTAGTTATCATATTTTCAATAGTATTTTTATTTGGAAGTAATTTTGATCTTTATAAAAAATTAGTTTTATTGTTGATTTTTTGGGTAAATTCATTGAAAGCTTAAATTATTTTGTTGGAGGAAAAAATATAATAAGGATTCCAACATTTGTAAAAAAATAAATTACCAATATTTCACACCCTTGAAAACCTTGCTTTTACATTTCGAGGAGTGGAAACCTTATCAAAAAGAATCTAACAACAAGAATCTTAAGAAATGTAAGAGATGTATTGAAACATTAAGATTTGAATATATCTAAATTGTATAATAAAATTTCTTAAATCTTATAAAATTGATTGGAAATATTTATATTTTAAATACAGATCTAACAATAAAAATAATTTAAAAATAAATGAGTTTCTAGGCTCAAAACTAAAATTAAGCTTTGAACTATTAAAATATAAGATCAAAATAAATGTATTAAGGAGGAGAATATGATTAATCAAATAATTAGAGAGCAAACTAAAAAGAATTTAATTTGTAACAATAACAATCAAGTAATGAGAGGGTTTGGACAACATAAGTAAAATAAAGATTATATAAATAAGGCTCCTTAAAACAAAGTGTCTCATAATCAATTTTCTTAAAATGATTTGTCTTATGAACATCGTGTTAGTAATAGTCAAATAGTTAGACATCATGATACATCACATGATTAACATCATTCTATAAATAATCATAATCATCATGAGGGTCATTATAATCCATTGTAGATGCCTTGTGATTGGGAAATAGCAAGGAAACATGCATTATCAAGAAGGACAGCAAAAGAAAAGACAAAGGATCCTACAAGAACATTATAAGGTAATCGAAGACTAATTAACCATCAGTTGAAACTTGTCCATGTTGTGGGTTTGAAGTAGATAGAGATGATATACCCTATTGTTCAAATCCTATGGCTTTATCATTTTTGGGATCAGGATTTACATTATTTTATAACTACTTAAAATACTGCATCATAATACTCTTTATTTAATTGTTAGTGAAATAAATCCATAATTTATATACAAATTATCAAGGATCTTATTGTAGCCATATTAAAAGAGAAAAAATGGAGGGACATATTATTGAAGAACCATATTGTCCAGATAGTATTTTTTTAAGATTATCTTTGGCTAATAAATTAGAGTAATACAAATTATTTATATTAGTAACCGAGAAGCTCTTGAAGCTATGCAAGTATTAAATTTTATAAGTATCTTTATTATAATGTTTGTACTTATTTATTTCAGAAAAAGTCAAAGATAAATTGATACTACAATAGATGAAGAATAATTAACACCTGCAGATTATACTATTTGTGTTAAAAATATTCCAACTGGTTTACCTGTTGATTACAAAGCAGAATTAACTAATTTATTTTAAAATTATGCAGTATTAGATTCTTCTTAAAAAATTATTGTTAGAAAAGTAGTGTTAGTATATGATATTGAAGAAATCATTGATTTAGAAAAAAAATTAGATACTTTAATAGAAAAAAAGAAAGAAGCTATTCAAGAACATAATTTTGATTTTCATCATTAAAATGTTTTAAAAATAGATGAAGAAATAGAACATCTTGAACATCAAATTCATAAAATAGAGGAAGAATATGAACTTCATAATTCTAAATTTTCAGGTATAGCATTTGTTTCTTTTGATGATGAATCTATGAAATAATTGGTATTATAAGATAATCCTCATACATCTTTAGAAAGAATGAAATCACATTGGAATAGAGGTTAATTAGAAGGTTTAAACAATAATGATTTATAATGGAAAGGATAAAAATTGTTTTTAGAATAAGCTCCAGAACCAAATGATGTTGATTGGGAATTCATTCATATAACAACAAATGAAAAGATTTTCAAAAGAGTAAGAGCATGGATTTATTATATATTATTTGAAAGTGCAGCTTTCTTTATTATATATTTAATTTCTCATAGACTAGCACTTTTGGGAGATGAAGCTCATGAAGAAGAACTAAAAGGAAAATTAGATTAAGATACTAAAAGAAAGATTAATATAATGTCTTTTAGTATATCTATGTTAATCGTATTATTTAATAAATTTGGTGTAGCTAAAATAGTACATTATATTGTGGATGATGAAAAAATTTCAAATAAAACAAAATTTTAAATATCATTTGTATATAAATATGCCCTTGCTTTATTTTTAAATGCAGCTATCATTAGTTTTTTAGTTGATATTGTAATATTGAAAAATGTAAAAGGAGCTGGAGGATTTATTTAAAATGAAAGCCAGATTTTTGTACTTAATGCTATATTTCCACCATTTATTTGGTTCATTGATCCATGGAGTTTGTGTAAGAACATTTGGAGAAAACATATTATGTCAAAAGGAGAAAAAGCATTGTTAACATAATAGGAAGCCAATAAACTTATGGAAGAACCAGATTATTTATCAGCAAAAAGATATTCAGATGTTATGAAGACTATGTGGTTCACTTTTATGTATGGTACAGCCATTCCTTTAGGTACTTTATTTAGTGCTTTTGGTATTCTAATTTATTATTTTGTTGATTATTATAATATCTTAAGAAGAAGAACTGTTAAAGAATCTATTAGTATTTAATTATCAACAGGTATTCATTTATTTTCATTATTTAGAAATGATTGAAATGCTTGAATATATTATTCCATGGTGTGCATTTGGTGAAATGATAATGACTTATACTTTCTTCCATGAAGTTAGTAAAATCGATATTCTTTTAATCATTTTGGCTATAATATATTAACAGTTACCTATGGAAGATATATCTGAGTATCTTTTCCCTGTTGAAAATAATGAAGAAGTATTATTATTCTATAATTAGATAAAACCTTATGCAGAAGGAAGTGCTGGCTTCGATACTGATTATGATAGAGAAAATCCAGTAACTAAACATAAAGCATTAGCCGAATGGAACTAAAAATAAAAAAATGATCAAAATCCAAATCATAAAATTGTAAAAGTCTTACACCAATAAGATGAATTTGGATATATCGCTGATGGTCATTTTGGACATAGATGATTTAACTTAAAAATATCAATTATTTTCTTCTTATTAACTCTAATTCCAATAATAAAATAGAATTATTATTTATTTAATTTTTCATCTCAATCTAAACTATATCTAAGAGTTTAATAAAATTATTAGATGAAATCATAATAATAGCTTTATCTTCTTCTTATTTGTAAAAATAATAATTTAAACTTTGATATATTTTTTTTTATGAAAGAATATTTATTTTTAAATTATATTCCCAATTATTATAATCGACCTTAAAAAAATTTATATTATCTAGGTTCAATTTATCATAAAATTTATTTACATAAATATTGATAATTAAAACTTGTAAGCTAAAAAAGAATTAGTTGATGACATTATTTTACTCAAAATTAAATCCTAATATCAAATTTAATTATTTTAATTCGATCACAATATTTATTTTATCATGTTATTAATTTAGATATTCCTATAATAATAAATTTATGTTATTTTATTTAAATTTTCTTCCCAAAAAATTTATAAATAATTTCATTTAAAATTCAGAGAATTATCAATTCTATATAAATTCTTAATCTGTTATAGTTTTAAAATTTTTGAGCATTTTTAAGAAGAAACCAAAAATGAAATAATTCTCTTGTTAATTTTTGTAATTCTCTTTTTAAAATTAGATTTATAGTTTTATTCATTTATAGTATTTTTTATATTGAAAAATCTTTGTTTATCACTTCTTCACTTATATTTTATAATTATTAATAAAATAAATATATTATTTTTATATTTAATCGTGATCTTATAATATAATAATTTATTTATTTTTCCTTTAAAATAAAATTTTACTCCAGAAATGATTATAAAGAAATCACAAATTGAAAAGAAGATATGAGCTATCCAATCGAACAATAAAAACAAAGTTTATTAAATTTCAAATTATTTGTAGAATTATAAAGGAAATAGGTTATTCAAAAGATCAATATTTGAATTAAAAACCCCATAAACCAGATAAAGTAATTCATATTATCTTAGCAAGGATTAAATATTCATTATTTAAAATGATATTAAAAGACTGTTTTTTCCTTAATTGGAATGATATATGATAAAAAGAAAATGTATAAAATATAAATAATAAGTATAATTAAGACTAAATTCTTAACTTCAAGAGAATTAAAAAATATATTAACTATATAATTAATATGTCTTTTAAAATTCATAATTAATTTTATTTATAATTATATTTGTACTATAATAATAACAAAAGGTACTACCATAAATAGATTGATTTTTTCGGAAGAAAAATCAAAAAGCTTTGCCCGATCTTTAATTATGAATTGATTGGAATTTTGCATTTTATGTATTATTTATATTTTTTTTGATTTTGTTTAATGAAAAAGTTTATAAAACGAATATAACAAGAATATAATTAATTAATTACAGGTCATCAGTTAGATTAATGAGACTTCAATAATAATGATTATAATTCTTAAAAATCCTGAAATTTTAATTCATTTTAAAGACTTTATAACTTGCTCTACTAAGATTTTATGAATTTTGGTAATTTTTCATTTTTAAAGAGAAAATCTTACTTTCTTTTTTCATTAATAATCTTATTGATGTATTGTACAAGAAAGCATTTATTATTTGATAAAAGCTACTTCATCACATTAGATCAAGATAATTTGTTTATTGGAGAAGTATTTTAATGATTATTAAAGAAGTCTACCTAACATACCAAATATACAATACCTTTAAAACTTTAAACATAAATTGATTGGAAAATTTCCGAGGATAATTAATTGGAGGCATTTTGTATAAATTGGAAGAATGAATTGAGATACTTTTATGCTGACCATAATGTTCTACTTAGAGTCAAGAATTATATTCGTGGAAGAGTAGTTTTTAAAAACATTGATAATTTCTATAAGCATTTAGGGAGAATGGAAACTAGAAGTTCAACTTAGGTATGTTATCATAAAATATTCGTTTTTTAGATTAGCACAATATAAAGACTAGACAATGATAAAATTTACGCTTGTAAAGATTTGAAGAAGCATAAACTATATTCAAATAAAGTATGAAATATATCTAAATATTAGTTATTTTAGAATGAAGTTGAAGCTTTGAAATAACTAAATCATTAACATATTATTAATTTAGAGGAGGCTTATGAAAATGAAACATCTTATTTAATAGTTTTAGAATATTTAAAAGGTGGGTCTCTCAGTCAATATCTTAAATATTGTAGGTTATCATTAGATGATATAGAAATAATAATAAAGGTATTATCTATTTTTATATAATTAGTAAATTTTAGAAGCTATTTGTTATTTACATGAAAAAGGTTTTGTTCATAGAGATATAAAACCTGATAACATTCTATTTTGTGATGTAGGATCATCCTCAAATTTGAAACTCATAGATTTCGGAATTTCTTGCAAACTTCCAAATTAAGAAAATTATTCATAAATAGATTATGGAACTCCTGGTTTTATGGCACCAGAAATCTTAAATGACTCCAATCATATAAGAATATCATAAAAAATAGATGTATTTAGTTGTGGAGCCATTTTATATTAAATGTAATTACTTAATCAATTTTTTAGGTTAACAGGTTCTAAATTAATATCTGGAATTAATTCTTAAGAATTATATTAGAATAATAAATTATTTACTCTAAATAACTAAATTCTTTAAAAAATATCAGCGCCAAATTATAGGGGATTAATTTCTAAAATGCTTATTGAAGATCCTGATCAGAGAATTGATGCAAAATAAGCATTAAATTATATTAAATTGATGAACATTCCAACAAATAATTCATTATCTACTTCATTAAATTGTTCACAAGATCCAATCCAAAAATTACCAGATTTTAAACAATTAATTAAAAAAATTTGACTATAAGAATTGAATATTATTTTATAATTATATATGTATATCATAAAAAATTTAATTTCTATCTTTTTAATAATTAGGCTTTCTCTAAAATTACATAATTATACTCATTTGGATATATTTCATCTTTTACTTTATTTTAATAGATAACTAAATTTTTAGGAGGATTTTTCCATATTTTAAAATATAGTGTTTATTATTTATAACAATATATTTAAATTCAATTTATAATAATTGATTAATAAAAATAAAGGAAAACTAAATAAAGAATGATTGATATATATAATTTTAAATTCTTATCAATAATTAAATTAATGGTGAGAAATATAATTATATTGGAGAGATATAATTTGTAGATATCTTTATTTAATAATATTGCTGATGTATAATTAACTTTGAAACAATTCTTAATAATATAGTTTATATAAATTAATAAAATGATGTGCAAAAGTAAGCATTTCTTTAGAGACACTGAATATTTGATTTATAAGTAAGAGAACTGCATTCAAATAGGAAAAGTAAGCATTCATTTCAAATGTTTAGAATGCGAAATAAATTAAATATACAATACAATTAGAATTGTCAACAATAATAACATGGGTTTATGGAGAAAAAAATCGTTTCATTGGATTTAAGTTTAGATGGAAATAAAAGTTGAAAACAATGATAATGGATTATCATAAATGTTTATAACTAAAAAGCATTTTTGATGGAAAAGTCTCTTATAATAATCTTGTCAAAATGTTTAATAGCATAAAATAAATTCAAGAGCATTCTCAGAATACAGTAAGATGATAATTATGAATGTTATTGTAGATAATCTTAGTACATAGTTGTATAGATCAAACACAATACCAGATGAAAGTGATACCAAATAGTATCAATTATAATAAGCTTGTATAAGAAAAACCTATTCATAGGATTTTATGTTAGAATTAGAGGTGCTTAGCCTTTAACATAAGAACATGATATAAGTTTCGGAATATTTCGTAGAAAACGATAAATTTTATATTCTTTACGAGTATTTAGAGGGAAGAAGTTTAAGAGAGAGGATGAATTCATAATATAAAATGAGAAAAGAGGAAATTATAGTAGTGCTAAAAGTAATAATTTAAATAATAAATTAAGTAAATTTTAAGTCTTTTAATTGCATTACATAAAAAAGGATATATGTGTGGGGAGTTAACTAAAGATAACATTTTTATATAAAAGAATGGTAGAATAATTCTAACGAATTTGGGATAAATAACAAAAATAGGGGAAATAATGAGAACTAAAAGAGGAACGAAAGATATTGATAATATAAATGAATTGATATTACAAAATAATATAGAGATGAATTAAAATAATGAGGAATTTGATAGATAATTTTGGTTTGCTTAAGATATGTATTGTCTTGGAGAACTGCTACATGAAATGTAATAAAAAAACATAAAAATATAGGTTAACTGGTAAAAGTTTATAAAAAACAATCTTTGATAAATGTAGTGGATTTCAATCAAGTCAAAATACAATTTCAACATTAAGAACGAAGGTGGGACTTCGTAAATTATTAGATAGAATGTTAGAGCCTGATCCTAGGCTTAGAATTTCAGCAGAATAAGCTTAAAATTTTATTAAGGATATGGAATTTGGAGAAGATTCATTTGTTGATTTTTCTGATTAAGATGAAAGAAACAATTATCAAGAAGTTTATTATTTTGTTTCAAAAGTATGTCTATAGAATCTCTGATATATATATAAACTTAAAAATTTGTTCTAGATTTATAATTCGAAATATATATATATAAAATTAGAAATGAATAAAATAGGTATAATTAAATATTATTATATGATGAATATTGTACTAACATAAGATGTTCATGATCTGTAGAGGTTTGGTCTTTTAGCTTTGAAAACTGTTCTGAATTTTTTATGGCTGGCTCTTGGAACAGTCTTAACAATTGGGAATTTGATTGAATCACCCTTTAAAACTATTTTAATGAATTACTCTATATTAATTAGTTTTTCCTCTCTTGATATCAGCACTCTTAGTTAATACTGAAGTTCTTAGAATGTGAATAGTTTATGGTTAAGCTCTATGATTACCTGCCATTTCTTGGTCTAAAAGCTCAATGCAATAATTTACATAATTATGAGACTGCACCATTTAATGTTGTGTCTCTAAATTCTTTATACATGTTATGAATTGTTGTTCTTGATTAGTATTTAAGTACTATTCCATAGGTTTTTACGTTTGTATCTCTTCTTTCAAATAATTCTTAAACTGCTAAGATCTAACCATGAGATGGTCTAAGTTTATTTAATCTTCTTAAATTCCACCTAACCATTAACTAATGCTATACCAGAATCTGCTTTTTGCAGCTACTGTATTTCTAGCAAAGATTCTCATGCTAATAACCTTTGGATTTGGATCATCTTTTGATGGCAATCTTCTTCCAGAAACCAAATATTATCTAATCTACACAAAAAATTATTTAATATTTTACTTTCATTTAGAGTGAGTTATCTTATGGATCTTAGGCTGAGTTTTTAACCATTTTGTTTATATTTTAAAAAAAGATTTAATTTATCAAGTAATTATCACAAACAATAGAATGCATAATTTGCTTTACTATTATTATTCTAAAAGCTTGGTAAACTATTTTTCATTAAATGATCAATGAGTTGGACAGTTTCTTAATGTTTGTAGAATCTATCATTTTCATGATTTCTAAACATTTCAATGTTTCGCATTATAGTATCACCTACAACAAAATGCATGTTTGCTATTTTTATTTTAGAATTGCTCTTAATATAATCTACAATTTAGTTTCTCATTCTAATCATATTTTTATAAGATTACTTTTCTGCTCTTTGTTCAGGAACCAAAAGAAAAGAATGAAGATTCAAATTTTTAAAGTGCAGTTTAGTCTTTATTTTAAGATCTTCCAAATATTTTAGTTATTTAGCTTTTACCTATATAGACTACATCTCCAAGTTTATTTTTTGAATCATTTCTTTTAAATTCAACAATTACAAATCTTGGGCTGTGCCATATATAAATATTTCTTGTAATTTTTAATTGATTATTTAAAGATTTGCTGGTGCATATACAAATAAATGAAATAATCTAATGTTTTCATCATCAATCAATAGTATCTTATTGATAAAATTATCAACTTCAATAATATTAGATGGATCACAATAAACGATATCTATATAATAGTAGTTAAGAATTTTATGCTATATTTTAAATAGATTTTGAATCTTTGAAATATTGATCCATAAATTATTTTTATTTAATTCACTACTTAGTGTTTCTTTAGAATGATAATTTTTAGTTGAGTATATACAATCAAACAAATCAATTTAAGTATTTTGTAAAGAATTGAGATTCTGGTTTGGGTTCAATTATAAGATTAAAATAGATTCCATTCTAATTTTCATTATCAATTGCTTATTGTTTGAAGTCTTTGATTAAGAATGTTATGTGTTACTAAAATATTGACTGTTATATTCGCCAAATAGCTATCATAAAATTATAAAAATACAAGATTATAACTGATAATACAGATCTTATTGAATTAACACAAATTCCTAAATCCTTTATATAATACATAAACATCTTCAACATCTACCTTTAAATTAATAGTTTGGAATGATAGGGAATTTAAATTACTCTATCTAATTTAACTATTATTACTTTTTTTCTAATTTAAGATTAGTAGGTGAGGTTTAAGCATGAAATAATTACCTTAATTGTTACTTTGGTCTTGGAATGAATTTAGGTCTTTTTATAATTATATTAGTTGGTTTTGATATTTATGGCAATTCGGCTCCCTCATTTACAGAGAAGGTTCTACTAGTTATTCCTTTATCTTCACTTTAATTCTAAGTTTATTATTATCTAGACCAATAGGAAATCCTCGAATTTCTTGTTGCTAAATTAAAATAAGTTATTGACTCACAAGTTGAATAATTTCTTATTGGGGCATTCTTTGTAATTAGCATTCCTGATAATTCATCCTGTGTTTTTGGGTATTATTTTTTTTTTTAAATGCTTAACATAATTATTTGATAAATGAAATGCAAATTTTAATGTTTAATAATTGTAAAAAATTTAATTTGCATTCTAAATTCTTCTTTTAAATTATTGGAAATTAAGAAAAGGAGAAAGTAGAAAATTTGATAAAATTAAAATTTTATCTTTTATAAATGAATTTAAAGTCTAAATTTTATCTCATAAGTAATAGTTTTGAATTAAATTATAAATTATTAACATTCTTTATTAAATTAATAGCTGAACGCTTAGCTGTATTTAAAAAGAGTTAATAATTATTATTGTAATCGAAATTAGTGCTAGAGTATATTGATATAAATAAATTATTAAAGAAGAATAAATTAATAAAGATCTTAATTCAAAAAGATTTCAATTTTTATTGGTAAATGATACTTATTATTTACATTGTTTTAAATTGATAATATTTAAATAAGTTACGAACATATCAAAAAATGGGTTCAACATGTTGTTACATAAAGATGCAGAGCTCGTAATACGGTAAAATGATTATTTTATTGATAAAGAAATGAAATTAGAATAAGGATCTAATCCAGTTATGCTATAGAAATAGAGTGTTTCATAATAAGAGTAAAATTAGATGGTAGATCCTGTTTCTTTAGAGAAGGAATCGCAAATGCAAATAAAAGTAGAAACAATGAATTTATAGATCCAATTATTATAATTAGAATCTATTAAAGCTGGAAGTGATTTAATTGAAAAGGAAGAAAACACAATAAATGTAGAAACTAAACAAATAAGAAAATTATCAATTGATTGTGAATAATAACAGAATATAAATAACAAAGAAATACCAAGTCCTAATCATTAAGAATAAAACCTATTATAATTAAGTCCAATATAGTTAGATTCTGCTTTTAATTTACCTTAACAATCTCTATCTCCTTCAAAAAAAAATAATAGAAAAGAATCCTTAGGCGTAGATTAATATAATAATACAACTTTTACTTCTCCTCATCATGCTAACAATAAATAAATTTAAGATCAGAGTTTTAGTCCTACTAAAAAATCAATAGGCTCTATGAGTTCCTTAACTATTCGAATGGGGATTGAGTTGTTTGTTAACTTGAAGAAAGGTTCTATAAATAAGGTTTACACTTTTGGTTAAGTACTTGGATAAGGAGCATTTGGAAAAGTATGGAAAGTAACTCATAAAACAACTGGTAATGTATTATGTTTAATTTAGGTTTGATAAGACCAATGAAACAAATAAAAAAATCTGAATTAATAAAAGAGGATGAATAAAAATTATTTTAAGAGATGCATATATTAAAAAATCTTGATCATCCTCATATTGTCAAACTATACGAATTATATTAAGATCAAAATAATTATTATATGATTACAGAATATTTATCTGGAGGAGAATTATTTGAAAGAATTAAGAAAATGTAAATTTTTACAGAAAAAAGAGCCAGTGAATTAATTCGATAAATCTTACTTGCAATCAATTATTGTCATGATTAAAAAATTGTACATAGAGATTTAAAACCAGAAAATATTCTTTTTTCAGGTCCTGAACCTGAATTAAATCTTAAAATTATTGATTTTGGATGTTCTCGTAGATTTAATACTTCAAAAATGACAAAAAGATTGGGAACTGTATGAAATTATTTAAATTATCAAAGCCATATTATATTGCTCCTGAAGTCTTAGGCCATAATTATACTGAAAAATGTGATATTTGGTCATGCGGAGTTATTCTATATATTCTCTTATGTGGTTATCCTCCATTTACAGGAAAGACTGAAAAAGAAATATTTGAAAAAGTTAAATTAGGCAAATTAAGATTTCCAAGTATTTTTCTAATAATAAAAAATTAGATGAGGAATGGGAATTCATATCGAAAGAGGCTAAACATTTAATTTAAAAAATGATATAAGTAGATGTTAATTTAAGATATTCTGCATCTTAAGTTTTGAGTGATCCTTGGTTCTAAAAACACACACATTATTAACCTATTAATAAAAAAGTGTTAGAAAATTTATCTCAATTTTAAGCAACCAGTGAATTTAGAATTGCCATAGTTTAGTATATAATATCGCAAATGACTAATCATAAAGAGATTGAAGATTTACAACATACTTTTTAATCTTTAGATGCAAATAGAGATGGAGTTCTAAGTAAAGAAGAACTTATTCAAGGATATAAGAAAATTATTAAAAATTAAGAGTAAGCTGAATTATAAGCTGAAAGAATTTTGGAAGATATAGATAAAAATTTGTCTGGATAAATTGATTATAGTGGTAAATTATTCAATTTAACTTAGAATTCATCATGGCATCTATCAATCAATCGAAAATCCTTTCGTAAAAAAAAATCGAATAAGCATTTCGCATATTCGATCTGGATGGTGATGGATATATAACAAAACAAGAATTAGAAGATGTTATGGGAACATTAAATTAAGACGTTTGGCAATTATTTCTTTAAGAAACTGATCACAATTAGGATGGCAAGATTTCGTACTAAGAATTTCTCAAACTATTCTCATAATGAATGTTTGTATTAAACTAACATGAAGTTATTATATTGGGACAATTATTCATATTTATATACTATAACATAATTTTAAAAATAGTTTATTAACTTTTCGTCATCTAAATTTAAATTTAAACAATTTATAATATATCTTATATTTTAATTTTAATTCTAGGTTTATTCTATATAAACTGCGTCTAATTTTGAGTTTTGCAAATGAATTATAAATAAAATTCTAAGAAATTTAGTAAAATTTATATTTGAACTTTAGATTCTTTAAATTATTATTAGCTGATAAGAATTACTTCTTTTAAAATAAAAATATATTATGAGTTTTAAATTTATAAAATAATATAATACCTATAGAACTCATTTATTTTCTATTGACAAATAAAATAATTGAATAAATTAGAATATAATATTATTGATAATGGTAATCATTTTTTTGCTTTTTTCTTTTTTTTAGATTTTTTCTTTTTATTCTTTCTTCTTTTTCTTTTTTTAGTTACTTTTTTAATTTCTTCTAATATGGCATTTTAGATTTCAATAGGAACCTCAAGTCTACACACTGTTTTGTACATTTTAATACATTCTAAAAATTTTTTGGCAGCTATTTTATAAAAATAATAATTACAATCATCATATAAGGCATTTCCTCTAAAATCATAAACTTATATTGAAATATTTTTGGTTAATACTTCGCATATTTTTTCAATAAGAGGAACATCTTCAGATTCTCCAAATTAATTATTTGCAATATTTAATTCTTCCAACCATTCATTAGTTTCAAGAGATCTAAATAACTAATAAACTCTAAAAATTATAAATAAATATACCCTTGATTTCTTAAAAAATTTCCCTCTAAAAATAAATATCTTAAATCACAATCAACAAATGACAAAATATCTTAAAGATATTTAACACTTTCTAAATCTAATCTACAATAATTTAAAGAAAGCTTTCTAATAGTAGCTAAAGAAAAATAAATAAATGATTTTACTATTCATTTCCAAACCTTTGCTTAGTTCTTTCATTCCTTCACAACCAATATAATTAAAGTCAAGCACAAGTTCTTATAAGGGAACCTTGAAAGCAGGTGATAAGGCATAACCTAGATAAGAACAACCTTAAGGTGTAATTTCATTTTCTGTCAAATCTAAAATTTTAGTATTTTATGCTTTTTATATATAATTAGCCAAATATTTGACACCTTCATTATTATTTAACCCAAGACCTGCTTTTATCAACCATATATTGGCTAAATGCTTATAGCTATTTTTGAATTTAATTCATTTACTTTAGATCCATTAATGCTTCAAAAATACCTCTAATTGCATTGGGTCCTATTTCTTCAATTATATGAAGCTAAATTTATGTCAAATTAATTACTGTAGTCAAATGTTCTTGATTTTCTAACGCTTATGCAACTGCTTAAACAAAAATTTTGTTTTAAGCCACTCCAAGACTTTAGATCTTTCTATTATAGAATCTCATAATCTATGTTGTAGACTCATCATTGTCTTCTCCTTTTTTTCCTTTCTTGCCCTTTTTGGACATGAAATTTTTAAAGGCAATATAATAAATAAATTATATATAAATTCTTAAATCCAATTATCTTAACTATTCTCATAAATTACAAGTATTTTTTGGAAATATAAATATCAGAACTCTAGATGCTTAAGAAAGTATAACTTAATCTTATAAATATCAGTTGGCAATCCTTATTAAAATTCTTCATCCACTATTTTAAACCCGCATTTTTTTATTAAAATTTCATATATTTTCTCTGATCTAGTGATTGAAGCATCTTCATCATCAAATTAATAATCTTAAGTAGATACATTCTCCTTAAGTATGATTGGGTATTTTTTGAATTTTTAGAGCATATTACAAAAATCTGAATCTGTTAGATACATACTTATCCATTATATCCATATGCAATCAAAATAATTTTTAGGCTCAAATTGTTCTACAGGCATTTAATAATATAAACAATTGAATTAGTTGAGTCTTCTCTTGGATTCATTAATAAATTTGGCCTCTCTTTCAACTAAATGAATCTATAATTCATAAATCATATTACTTCCTTAAAATGTTTGATAAATAATTATTCAGATATTCTACCTACTCCTGAACCTAATTCCAAAATAGTATTAAATTGTTTGATATTTCTAAGTAAGAATTATTCAGATTGTTGAATGTCTACATTATTTATTTAATCATATCCCCCCAACATACTACTATTTGTAATTGATTATTAAGCCCAAAATTGACGATTAATTTCTTTCATTTATAATTTCCTTAAATTCATTTATTAATAATTTATGTAATCATTATCTGTGAGAAATACTAAATAACAAATCTAATATAGAGATTGGTAATTGTTTATAATAGATCTACAGGAGTTATACTTGTCATCAGAGAAGACTAAGTGAAATAAACAACAGAAAAAATAGCAATGATAAAAATTACCTAAATATTATTGAATTTAGTAGAAAAAATAAATTTTTTAATTCAAGAAGGAAAGAAATAAAAAAATAAGAGGAAATATTATCATAGAATCAAAAATTATTTAATAAAATTGTGAATATAAAATCTAGTTTTTATCGTTCGGTTATTTTTATATATAATTTCATAGTCATCTCGACAGTCAATTAATAGCAATTGTTCAAAATTATCGGCGAGATCGATTGAATAAAAAGAAAAGAATATATAACGTATGAAGGATAATTCAATTCAAAGATAAAAAATATCTTAAATGTGTATAAGCTGATATAATATTTCAGTAAGTCAACTTTCAAATCTATTCCAACAGAGATTATAAGCAGAGAGTCTGTTCATAGACCTATATACTAGATAGAAGACATTTACAAATAATAGAAATGCCTTTAAGTCTAAAAGATAAATAAAGTACGCCTATTATCGTTTCCCTCAGTGAGAAATAGTAATAATAAGTCAAGAATATCAAATACAAGTAACAAAAGAGTTGACAATACATTACCAGCGATAAAAAAATAAAATTATTAAATCATACTTAGAAAGTAAAAAGATAAATGGAATAATAACTGATTACTTATATTAATGAATAATTATTTTAGAGAAACAATCATATTAAAGAAGAAGAATAGTTCTTCTGCAGATACCGAAGACTTTTTCCGATATGCCAATCCTAAATAAACTCAGCCAACTTAAGTAACTGATTAGAATCAATGGACAATCTAATAATGTGATTCAGAGATATTGTCAGACATCGAAACTCCAGCAAAATCTAGAATGGCTGATTCAATAATAAAAGAATTTGAATTGGAAAATAGTGGAAATGCAGGGTCAAATAAAAAACAATCAAGACCAAACATAGATGTTATAAATGAAGCTTTGACTTCTAAGTATAGATTGAAAGGAGAGAATGAGACTCTTTTATTTATTATGATAGGCACTTACATTATAAATATTTGTCTTCATTTAGAGCATATGCTATCACATAGATAACATGACTATAAAAAATATATAGGACTTTTAGTAGATTTTTCGACGAGTCTTTATTATTTATATGATAGTTATTACAAGTAAATAAATATCTTAATTTATTAAGAGTTAAGAGGATGGAAAATGAATTTCATATAAACATCATTCTGCATTTGCTAAGTGGTCCAATTTAATTATTTTTGAACATCGCTTATTTTATTTAATTTCATTAATTTTGCTGGTTTTCGATTATATTAAAATCGCTAAAATTGTTTGCAACCAATTTTTAAAAGTAAAATTTATCCGATGTTTATAATACTTTTGTAAATAGTTTGCCTTTAATATTTACATCAATAGTAGTATATTTTGTTTTTACATATTTATGTACTATACTTTATTGTGAGGTGAATAGAGATTATTTTAAGAATGTGGGAGTTAGTGCTTTTACTTTACTATAAATATTAACGATAGATGGATGGGGAGATATTACTAAATAATTATTACCAAAAACTGGACTTTCAGTAATAATTTTAATATTCTCATTTATAACTATTTTGGCAATGTTTTTTTGGTTTCTAATTTAGGCATTTTAAATAGATGTTATGATTTTAGATGAGTTGGTTAAATAAGGAAAAGTAGATATTGATGAAAAATCAATATCTCATAGTTCCTAAAATTTATTACCTTAGAAATATTATTCAATAATTTTTGGATAATTATAATCAAGAACAGTACTTCTAATATGGATATGTCAATTATTTTATGCAAATATGTAGAACAAATTAAATAATATAAATGATTTTCATTATATATGCTTTCATATATTTGTTTCATTAATTTATACTTTGCATTGGATAGCAGTAATAGTATTGAAGAATATCGAAGCATTTAATTCATTTTATTCAAATATTTAATTAGCCTTTCATGTACTTTCAGGGCCAATTGCTTTTTGTTATTCACTTTTTGAAGTTATCACTATTCAATAAGTTAAATATAGTCCAATCCTTATAATGTTGAAAATCTTAACAAATCCTAGTATTCGAGATATTAGTTATATTGCAATTAGAGTTCTATCCTCTTCTCTCTCTCCATATATTCTAATGCTTATTTTAACATTAATTGTAATGGGAATAATTAAATCAGCTTATCATTCATTCGAATCAGTTGATTTATTAGATACACTCCTTATTTATTTGTAAACTCTTACTTTGGATGATTGGGATGGTAGTTTGTCTAAGGGATTTGTTCAAAAAGGACATTATTTTGCTGCCTTTATTATAATGATATATATTTTAGTGTGTTAGTTTTTACTCATTCCTGCTTTTATGGCTTAAGCTTGTGAAATATTTTAGGTATTATTCACATTCACTAAACTAGTAAATTTTAGGAGTCTCATTCAAACCAAGATTAAATTAAGATGGCGATTTAAATTTATATCAATACACTGATACAAATGTAGAAACTATTGTCAAACGGTAATCTCCAAGAGTTATTAGAATTAATTAATCAAAAAATCTTATTTATCAATTTCTTAAATATCAAAAAGCACTTTTTTCTTATGAGAATAAAACACATCCTAAATTATTAATATCACTCTATGGATATCTTACAAATTTAGGAAACTTACATTTCCCTAAATTTGGTATTTTAACTAAATCAGAAAAAAAATTGCTTTTAGCTAAGAAATCCTCCAAATTTCTCATAGAATTTAAAAACCAATAAATAGAAATAGATTCAAACTAGATTTAATTTGTGTATTTGCCTTGAACTCATTTATATATAATTTTATATTATGAACAATTAAATTTTGATATTTGAATCGACTTTTTTTTAATAAATTATAAGCTTATGTAATCTAAAAAGGATGAGTATAAGATTTCTTGTATTAATTTTGATTTTGGTTTGAGATGTATATTATGAGTTATTTTATAAATATTATATTATACATACGTTAAATAAATTTTATATGAAAATCAACCAACCTTTTTAGGTTTTTGTTCGTATACGCTCCCAATAAGATTCTACAAATCCAATTGAAGTTGTAAATGAAAATATAGTAATAATGAAATTTAAATAATTAGCTTAGAATATCAAATAGAGAAATGAGTTTTTAGAAAATCTTTACTGAAAATGATTCCAATATATCAGTTTATGAAGGAGTATTATTATTTATTTATTAGACTTTATCTAAATTTATAAGTAAATTGTTTGAAGGGTTCAATATGACAGTGTTATGCTATGGTATGACAGGATCTGGAAAAACTCATACAATGTTTGGGAACTCACATGTAAAAAAATAGTAAATTAAAAGGATCATTATGGAATAGTGTATTAAGCAGTTAAAGAGCTTTTTTAATTAAAGAAAAATGGATTTATAAAAATTAGTTTTTATGAAATATACAATGAATAGATTATTGATTTATTAGAATAAAACACATAAAATTTATAAGTTTAAGAAGATAAGAATGGAGATACAAAGATACCAGGTTTATCATAATAATGTATAGTTGACGAAGATCATTTAGTTTAATTAATTTAATAAGCATAAAAAAGAAGATAGTTAGCTTCAACTGCTAGTAATCAATATTCATCTAGATCACATGCTATAGTGTAGATTTAAGTGATGAATTATGATGAAAAATAAAATATTAAATATGATGGTAAATTAATATTAGCTGATTTGGCAGGAAGTGAAAGATGTTACAATTATAAAAATGGAGGAACTTAAAAAATTTAATAAGAAGGTTAGAATATTAATAAATCTTTGTTGGCATTGGGATAATGTATTATGATGTTGAATTAATGTAAAACACACATTCCTTATAGAAATTCAAAATTAACAAGAATTTTGAAATAATCTTTAAGTGGTAATTCAATGACTCTTTTTATTGCATGCATAAGTAAATAATTCAGTGAAGAAACTGAAAATACATTAAAATATGCATAATAAGCATGTGCTATTAAAACTTCAATAACTTAAACTATTACATAAATTTAAATTGAATAACCAAAAAGATCAATATCATTTGAAATTTAGAATCTAGAATAGTAATTAAATAGCTACTTTTTAATTAATAATGGTTTGCATAAAAATCTAAATACACTATATTAGAATGTATAAAAAGAATAGGAGACAAAAGTTATAGTTTAAAATGTAGAGTAATAAATAGCATCAAATATGAGAAAACAGAAATTAATAATAAACTAAATTAAAGGATTAATTGTAGAAAAAGAAAATTAAGATAAATCCTTTACATATAGAGGATCAGAAGTAAGATTTTGTGATTTGAGTAATAAAAGTTCTATGATTTCATAAATACAACCTCAGACTGCAGATTAGAGTTGTTAAACAGAAAGAATTTAAAGTCCTTTATAGTTTGATTTAAAGCATGGTCGAAATAATTCTTAATAAGTAATCAATACTATTGAGATTCATAAGATCCCATAATCAAAAAGATTTTCAAATCCATTTTTAAGCACAATGGTATAAGATGAAGGAACAAAAAAAGATGTTCTGTAAGATAGAACAAATAGATTCAGGATTAAAATAAAATGAAGAATTTTACTATTGAATATATTTAAATATTAATAATCAATATAAATATTTTTGAGACTTGTTTAATGAATATATTTGAGGATAGTTTAATATTATTAGTTTGTTATATGTAATAGAAATATATGATTTCAATAATAATAATAATAAATATTATTATTATTACTTTTCTGTGTACGAATCATTTCATTATTGATGCAGGAAATATATAAACGTAAAACTCATAAATAGAGAAACTCCGTTCATACATAAGATTAAAAAATAAATTCTGAAAGGTTTTCATTATCAAATATCATTGAAATATAGACGTAGTCTAAATGTTGATATGAATAATTATACACCTAAGTAACCAAAATGGGCTGAAAAGACTATAAAAAATATGAATAGATACTCCTTTAATGATAAAAATGAATAAGATAAGAGAGGTTCAATGAGCACAGTAGCCACATTGACTACAATGAGCACAGATTTTTATGTTTAGGATGATGATGCTATTGAAGAGATGACATCTTCAAGTGATGAATCATAAAGAAATGTTAAATTTAAAACAGAAATGTGTAAAAATTGGAGTCTGCTTGGTAGATGTAATTATGGAAATAAATGTTAATTTGCACATGGTTAAAATGAAATGATAAATCGATAATCCAATTAGAAATACAAATCTAAACTTTGTCGATCTTTCCATTAGGATTATGTTAATAAGAATAATTATTAATTTAGGTTTGCTTTTATGGAGCTAGATGCCAATTTATTCATGAAAGCAGAAGTGTTGACCAAATTAGAAAGGATTTCAAATCTTAGACTTCATTTTATTAACCTGCTTCTAATTAATTAAGGTTGAAATCTTTTCAGCTTATAACAAGTGATTGGAAGTAAGAAATACCATTGCAAGAATGCTTTAAACTTTGGAAGACTAAATTATTGTTATAAATCAACATATCTTCAAGCAGTGACTGAAGATATTGTTTGATTTATGATTAAATATTTATTATTTATTATATTAAATGATTTAGGATTAATATTTGTTGTTGCTCAAACAGAATTCCATATCTAACAAAATTATCGAAGCCTATTTACAATAAAAATAGTTTTTAATTAAGTAAAATCAACATAATTACAAAGCAATGTGATTTCTTACTTTGCAAATATAATTACATATGGCCCTATTGCTTTATTTAATGCTTAGAAAATATGCTCCTCTAAATAATCTTAACAATTTGTTAGTACTATTAGGAAAAATTATGAAACTATGTTTGGTTTAAATGATTAATTAGATTCCTTAAATTTCTTTGATAAATAGTAAGATTACTTTAAACAATACTTTTCAGAATAAATATTGAATTCTCAATATTTAAGCTTTTTAGATGATTTAAAAGATTGTGTATATATTAAATAATTAACTAAAAATTAATGGCTTGATTAACTTTAAGAGATTATTGAAATATCTACTATTTAAGAAGTAAAACTCTAATATAATTATAGATCAACTAAACATAAATTATTAATGATTCCCTTGAAAGTGATACGCAAGCTCGAGAAAGAAAGAGGTAATTTATATATTTATTAAATTAGTATTTGTTATGATGGAGACGAAGAAAAAACTCCTTAATAAAGTGAAGAAGATGAATAAAGTAAAAACAAAGTAAATATTTTTATTACATAATTGAAAGTATTAAAAAAATAAGAAAGAAAAAGAATTATAAAATGGAGAAGGAGGTGAAGAGGGATATGATGCCAGTAATTCTGATCATAAGATTAAGATTTCGAAATTGCCAAGAAGAATCATCTAAAGGAGAAAATAAGCTAACAATCAAGAATTTGACACAGATAGAGAATATGTATGTATTTTTCATTTATTTAGAAATAAAAAGAATGAACAAAATTATTTAATATGTGTAATTATTATATATATTTATATTAATTTCATAATGAGATCAAATCCTCGTTCATAATCAAAAAAAGAATCGAAGACTGTTTAATAACCTTCTCCTCCACCTCCTCCACCTCCTCCAAAAAAACCAGAAGAAAAATAATTCAATCCAGATATATATGTTAAATAAAATTTAAGTCGAGATGAAGTTATTGAATTGAAGGTTATTAAATATAAAAATTTATTTTTTTAGAAAGCTTTTGATCTCTTCGATGATGATGGAAGTGGTACAATAGATCCAGCTGAATTAAAGGGAGCTTTTGAAGAATTAGGGCTTAGAGCTCAAAATAAAATGATTTATTAAGTTTTAGGAGAAATTGATTAAGATAACTAAGGAGGATTTTCATTTGACAATTTTATTAAACTAGCTACAGCTAAATAAAACTTAAAAGAAACAAGAGGTTCTTTGATGAGAACTTTTAATTTATTTGATCTTAATCGTGAAGGTTATAATATTGAGTAATTATAGGTAGAATTACATGGGATGAATTGAAAAGAGTCTCAGCTGATTTAGGAGATGATTTGAGTGATGAAGAAATTAAAAAGATTTTTAGAAAAGCTGATCTAAATGATGATGGTTTTGTAACATTTGATGATTTCTATAATATGATGACAGGAAGAGTCTATTATGATTGAACGAATAACATTATAATAAAATATAAGTATTGTAATTTCGGAATTTCTTAAATTGCCTTAATTTTTTAATTCTAAATAACTATCTATTAATCAATATATGTTACTTATAAAAAACAATAAATTAGATTTCTTGCATTGGCCTTATAATTTTGAATGTATAAATTTTATTATGTATATAAAAAAATTAAAAGACTTAATATCAATAACATTAGATGATTATCGAAATGAGAGGTATAGTGCATAACATAATTAATTGATACTTAAAAAAATATGGCCAACTTTTCTTACTTTGGTGAAATTTTATACTATTATTGGACTAATATACGTAATAATTTAAAATTCTCTCTATTTCTCAAGTTTTAATAAGGCTTACACAACATTTTATTTCTATATTCAGCTTGTTGCTACTGTTATATATGTGAGTGTGGTTGAGAGAATAACAAATTCCTTAAGGGAGTCTTATAAATTATAACTTATCTTTTTTACATTCATTTTGATTGAGAGCTCCTTTTAAATATATTTAGTTGAAGTATATTTATAGAATGAGACAGAGAATAATATATTAACTGTATGCTAGTTGTTTATAAACTTATTACTTGTTTTAGGGATAGTCAGAACGATAAAATTAAGAATTATGATACTACTGAAATTTTACATTTATTTTATTGCTAGAGGAATTACTTTCCATTTTAAAACATTATAATCGGTCAATATTTTATTTTTTATAATTTTGATTTTGTATTTTTGGGATTAGCAATTAATAAATTTGAGCAAAGTCTCATAATTTACTGATCAAACTTTGAAAAGTATTCCAAGTGCTGTATGTGTATTAGATTAAAATTGTTAAGATGTATTATTTACAAATAATTTTACTAATAAATTAATAAATTCTCTAAATTATGGTGGATTTTCAGGAACAAAATCTATTAATCTATAGAATTAAAGATTTCCATCTTAGGAATCAATTTTAAGTTCACCCTTTAATGAATTAGTTTAATTTTTTGATAATTTAACTTTACCCTAATCTGAGGTTAAAGAGTAATTTAATTCTGATAGTGTAAATAGATTAGATTCTAAATATGAATGTGCGGATCAAAATTAAATTAATCTTAATCAAGCTTTAAAATTAATAAAAATGAATGAGAAATAAACATCAGGATGTATATATACGTTAAGATGTTCATTCAATAATCAGATATAAGGATCAGAATATCCAATAATAGTAGAAGCTAGGATAAAAACTAAATTACAATATGGCTTAAATAGAAATGCCATCCTTTTGAATCTCTATGATATATCTCCTAATTTTAAATCTTCTTATTATAAGAAACTTAATGAGTTCAAAAGCTAAGTAATTCGTTCGATATCACATGAATTAAGAACAAGATTAAATGTTATTTAAGGTTTCTTATAAGTAATTTAATGTAACAGTATTAATTATGATAAAGAAACTAATAAATTATTAAGAGCTGCATTCAATAATTGCCGAATTCAAAATCTTATAATAAGTTCAATTATTAATTATAATTTAATAAGAGAAAAGAAATTGGTTACAAAAATTGAAAAATGTAAATTGATATCAAAAATATAAGAAGTCTTAGATTTATTTTAAGAGGAAGCTGAAATAAAAAATATTAGAATAACATTTTAGAAATAAATCAATTAATAATAAAATGAAATGTTAGATTATGAAAAATTTTAGAGTATTTTGATCCATATGATATCAAATAGTATAAAATTTAATAATAAAGGCGGATAAATTTTTATAACAATTACAAAAGAGACTTAGGATAGAGATAAAATAATTAATAATAAGGAGAATGAAAAGAAGACTTTATAACCTTCATATAGTTCTTAAACAAATAGAAGTTGTTAGGATTTAAATGAAAGTTCTTTTCATTTTCCTTTAAGGAAAAATACAACATTAAGATAATAATTAATAAATCCTTCTAGTTAATTTTCAAATGTTTAACTACCATAATAAACGAATACTTATCTATATGAATATTATATAATTGAAATTAAAGATAATGGTTAGGGAATAAATTCATAGAAATTGGAAGCAATTTAAAATTTATTAAAAAATGAAGAGAAAGCCTTCTAAGATTTAGATAGTGATTCTGCATCTGGTATGATGTTAGGTTTAAGAGCATCTAATGCATTAATAAAATATCTAAGTGGAAAAGAAGAAGATAATTATATAACAATCGACTCAATTATAGATTAAGGAACTACAGTTTGTATTCATCTCAAATGTCGAGTAATATAATTAACGGATGGACTATTACCGAGTGATTTATATAATAAAGAGAGTTCTTAGATTGAATTAGAAGGAAAGATACCAGATATTGAATGCTAAAGTTTTAAATTTAATATATGGACAGATCCAGAAATGAGTAGTAAAACTAATATGATTTGCAAAACTAAAAGATCTTCTTAAAATATAAATTTGATTAATAAAAAAGGGAGTGTTCACATGTTCTCTAATAATAACATATCAAGTTTTTATAAAAATATGGAAGGCAGTTAATTTAAGAGTTAAAGTTGTTTTTGTGAATAAAAAATAGTTATTGTTGATGATGAACCATATAATTTATTAGTTTTGGAATCTTTGCTTAAATAATTAGGATATTTGTCAATTAAAGCAGATAATGGTAAATAATGTGTTTAACTGATTGAAAATAATATTTCATTGTTTGATGAACATAAATGTCAAGGATTTAAAGCTATTATTATGGATTATTAAATGCCAATAATGAATGGATAAGAAGCGACTAAATAATTATAGTTTCTATTCAAAGAATAGTCCAGAATTCAAATTCCAATTTTTGGATTAACAGGATTTTCTGGAGAAGATGATTTAATCAATTTAATAGATGCTGGAATGAGAGAAGTTTATATTAAACCTATTACTCTTAAAACATTGGAAGAAATGATCAATAATTTAAATTTAATAGAATGTAGGGATACACCATGTCTATCTTCAAGGCAATTTTAATGTTTTGAACTAAATTATGCTGATGACTTAGAATAATTAGCTCATGAATGATAGTTATTAATTAATTTATATGTAAATTAGTATTAATAGTTAACAGTTAGCCCTCACAAAGATTCAAAACAATGCATTTAATGTCTAATATTCTCCTTTTAGGCTCTTAAATATCAAATACACTGAAGCTTCTACTTAAAGGCTTATTGAAGAACCCATAAATAACATTCAAGTATTTTAAATCTAAGGCAGTAACTATGAAGAGCATTTTAATACTAAAAATAGTAAACTACCTAAACAAACTAAAGAATCAGTCAAAGTTATATCTATTGATTTAAAACTTTAAAAGAAAAAATTAAAATCAACCTCGAAAGAAAACCTATCCGATTATCAAAAAAAATTAATCAGCGACATATAAAAAATTGAATAAGAAATCCTAAATCTCAGTTGAAATCCTTAACTTTTTATTTACACAAATTATATATTCATTTTAAATTAAATTTAACAAATTAGTAAATTTTCTTTTCTCTTCTTAGTAGAATAATTTCATAGTTTAAGTATTATTTATCTTTTTTATTTTTTTATAATAATAACGTATTAAAATCTTAAATTTCTTCATTAAAACTTTGAGAAACTAGAAACTAGAAACTAGACTTCTAACATATTAAATTATTTTTATTTTATACTAGTGATTTTTGTATAAATATGTATAATCACTCTATTGATTTTTTACTCAAAGTTATATTTTTCTAGATTAAGTACTGCCTCTTAACAGTTAACAAAAATCTAATTCTGCTATTTATTATAAAGGATGTCCCTCATCAGGAACTAACTTAAGTACTTTTATTATTTACCCAAATCAAAATCTTCTCCTAAATTCGTTGCCAATCTTGATTATCTTCTAATATTAGATTATTAAGATTAAATTTTTAAATCTAATTCGCTTTAAGATCTTAATTCAATTATAGTTTTAAGTGAAGGTAAAATTACTTTTTTTTTTTTTACATCATTCTATTATTTTATCTTGCTCTTTATATTTACAAACCAATGGTGTTTCATACTATCTGAAATTTAAATTCTTTGTCCTATTATGTTTAGATTTAGATATAATACTAGGGTTTTATTCTAACAATTTTACCAATAAATCTAATCCGCTCAAACTTACATTTTTTTCGATTTACTATTCTAAACTTGAAATCTATACAACCTTTTCTTATGATATTTTTATTTCAAGTAATTTTTTTATTTTATTTGAATCAATCTCAAATGACTCAAAATATTTTTCACTTGGTAATTATTTTGGAAAAGCCATAAAATATTATAAGACCCCTAAACTATACAAATCAGATGTTATATTTGGAGGAAATCCTATAAAAAATTCTGGAGCTATAAAACCTTCTATTTATCTATTCAGAATCCAATCAAGTTTATCATTTATTTTATATTGCTATAATTTATAAATAACAACAATACTTTAAAAGATAAATTAATTAAAAATATTTATAAGAGTTGATTATTTTAGTTGATTATTATATTTAGAGGATTTAAATTTCCATGATAGAACTAATGCTTATCTAAAAATTTTAAGGTTTACAGTATCTAGTAGATAATCTATTTGATAAACAAAAATCAAATACTGATGCAATCTAAACTTCATTTAAAGGATTTTTTTAAATCATGTTGTAAAGTGATTCACCTTTAAAATGCTCAAATAAAATAAATAAGTAAGACTCATCTTCATAAACTCTTCTTAATTATAATAAATTTTGATGCTTAACAGATCTTAACAATTAGATTTCATTGTGTACAATTTCTTCTATTTCAGGACATAAATCAAAATCTTCCATTTTGTAAATTTATACAGTAAATTAAACATTATTCTATATATTAAACTTATATTCATACACTTTTTTTATAACACTAATATACACCAGGAAGCATTCTATCAGTTAATTTGTATTTACCAAAAAAATCATTTAATTTACAATATTATTTCATCAATTTATACCAATTTCTATATTAAATAAATTATGAAAAAAATAGAAATGTATTTCCAATATTATTAGAAATTATAAATCCATAAGTTTTAGCCTCTTTATATTGTATTAATTCTTTTTGTATTGTGCAATTGCTTAAAATCAAATGAGTATATATTTTATCTAATTAACAAATTAAGATGTTTGGATAAATGTAGAATAATTTTTCTGAAAATTCATGTTTTTATGCATCATATGAAAACACAGATCCTGATTATAATTATGGATTCTATTAAATTTTCTTCATATATTCTTCTCCTATTTATTTTAAATTTTAGCTTTCTAATTCTTTTGGAGAAAATTTTGCCACCAAGTTTAATAGCCAACCTATTTAATTTTGTTCTTGAAGATCTGCAGCTTTCATTTGAAATTATTAAATAATAATATGTTCTTTTAAATTGAAAATAATAAAGAAAAATATAATAGAAAGTAAAACACAATAATAATACTATCTTTTAGAAGATCATTTAATAATAATAAAAATATTAACTATTTCATTAATCAATAAAAATAGTAGAAAATGAGATTATTTATATGAGATAAAAAAATGTTGAAGAAGTATAAAGTTATCAAATATTTTTGAAATTTTATTTTTCTAATAACAAAATTTGCTTAAAGAAATGAATAAATTAATAAATCAATAAATGAAGAAAAGAAGATGAGCTGCAATATCTCAGAAAGAACACTAAAAGTTCTGTCAAAATTATTTTTATAATGGAAAGATGTATATGTATATTGTGCATAATTATAAACATAGTATAAAATAAATTTAATCTTTTATTCAATAAAAATTTTAGAAGAATTTATAATATTGCTAATTATTATTAATATAAGAAATTAAAACTATAAAATATTAATAGACTTCATTTATCGAATGATTTTTTATTAACTTTAATCATTTATTGTAAATCATTGATAACTTACAATTTTTTATCTCTTTATATACGTTGCTATTCTTCTTAACTTTTTAATCTTTCTAACTATTCTTTCTCATTTCTTATCCTTTCTAACTCATTAGTGTATGTTTATTTCATAACATTTTCTTTCTAAATATAAGCTTATAAATACTTCTGATTGTTAAATTATAAATTTTTTATTATCTTATTGATTACTTGAATATTTAGTTTTAAAATTATCCTTTATTCTTTCTTTTTATTCAACTTCCTTATTTAACTATTACAGTTATATTCTAAGTAGCTTGTTAGTTTCATTTAAATGCAAGTTTTCAGATTCCACTTAATAAATTTAGCCATGTAAATTATCCAATTTCTATTCATTTTATTCAATTTTTAATAATTACCTTTCAATTAATATTCTTTAATCATTGATTTAATTTTTTAATTCTTATTCTTACTTATTTAAGATTCTAAGTTCACTTTCTAATTCATTTATTCTCTATTATGCACTGTATAACATATTTTCTTAATTTTTTTAAGATTATTCAGCTAAAATTAATTCTTTTTATCTATTATTTTCTATTTCTTCAAATTATTTTTGAACTCTTTAAACAGTAATATCTTTTTCTTCTTAAATTTAATTTAATCTAGTTTTAATTTATTCATTTGATTATTTTTCAAAAGATAATTAAAGTTCTAATTACTTTATATTTCTTTTTAATTATTCATTTTCAACTTAAACAGTCAATAATTATTCTTGAGTTTTTGCCAAAAATTATCTTTCTGCTAATTATTCTTTATTAATAACTAGAATTATTAAAAATATTACATGAATCTGCATTATTTGATTTATTATTAATTGAGAAATTTGATTCAAAATATGTTTGAGAAAGAGAGGATTAATTATCAATTTATTATTCCAATTCCAATATTTGTTTTTTTAAACCTAATTCTTTTTATTTTTATTCTTTAAGTTCTTTTTCTCTGTTCTCAACTTTTAAATTTGCTATTCTTAATTCTTCTTCTTATCTCTATAATTTTTCTTTGATCTAAAAAGATTAATCCTGATCTCCTATAATTTAATATTTCATTTGACTAATCTATTACTCTAATTTTTAGACTTTAGAATTTGCAGTTTAGAGATTTGCTTTAGTTTAGGCCAATTCTTATTATTTCATCTCAACTGTATCATCAATTTCGTTTTTCTTAAAATTGATTTATTAAGCTAATTCTCTATTTGTTAACATTTCTTTATCTAATTATAATTTAAGTTTGATATTTTCTTCTCTTAATTTTTCTGTCTAATCTTTTAGAGAATCCACTTCTCTTTAGAGTCTTTGAAAAATATCTTGATCTGGATGTTCATATTATCTGTTTTAATATATTTAATTTTCTATTTATTGTAATTTTGAAGCAATATCTTTATGATCATCTTTTAATATTTAATTCTCAACTAAAAGTTTTTCATTTTATTCTTTAATTCTATCATAATCATTGAAAGGACCAGAAGTACTTTCTTATTATTAATAAGACTTGCCCAATGAATCAAATTTGTTGCTATATTCAACTTAAATTAATTTTAATTCTTTTTTTAATTTTTTAATTTCCGTATATTTTTCAGATAGTAATTATTTTAATTCATTTAATTGATCTGTTAGACTAATATTCTATTCATAATATTCAGTTAATAATTTTCTGACTTCTTTACTTCTATAATATAAAACACGATATTCACGTAAGAGTTTATCTTTAGAAACAGATTCTAGTTTTGTTGTTAGCATCAAATTTTCTTCTCTACTTAATTAACATACTTCAGTATCTAATCCTTTTCTTTCACTTTCAACCAGAGTTTCATATTTTGATAATTTTGTTTAAGGGTTTACTTATAGGTTTATCATTTCCTTTGAATCACTTGATTCTGTTATTGAACTTCCATCATCAAAATAAGAACCATATGCTTTCTTATTATTTGATTATTTTTTTGATGAATTTAATGATGGTCTTGATGGACTTCATTATAATATTAATATTTACCTTAAACTATGATCTGCAATTTATTTTGAACCTCTTGATTCTGTAATTCTTACATTTGATCTTTAGCAATCAGTTTGTTTTTATAAAACCTTTGAAAAATTACCCAATTTATTTTCAAAAGCTTTTTTTGTAAATTTTGGAGTCTATTGTGTTTTTGAAGACTTTATTTCTTTTTTACTTTTTTTTGATGATTTACTTCTGCTCTGTTCAAAGCTTTTCAATTACCCTCTTGAATGAGATAATTTATTTAAAGTCTTTCTACTTTAACTTTTTACTGATTTCCCTGATTTTGTAGATTTTCTACTCTTTTTATCTGATGTTGGTGTTCTCATTCGATCATCTGCAACACTTTTTAAACTTTTTCTCATTTTCCCAATCTTTTTCGCTAATTCTGTTAATTATATAAGTGTTGAAGATCTTCCAGCAAATTCACTTTGTCTAATTTGTTCAAATAATTATTTTTATTCATTCTCCTTTTCTTTTATCCATTATTTTGTTAAATTTTAAGGTGGATTATTGACTTTCTAGACTAAAGTCTTTATTTATTGTTGAAAACCACTCTCGTTTTTACTTTTTTGTTTTGACCCTTAACTTTTTCTAGCTAATGACATAAAATTTAATTATATTGTTAAAATTTGAATTTTATTATTTTAACAATTCTTCTCTAAAAGTTTTATGTTTTTTTTTTCAATAATTAGTTTATTGTTGCTTACAAAAAATTGAAAATCTAAATCTTCTTTGAATGATTTCTTGTCATCTTATTGATTTAAATTTGAATGGATAACTTCTAATCTTTTTAAAAAATAACTTAGGTATTTATGTCATTAATAAACATTTATTTAAAAGAATTATATTTCTTTTAATCCTCATTCTATAACTTAATATTAATGCCTATTTTTAAAATTTTAGTTTATATGTTTTGTCATTTTTCTTAATTTTTTTTTCATACAATTTTCATTAAAATTTAATAATTAAAACATACATAATAAGGCAAAAATTAGATGAAAAGCTATTGCTGGTAGGATTGTCAAATTTATTTAAAAATACTCTGGAAAGGATAACAATGTAAATTGCAAATGAAAATTTATTTGAAAAAATAAAATAAAATTTTGAGATTGTAATTAGCTAATTAACAATTAAATGATTTTTTTGAATAATATTTCATTCTTGTTACATTTGCTCATTACTAAATCCATTTTTTTGAAGTAAAGCTAATACTTCTTTTTCATTGTAAGTTTTACTTTTTACTTCTTTACCTTATTTGCTAATAACAACAATTTCAATTTTTGATGGTTATGGCGATGATGTATCCATAGTTTTTACAAGTGCTTTAATTGCAATATCTAATCCCTAAAATATAATATAATTATAGACTTATTCTAAAGTTAGATTATCTTTATAATCTTATTTCAAATAGCTATTCGCAGCCAAATTATTTTTTCCAATAGCTGTAGCTTTCCAACCAGCGTAATTTCCAGATGGATCTGTGCTAAATAATTAAAAACCATTTTCTTTATCATATCCTGCAAAAAGAAATGCTGTACCAAAGGGTCTTTATCCTCCTACTTAAGTTTTATTTTATTTGTAATCACAAATATTTATAATTAATTATTCTAACCCAATATTATCTTGAAACTAATATCTAAATAATGACTTATTACTTTACCTATGATTTGCTGCTGCTTCTCTTGCATAATTTATTAAAATATTTGCATCAGCTGTATGTCCAGAAACCACTGAAAATATATGTCTATCAATAGGGTAAATCTTCTCAGAATGTTTTGAGTGTTCTAATAAATGTGACACTTCTTATTTCTCTGTTGCCAATATCATTCCCTCATTTGTTAAAACTCCAAGAGCTGATCCAGTTTAATTAATAGCTTCTATTGCATATTCTACTTATTTCAATCTGCCATCTGGAGTAAATGTATTAGTTTTCTAATCGTATCTCCTTGACATTTAATTTTAATTTAAATTAATATATACTGGTGTTCAAATAAAAAATAATATAGCAATAATCATAAATGTATATGATCTGGATATTTATACTATAACACTAATAATTATCCTAATCCTTATTCATTCATCAATTCTCTTGTGCTCGTTATTAATTTTTATAACTCTTATTTATTTATTGGATATATATATTATAATCCATCAACAATTTTTATCAATATTTTCTAATTATATATTTAATAATTACTCCCAAAGACATTTAGATTAAACCTACAAGCTAATTATAATTTTAGTCACATTCTAGAACAGTGGAATTTTTTAATTCTAATTTCTAAATTAAAACAGATAGTTATTCAACAAATTTCAGATGCTATACATTCACATTCTACTCAGTAAAAAATTCTATAATAGAATAAATTTTTAGCAATTGTTTGAATGATTTTTTTTAACTTAAATTGCCAATTATTTTATCTATTCTATTATGAAATATTTGATTAATGTTAGACCTTAAAGTTTGATATTTCTAATTATATTTATCAAGCAAATAGTTTAGACATTTCGCTATTTTTCTTTACAATTCAACTTAAGATTTAATATTAATTTCCTCTATTTTTCCAGTTAAAAATTTTATCAATATCTTTATTATATTGTGTAACTTTTGAATAGATAATTCATTACTTAAAATTCTATATCTATTTATTTATTTGATATTATTTGACTTATGCAATAAATAATAATTGAGCGATGCTTGTAATATTATAATTGTATTTAATCTTGTTAGCTCTAAAGATACTATATGATAAAGGGAACAATCTAAGCCACATCCTTATAATTCTCTAAATCCGATAATACTAAATTATTTTATTGATTCAGATACGCTAACAAAATTCTTGAGATAAACATAATTTAAGACTTGTAACTTCTTTTTCAAATAAATCCTTAAAATTTTTCAGAATTTATTATTAATGAATTGTCAAAATGCTAATTATATTATCCTTTATAATATTGAAAGACTTATTATCTTCAAAATTTTAGAATGATTCTACTTAAATAATATCCTTATATTGCACTAAAGATAGAATTATCAATATACTTATTTACTATGTTTCTTAGGAATTTAATAATTTGTAATCTTTCATTACATTAAATAAACTAATTGATGGTTATCCAAGGGGAATTTTAACTGTTCTCATCTAAAGAGTTATTAAATCTCTCAAATCTAAATTCTTATTATTAGCTTTATTTTTACTTAGTCATTCAAAACATATTCATTCATCCTTTTAGTCAGATTAATACTATCCATATGTTAAAATCCCACTATTTCAAACTAAAGTTAGTTTTGGTATCCATACCTTATGCAAATTTTAATCCTTGATAGCTTATTCTACTTCCATGCATGTAAGTTATTTCTTTCTAAAATGTCTTTAATATTTGATGGCTTCCTAAGTATTTTAAAAATATTTACTTGGATGATCTTTCTCACATTTTATTCGACTAGAATAAATAAATGCAATTCAGCTCCTTATTCAATTTATTTAGCTTAAAGAAGCCCTTTCAAAATACTTTCATCCCTAAACACAGAAATCATAATATACACAAATTTTGCCGATTTGATATTTACATTAAAAATGAAATTGAAATAAGTTCTACAAAGACACTTCAAAAATGATTTTTAGAAAATGCTTTTCATCTATCTATAGAGAAATGATGTTTTAATGACAAATCACAATGTTTCAAGTCATCTTTATTCAAATTTATTCAGATATCAAAGATCTCTCTTTATTATTTGAAATATACAAATAAACTAAACTTTTACTATAAAGAAACTATATATTATATATATAAACTATTAGAGCTTTTAACATCTTTCTTATAAAAACTCTCTAATTTTACAATTCTAATAAAGAGAAAATTGGATTTTTTTATCATTTATAAGAATAATTATATCCAATCGATTCTCAAACAATAATGGTAAAAGTTCTCATTGTCTAACATAATACAATAAAGTATAAAAAGAGTTTGACAATAAATAATGAAAATTTCGAATCATTATAGCATTTTTCTAAGAAATCAGTTTTATAATTTGATTCCTCTATCTCCTCTAAATTTTTTAAAGTTAAGAAATCTATATTTTTACATAATCTTAAAGGTTGAAGAAGGCAATTATAAGTAGAAGTTATAAAGAGTGACAGAAATAACATCTATACTAAATTATTAAAATTATGAATATAAAGTGATTGAATTACTTGATTGCTTCTTCTCATAGAATATATTTAACAGAACATAAAATGTAGAGCTAATCAAAATGTAAAAAGATTTATTGTATTATTGTACTTATTCATAATATTCATTATATCAATCCTTAGGCTTCTTTTTAATTCTTAATTAATTTGAATGTCCACACTTTCTTTTTCTGCAATTATGAGCTTTTGGTGGTAATCTAATAAAATTTTTGAATCTTCATACCTAGCATAGCATACTCTGCAAATTTTTTTTTCAACGTTGTACTTTTTAGCTATAGCAGCAATTGTGGGTTCCATACCACCACCTCTTAATCTCAATACTAAATGGAGAGTTGATTCTTTTTAAATGTTATAGTCTGAAAGAGTTCTTCCATCTTCAAGTTACTTTCCTGCAAAAATCAATCTTTATTAATCAGGTGGAATTCCTTCTTTATCTTAAATCTTAGCTTTGACAGCATCAATGGTATCTGAAGGCTCTACATCAAGAGTGATGGTCTTTCCCGTCAGGGTTTTAACAAAAATTTACATATTATTTTAAATTTTAATAAAATCTTTAATTAATTATTTTTTCTATTTCGTAATCTATGAAGTATAACAAAACAATCATGATTGATCAAGGTTATCTTGCTTCTCAACCTTTTAATTTTTGGCATTCATAAATTTTTCTATATATTTAATTAAATAGCAAATTTGAATTTATTTTGTTATTATTTTATCATCAATTTACTACTTCATTGATTTAATAATTCCTTTTAAGGTATAGATCTTATCTAAAATGTTAAATTCAAAACAGGTCTTATGTTATTTTTAAGTTTACGATCACTTGAGAACTCATTTCTCAATCAGTTATTGTTATTTATCTTGTTTTTATTTCTGAATAAAAAACTATGTACATATTATTTTTTTATTACAATTTTTTCTTTTTATGAATATCATTTGTAACGTTACTTTTCCAATATCCTAAACTTAATACAGGACTCTATTTTCTCCTGTTAGGGAGGTTTGAAAACCTATTTTATCTTAATATCTTGAGTTTAATAAATAATAGCATTAATATTTCCTTCTTCATTTCTAAATATTGTAATTCAAAAAAATCTTCTTAAGAATTATTTAAATTATAATTCAAAATTGCAGTTTTGAATATTCTTGAAAGAGGGATGAAATATAAAACTAAAACAGCACTTCTTTGGAGAAAAACCTTTTCAATTTATCTTTGAGAACTTCTATTTTAGTTATTTTGTTGTATTACATTTCATCATCTCTTATAACCTGAATTTTCACCAAAATATTTGAAAAACTTTTTTCCAATTTTATCTTTCGATAAGTAAATGAAGTAAATCAATTATCCAATTTTTAACATCCTCAATTTCTAAAATTTTTTAATAAATTTAATGGATATTTTTATAAACAACAATCTAATCTATTTTTTTAATCTTAACTAACACTTTAGATATTATTTTTTTCTATTGATTAATATTCTACAAATTTATTGATAGAATAATTTAGGTATAATCAGAAACTCAACCTTTAAATTACTTATATTTTAATTCTTTTCTAATAATAATTTTATTATATTAAAATTGAAAGAAATAGATGAATAGTTTACAAGTGATTGAATTTTCTAATAGAGTTTTTGATAAATATGATAAAAATAAATCAGGGTTTATTGAGAAAGATGAATTAACTTTGTTATTAAATAATCTTGCCAAAGAAATTAACTCATAAGTCTTTCTTTGTTTAATTAATTTTAGTTACCCACTAAGAAAGAGATTGATTATATTGTTCGCTATCTTGATAAAAATAATGATTAAAAGATTAGCAGAAATGAATTTTAGGAATTAGGAAAATTAATGGTGAAAGCATTTCAGGGCATTTGAATTATTTGTAAATTATTTTTAAAATTATCAGAGTAAATTTAATTGATATAATCAAATCAATTTTTCCTTAAAATCAAGTTTGAATATGACAATTTAATATAGCCTTAAATTATAAAAATATATATACATTATAACAAAAAATAATTAGCAAAGCTTTAATAAAAATGCAATCTTGAATTATAATTGAGGATAAATAACTGACGTAGGAGAATATAAAAGGCATCAATCAAATAGGATTAAATATTTTTAATTAATTAAAACAAGTAATCAAATTATGGATTTTAGAATTAAGTGAAACTAAATTGATGGTACAACTAATTTCAAACAAATAAAATTCGAAAAACTTTAGCGATAATTAATAATAGTTAAAGAATTGAATAATTAATTTATACTTATTTGCTTCCAAAAATAATCTATTTGTACAATTGATTTTTTTTTTCAAATATTTAAAGTTTTAAAATTAAAACTAATTTATTTACTCTTGTTTTTTCATTGAATATGTATTCACTTTTTCCTTGTTGAGAAGGTTTTTCTTTATAAACAAACTTGTAAATAAATTAGTTATTAATATTCATAAGTTATTAGTAATTGATTAATTATAGAAACATATTTTTTTAAAATAAAAAAGCCATTTAAAGCATTTTTTTTATGGAATATATAATTTCAACTTCCATTTATGATTAAAATTGATATTAGTATGCTTTTTACATACAATCTTTTTAAGAAATTAAAAAAAATGTATGAAATTGCAAACAAAATCAATCAAACTTCTTAAGTTGTAATATTAAATTAAAATTTTTATAATTTATTATTATGATGAAATCTGATTAAAAATCATTGAATCAACAGCATCCACCCTATTTTGTTTACTTCTTGGGGTCCTATTTAGTTAATGTCACAGTTGTAGGGAAAAATCTAAAAAAAAGAAATAAAATAAAAGAATTACATTTCTTCATCTTTTTCTTAGCTTGCAGCAGCTTTAGCAATGTCTTAGAATGCTTATTCAATATTTGTTGCATCTTTGGCCGAAACTTCAAAGAATTGTATATTTCCATGTGATTTACACCATTATTAAGCTTTAGATTCTTAAACTTTTCTTTCTGTAGCTTTATCTAATTTATTTCCTAATACAACAAAAGGAAAATGTTCTGGATCTTTTGGTTAACCTTACATTAAAAATTCATCTCTCCAAGAATCCAAAGAATCAAATGATTTTGGATTTGTAATATCATAAACCAATACACAACAATCAGCTCCTCTATAAAATGCTCCACCTAATGATTGGAATCTCTCTTAACCTGCAGTGTCCCAAATCTATAAAATTTGTAAAATTATCATCATACTTATAGAGTAACCATACGATCATCAATCATAACTTCTTTTGCCATAAAATCTGCTCCAACTGTAGCTCTATATTATTATGTGAACCTTGCATTAACATATTAATTCATTAATGATGTTTTTCCTACTCTAAAAGTTATTTAATATGTAGACTTACCCTGAATCACCTAATATAATTATTTTGAAAAGTTGCTTCTTCTTGCTGGACATGTGGAATTAATATAATTATTTATTTATTTATATTACAAATTTCTCATTTTTATTTTTAAATTCTTAAATATCGTATTTTATAAGAAAAAAAATCTTAAATTCATTTAATACTCACTTCTTTATAGCCATAAAAAATATACAATTATATATTAAGTATTTTTAATCTAGTTTTGAATGATTATATGTAGATTCCTACATTTATTCACATTTTATTTCAAATCCTTTTTACTATATATAATGTTTAAGATCCTCAAAACCTAATTCGTTGCCTGATAAATCAAGAAATTTATGCTAAAAACTTAGAGAAGTTAAATTTATTATAAAGGATGATTTTAAATAATTAAGAAAATTTTTTCTTAGTAAATTTTCTTCTAAGCTGAGGTGTTTATTAATTATAAAATGAATATTATAAGTTATTTGGTATTTTTATTATTACATGAAGAAGATAGGTCAATATAATCTTATTATTTTGTGGTTCTTATGAAAATATTATTTTTCTAGTTGAATTCAGTTTGATTTAATTAATTTAATTTTCAAGCTTGAAATTAATTTATTTTATGAAATTGATTATTGAGAGAGCTACTTAATAAGGTAAAAAATTAAATAAAAGTCATGTTTCAATTTTGCTCTTATTTAATTTTTTAACGTCCCATTTCTATAATAAGACAGTATTTAGGAATTTAAATACTAAGAAAATATTAATTTAATTAATAAATTTAATAATATCACCTAATAAAACTATAAAATAACGCTTTCCAAAAAATATATAATTGTGTTATGAAAGAAAAAGCATGATATATACTTAGTTTTTATATTATATGACGATGAAATCTGATAAAAAATTCATTAAATCAGCAGCATCCTCCTTATTTAGCTTATGGTTTTTGGTTCTATTTAGTTAATGTCACAGTTGTAGGGAAAAATCTAAAAAAAAGAAATAAAATAAAAGAATTACATTTCTTCATCTTTTTCTTAGCTTGCAGCAGCTTTAGCAATGTCTTAGAATGCTTATTCAATATTTGTTGCATCTTTGGCCGAAACTTCAAAGAATTGTATATTTCCATGTGATTTACACCATTATTAAGCTTTAGATTCTTAAACTTTTCTTTCTGTAGCTTTATCTAATTTATTTCCTAATACAACAAAAGGAAAATGTTCTGGATCTTTTGGTTAACCTTACATTAAAAATTCATCTCTCCAAGAATCCAAAGAATCAAATGATTTTGGATTTGTAATATCATAAACCAATACACAACAATCAGCTCCTCTATAAAATGCTCCACCTAATGATTGGAATCTCTCTTAACCTGCAGTGTCCCAAATCTATAAAATTTGTAAAATTATCATCATACTTATAGAGTAACCATACGATCATCAATCATAACTTCTTTTGCCATAAAATCTGCTCCAACTGTAGCTCTATATTATTATGTGAACCTTGCATTAACATATTAATTCATTAATGATGTTTTTCCTACTCTAAAAGTTATTTAATATGTAGACTTACCCTGAATCACCTAATATAATTATTTTGAAAAGTTGCTTCTTCTTGCTGGACATGTGGAATTAATATAATTATTTATTTATTTATATTACAAATTTCTCATTTTTATTTTTAAATTCTTAAATATCGTATTTTATAAGAAAAAAAATCTTAAATTCATTTAATACTCACTTCTTTATAGCCATAAAAAATATACAATTATATATTAAGTATTTTTAATCTAGTTTTGAATGATTATATGTAGATTCCTACATTTATTCACATTTTATTTCAAATCCTTTTTACTATATATAATGTTTAAGATCCTCAAAACCTAATTCGTTGCCTGATAAATCAAGAAATTTATGCTAAAAACTTAGAGAAGTTAAATTTATTATAAAGGATGATTTTAAATAATTAAGAAAATTTTTTCTTAGTAAATTTTCTTCTAAGCTGAGGTGTTTATTAATTATAAAATGAATATTATAAGTTATTTGGTATTTTTATTATTACATGAAGAAGATAGGTCAATATAATCTTATTATTTTGTGGTTCTTATGAAAATATTATTTTTCTAGTTGAATTCAGTTTGATTTAATTAATTTAATTTTCAAGCTTGAAATTAATTTATTTTATGAAATTGATTATTGAGAGAGCTACTTAATAAGGTAAAAAATTAAATAAAAGTCATGTTTCAATTTTGCTCTTATTTAATTTTTTAACGTCCCATTTCTATAATAAGACAGTATTTAGGAATTTAAATACTAAGAAAATATTAATTTAATTAATAAATTTAATAATATCACCTAATAAAACTATAAAATAACGCTTTCCAAAAAATATATAATTGTGTTATGAAAGAAAAAGCATGATATATACTTAGTTTTTATATTATATGACGATGAAATCTGATAAAAAATTCATTAAATCAGCAGCATCCTCCTTATTTAGCTTATGGTTTTTGGTTCTATTTAGTTAATGTCACAGTTGTAGGGAAAAATCTAAAAAAAAGAAATAAAATAAAAGAATTACATTTCTTCATCTTTTTCTTAGCTTGCAGCAGCTTTAGCAATGTCTTAGAATGCTTATTCAATATTTGTTGCATCTTTGGCCGAAACTTCAAAGAATTGTATATTTCCATGTGATTTACACCATTATTAAGCTTTAGATTCTTAAACTTTTCTTTCTGTAGCTTTATCTAATTTATTTCCTAATACAACAAAAGGAAAATGTTCTGGATCTTTTGGTTAACCTTACATTAAAAATTCATCTCTCCAAGAATCCAAAGAATCAAATGATTTTGGATTTGTAATATCATAAACCAATACACAACAATCAGCTCCTCTATAAAATGCTCCACCTAATGATTGGAATCTCTCTTAACCTGCAGTGTCCCAAATCTATAAAATTTGTAAAATTATCATCATACTTATAGAGTAACCATACGATCATCAATCATAACTTCTTTTGCCATAAAATCTGCTCCAACTGTAGCTCTATATTATTATGTGAACCTTGCATTAACATATTAATTCATTAATGATGTTTTTCCTACTCTAAAAGTTATTTAATATGTAGACTTACCCTGAATCACCTAATATAATTATTTTGAAAAGTTGCTTCTTCTTGCTGGACATGTGGAATTAATATAATTATTTATTTATTTATATTACAAATTTCTCATTTTTATTTTTAAATTCTTAAATATCGTATTTTATAAGAAAAAAAATCTTAAATTCATTTAATACTCACTTCTTTATAGCCATAAAAAATATACAATTATATATTAAGTATTTTTAATCTAGTTTTGAATGATTATATGTAGATTCCTACATTTATTCACATTTTATTTCAAATCCTTTTTACTATATATAATGTTTAAGATCCTCATAACTTAATTCAATACTTGTTTCAGAGAATTAGTTTGCAAAATGATATTCTAAAGGTCCAAAGTTTATCCAACATCCTTTAGTTTTTAAAATATCATAAATAGCATCAATATATTCTAATACATTATTCGCTGTATCAATGAAGAAGCAAGTTATAATACTATCCCAAAAATTAAAGTATTTAGGTTGATGATAGACAATAATAAATTCTCCGGCTACAAAAGACATTTCATCATTTTCAGTTAAAATGTCTGCTGGAACAACATCAGGTACTTTTACCTACTCAAATTAATCATTTTCACTAGGTTAATATTATAATACCATAATCTATTGCAAAAATTATTTGCAAATGGATATAATTCATATTAGTTTTTTTTCTAAGTAAGATTAATAATGAAATGTGAACTCAAAAGCATGAAATAAGAGAATTCATTTCCTTATGCTGCAAATCCTCTACTTGCCAATTCAAATACAAGTCTCCCTAAGCCTGCTCCAGGCAAAAGTACCTAATATTTCACATTTTTTATTCTTGCATCTGGGTAAAATTATTGTAAACAATCAATAATTAGCTTATAAGATTAATCTCTTTCAGCTTAGCCTTAAAGGCTCCAATCTTTATTAATTTTATAATTATACCTCGATAAAATTATTTTAAAGTTATCCTTAGTTTTGAAATATCACCATGTTGTGCATGAGGAAAGTATGGTAAATCTGATAAATAAGTAACTTAACTTAAATCCATCTCTGGAAACATATCTACATAAGCAGCAACTATCAAAAAACAAAAATGTGCATTTTTCTTAATACAATAATCAAATTTTTTTATTCTTTCTTCATAATTCATTAATAGATTGTTTCTTTATTCAGGTTTAAGTACTTAAAAATGAGTTTTAATTCTCTAAAGTTCTATCTTCATATCATTTGTATAATTATAAAAGCATGCAATCACATTCTTAAAATGTTGAAATTCATGTATGTCCTTTTACAATATTTCATTATTAGAAGGATGATAAATTGCATATTCTTTATCAAAATATAATGCATCCATTTCTTTGATTTCAATTTCAATTTAATCCATAAAAATAATTTTCTTAAATAATTAAAACAAAATTTTGCAGAATTGAATGAGTTTTCTAAGTTTTTTTACATCATCCACAAAGCAATAATCAAAATTATAGAAAATAAAAGTACATAAAATAATAAGATATTAGATTTATAAAGATGAACAATGTTAAAATTATTTCCAAAACTTAAACATCGAAGATAATACATAGTGCTAAAAAATTTTAGATTAAATTGATATTTCAAATCAAATAGGAGATGATGTTTTAATTTATATATCATTAGGTGAGAAAAGTACTCATTCTCTTTACCTGTTAGAAAGATAAAAAGTGCATCTCATAAAGAATTATTAATAAATAGGAATAAATTTCTAAAATTTTACAAAATGCCCCGCAAAATCTAGAACTTTATATAGTTTATTAAGAAATCAAGCTTTCTAAATTGCAAGAAAGTCAATCTTATCGCTAAAAAATTTGGAATCATACCATCAATAGTATAAGATTTATTTTTATTGTTGAAGGTTAAAAAGATCATTCATTTAGATAAGGAACTTTACTGAAAAAAAATAAAGCAGGTAAATTTATAGAGAGGGTTTTTAAATTATAAAAAGACACTTTAATTTATGAGAAGAATGATAAAAATCAAAAAAAACAAAGCTGCATTTCACTTGATTCAATGTAAATTGAAAAACAGCCAGATAAAAATTTAACATTCACAATAAAGTGCGATCAAAAAATTTATTAAATTAAAGCATAAAGTAGAACAGATTTTGATGGATGGTAGGTAGAAATCATATAGAATATTTAGGTTATATTCATTACACAACTAAATTATGAAATGGAAAGAAGTGAAACTATTACTAGATTACGATAAGAAAATTGAGCAAAGTGGCCATCTAAAAGTGGAAAAATTGAAAGGCCTTCCAAGTCAATTCAAATCTATCAAGTTTATAGCATAGACAAATTCTTACATTACAAAGTTTAATTAATCAAAATTTTAGATAATTTTAAGAATATTTGTAAAATAAGAGATCAGATTTAGAAAAGAAATTTTTTTAATTTTTGCGATTATCTTATGAGAGTGAAACATTGCAATAAGGATAGAAAAGTTATAAGTAAATGATTGAGAATAAAGACACCTTGTTACAGGAAATCTAAGAAAGTATTAAGGAGGATGAATACTTTTGCAAATTTGAAAAAATCTAATAAAGTTCATTTAAATAAGAATTAACAATATATTTTGAAAAATAAATTTTACCAGATTTTCTTTTGCAAAGTAAGAATAAATTTTATATGATAGTTGATTAATCCTAAATTCTATTAGATTTTTCTATTCATTAGTTTAAATAGTTCTATACATTTCCTTTGTTTGATTCCTCAAGTTTTTATTATGATCTTACTGATACAGTAATCGTGAATTCTGAATGAATCAATACTTATTACAAAAAATATTTATTAAATTAATTAAAATCAAAAAATTAATGCATTTTGCATGGATTATAAGAAAACAAAAAGAATTAATAATTTCAGTAGATGCTGATTTTTGTGAGATGAAGAGGAATTATTTTGATATCTTGTGATCATCTTTATCATTTAATATTGTTCAAGATAAATAGAAAATTTTAATGAAAAATGCAAGAAAAATTACATTATTAAACTAAGCCTTTTTATAGAGATTGATTAATAAATTTTAATATTATATAAAATCTTATGGGCTGTCTCTTTGCTAAAAAAACAGGGAAAAATAATTATGAATTGCAGGATGTTTAGCCTTAGTAGATATTATAATAAAGATAGGGATACTAATTTATCAAAAAATGCATTTCACCATTAGCCTACCTAAGCGAATGGACCAGATGAATCATCTTAAAATAGTAGCTAATAAAAATTAATTAATGAAAATCCCTCCTGCTTGTTAACTGACAGTTCTAGTGATGATGAAGAAATTTATTAAATTGATGAAATACTAAAGTTTAGAAGAGCCTAATTAAAGAAGAAAAGAAGATAAAATAAAGGATACAGACATAACTCATTAAATAATCTTGATAAAGTTTTTATAACTGAATAAAATATAAAAAAAAGAAGTTCTTCATTGGGATAAATAGCATTAGGTCAAATTTCTATTAATATGCTTTATTATGAAAAGTTTCAAAAAATGAAAAATATCTAAAGACGACCTTTAAAAGTGTAAATAGATTCAATTTTAATAGACATAAATTAATAAATTGAAAAATTTGACTAAAATAATTAGAAAGAATAAATATCTTTAAGGAGTTCTTTTTCATCTATGGAATAATTAGTAGCTTAATGCAAAAATTGTAAAAATGTAATAGAGAATGATTAGTACTAACTTGAATGTTTGCACATTTTTGATTCTAAATGTTTAGTTAAATTAATAATCGATTAAATTTAGAAAGATTAAACAAAAATTCATTGTTTATGTCAATAAATTATCAAAACAAAGCTATTGAAAAAAATTTTAATAACAAATGTGGAAGAAAGTGAACAATATTTACAAAAACTTTTTGCAAATCAATACTAACATTTGGAATAAACAATCGAATGAAATTAATAATTTATCATTTATTTTCACAAACACTTATCCATCCTTTTCTTGGTTATTCTTTTTGAGCAAAAATCTCCATTAATTAAGATTTTGGAAGCAAAGTTTCAATTGTTTAATAAATGTATTCTTTTGTTTTTTATGATGATTTTCCATTACTCACAAAATCAAACAATACATCAGGAGTTCTTTAGTGTCTTAATTCTAATTAGGATTTTTGTTCATCAAATTTCCTAAACATTATCAAAACTTATTTTGATTGATTTAGGACTTTTGAAGGACGATTCAAAATTAAATCTTTTACTTAAACTTTTTATTATAAAAAAATTAAGTTATCTAACACAGCCTCTTCAGTTTGTTCAATTTTCATATGTTTATTTAATTCTTCTAAAGCTTTTTCCAAACTAAGCTAAACTACAACCAAATTTTCAATATATGTGAAACCTTTAGATTCCATGGTTTCGAGAATTTCATTTATAAGTCCTTTATCAGACCAAATAAATAAAATTCCATTCGATATTAACTTTTTAGATAGATCCAAGTTTTTCTATAAATATTATAGTTAATTTTACCAAGTCTTTTCTAAAAAGATTATCGATGAAAATTCCCTAAACTCCTTTGGCATATTAAGACAAATCTGTCCCTAAAATCTTTTTTAGAACCACAACTCTTAAATTAAAAATGCAATTTAACCTTTTTTGATCTGTTTCATAAGATTGACACTTTATTTATTTTTTCCAGTACATCAGTACTTCTAAATTGTCGCACGTTCTATTTAACTCAAACTATTTACACTTTATCTTTTTTAGATTTAGCTTTGTATTTCCTAATTTTTTTTAATGCCTTAAATGAATCTTAATCATCTACATATTCTGAATCATCTTCAGTAACATCATATCCTTGGTTTAGCTTAAAATAATTTATTCTTTTATTTTCAGAACCAGGCTCATTACATCTTAATCTCATTTTTATTGATTCCCGCTAATTTTTTCCCATGTTTTTTTTTGTTTATCAAATTAATAAAATAAATTAACCCATTAAATATATAATTCGAAGAAAATAAGTAATTTGATTGTATAAATAATTTATTTAAAATTGATATGAATAATCAAATGTAAATTTTTATTAAGTATTAACGAAAATCACTGTATTTTATGTTCTGCAAATGACCAACCAGCCAAATGCGATTATTCTAAAAAGCTACCAATTTCAAAGACATTATGTTCAACTTTGATGAACCTAGTTTTTCTACTCAAAATGGGCATTTTAATTTATTTTTCTTTAACTTTAGTCCATTCAATATCATTAAAATAAGGATGAGCTTTGATTTCTTCAGCATCTCCTTTACCTGAACCCAACCTTTTAGCTGGATTTCTTTATAAAAGCTAAAATATCAAATAATATATAAATACTGCTTTTAATAGATTGATTCCATCATTAGATATATAGGTAGGCAACTTAAGATCAGCTTTTTAAATATTATTAAAAAGTTCTTCACGATCATTAGCATAATAAGGAGGTTGTCCAACTAAAAGTTCATACATGACAACTCCTAATAAGTACCAATCTACAGCTTTTCCATGACCACATCTTTTTAGCATTTCAGGTGCTAAATAAGCTACAGACCCACAAAAAGATCTTGCGCCTGTATAATGTTCTTATACACCCTCTTTTGATAAACCAAAATCAGTTAACATAGCAAAGCCATCTGCATCAAGAACAATATTATCAGGTTTTAAATCTCTAAATATTATATCTCTTTTATGTAAATCTTCCAAAGCAAGAATCATTTGAGTTAAATACAATTTCACTCTTTCTTCTGGAAATCTTTATTCTCTTCTCAAATGAGAACTTAAATCACCTCCAGGACAATAATCCATAATTAGACATAATTTATCAGTTGTTTGAAATGCATATCTTAACCTAACAATAAATGGATGTTTGGTTAATGATAAAACATTTCTCTCTGTTAATGCATATCTTGTAAGATTTTACTCTATATATAAATTATCAATACTTTGGATTTTAGATTTATGAAGTACTTTCATAGCTAATAATTAATTCGTATCAAGTTTTTCAACTAAATAAACTTCTCCAAAACTACCTCTTCCAATTAAAGCATGTACTTTAAAATGGTGAGGACCGACTTTATCCTCATTAAATGAATTGCAATTTTCACTACCAAAATCAGTTCTTGCATCATAAATTTTAATTGAATTATTATTTTATTTTTGCATTGCTTACAGAAATATCTATTAATTAGAAGAATATTCCATAGCAATTTTGTTTTCTTTATTTCTAATATGAAAATAATTTGTGTATATACTTTAAATTTAGATTCAAACTTTATTTGTTTAATAATAAATCTATTATTTTCTATCTTTAATTTATGGTGGCTAAATGGAGACATGTATTTTTATTAATATCTTAAGAATTGATATCAGCTCCTGCTGTAATTAATTGTTAAGTAATTTCTTCAACCCCTAGACTACAAGCAATCATTAAGGGTGTTTATAATTTTGAATTTAATGAATCTATTTAAGCTTCATGATATAATAATAATCCAACAAGTTTAGAGTTTCCACTTATAACACTCAAATGTAAAACTGTATTTCCATCTGTATCACGTGAATTTATGTCTGGTTTATCTTTTAAGAGAATTTCTCTAACTTCATTATAAGAATTGTTTTTCACTGCTTTTATTAATTTGGCATTATTTGGACTCTTTGTATTCCTAATAAATTAAAAATTTATAAACCAATTATTTCTCCAGTCTTAATAACGAATATCAATAACTTTGCCTGTATCTTGATCCCGAATACAAAATTCTGGATATTTACCTGAAGCTTTTACCTTTATATTTAAATTTATTACTAATTTGTTAGGTGGTAACTTTTGAACTAAAACTGAACCTTCATCAAGAAGACTTGGTGAAAGCATGGATCTCTCACATCTATGACCAGCTGAAAATTATCTATCAGATTGAGATGGTTCTGTTTTTATTATTTTAGCTATGTTATAGGTTTGCATAGGTGAACGAGATGGAGGTTTTGTTATAGGAACCTATTAAACGTTCATTGGATTCAACTATTTTTAAAATAACTTAATAATTTATATTTTTGTAAAATATATTTTCTAATCAAATCCTAATATTGTATCTCTTATTTTTATTAATTCTAGTCTATTTTCATTCATAGAGTATGAAATCATTTTAAAATCAATCTGATTTATGATTTATTTATATTTGATTGATCTGTAAATTCTATATGAATATTTATAACCAATTTATATGTTTTAAAATATACATAAGAATATATAAAATAAATTGCACAAACTCTAATCGATTTAGAAGATTTGATTAAAGATACAATTAATAATAAGACGAAATTATGTGATATTATATTCAATATCATATTAATTTAGATTTAGTAATTGTTTTTGGACATCTTGTAACTAAAAATCATTCAAATTGATATCCGTTAGATGTAAAATTAGATTTTCTAAAGAAAATTATTTTTAATAATTTGTATGTATTCTAATTAAGACCCTGAAGAATAATTTGAGTTGAATGAATTAATTGGAGAAGGAGCTTATGCAAAGGTTTACAAGGGAAAACATAAGAATGGCTAAATTGTAGCTATTAAAATAGTTCCTTCTACTGGAGAGATATAGTCATTAATTAAGGAAATCTAAATATTAAAAGTAATATCATTTATGAAAGTAGGAATGCTAACATGCTCATATAGTACAATATTATGGTTCCTTTTATAAGGATGGAAATTTATGGTTAGTTATGGAATATTGTGTAGGAGGATCAATTATTGATTTATTGAAAATTACTTAAAAAACATTAACAGAGTCAGAAATTGCAGCAATTCTCTATCATGTTCTCCTTGGAATTGAATACTTACATGCAAATAAAAAAATTCATCGCGATATCAAGGCAGGCAATATTTTATTAGATGAAAAAGGAACAATTAAAATTGCTGATTTCGGAGTAGCTGCGTAACTTATATATACAAATGCAGATAAAGTATTTTTATTCTAATTAATAGGGTACAGTAATAGGCACTCCTGTATATATGTCTCCTGAAGTTATATCTAAGAATCGATATAATCATCTAACTGATATTTGGTCTTTGGGAGTTACAGCTATTGAACTTGCAGAAGGTAAACCCCCATACTCTCATATACATCCCGTAAGAGCAATGTTTGCTATTAAAAATAATCCACCATAAGGTTTAACTAATCCAGAAAAATGGTCTAAAGAATTTAACGATTTTGTAAAATCTTGCTTAAAAGTTTAAGTATCAGAAAGACCTACTGCTTAATAATTACTTTAGTCTCCATTTATTAAATAAGGTAAATAAGATTAAAAGAAATTGGTACATCTTATAGATAGCTTTCTTAACTAAATTGATGAATATAGATAATTAAAAACTTAGGGTAATTTAGAAAAAGTATAGACTTTAATCTCTAAACAAGAAAATAGTGAAGATGAAGAATAATCATGTGGAACTGTTGTGGAATGTGGAACACTTTTAATAAAAGAAGATGAGACTTAAAGTAAAAGTGTAAAAGAGTTAGATTTTGTTACTTATGCTAAAAAGGAAAAAATTATAAATGAAATTATTGATGAATAATTAAGTGATGAATAATAAATGGAAAATATGAATTAAGAAGAAAGAAAGAAATTTTTAGCATTTTTGCAATCATAAATGGATGAAGAAATTTCCAAAATCAAATAAAAATATATGCCTAAAATTGAAATGCTCACTCAAAAGATTAAGTAAAATGAATCTCCTCAATTGCCAAAACCTTAAGAACAAATTCCTCAAAGTAAACCTTAGTAATTGATTCAAACACAATAATCTCGATTAATTTAATAATAATAGCCACAAAAAATCGAAGTTTCAGTTCCATTTTAAGTCAATCCAGAAGTTTTATAAAAGTTATCCAATATGAAAATTCCTCAAATTAAAATTTAGAACATAAGTTCTCCAACTGCATAGTTAAGATCTAATCCTAAATAAAAAGTAAATAATGAGTATTTAGTAAAATAAAATATTAATTCTAATTATTGATTAGGATTGTGATTAAAACTATTAATTATTCAATTTTTTATCTTCTTATTTTAAATAAAAAAAACTATTTAATCTCATTTACTTTCAATTTGAAATCATAAATTTTATTATTTTTACTTACTTTTATCTAAATACCCCCATATTCATAATGAAAATTAAACTGATTAGCTTTAAAGCTAACCTATAAAATTAGTTAAACTATGGTTTAGCTTATTAAGCTATTAAAATATAATGATCCAATATTTACATAAATTTTTATTTGTATTTGTTTTCTTGAATAGAGTCAATTACTTAAACTTACTTGATGATTAAATGATATACTAAAATAAATAAAATTATTATGGATTAAGAAATTGTGGATTAACTAACTCTAGATTCTATTCCTTACTACGAAGAATAACTGTATGGGGCTTTATAAGTGATAATTGACTTATAATAGAAAGTGGAATAACATGAAATGATTTTAGATGATGTATGTATAATATTTTATAAAATAAGGAAAATTCCAACGAAAACTTGGCAGAAGATGTGGAAGGTGATTTTCAAGAAATAATTTCAACTATCTAACAATAGTAATTAAAGGAATTGCAAGATATAGATGAAATAAGTTAAAAATAGCAGGAGGATTTTGATTAATTATTTAAAGTATGATGTATATTTCTATTAGTAACTACATGAGTTGGAATAATTGACTACATAATACTAATAAGAAAATAACTCAGATGAATAATAAATAAAAATGACACAAAAATTGATTTATGAAAGACAGCAATAACTAAAAGAACTAAGTGAATAATTTATGATGTAAGACATTCATAATAAAGAAAATCAAAATATCATATAAAACTTCTAATAAAAACTGTAATTGAATGCTATCACCATACCTTAAGATGGTTCTAAAGAAGAGAAAAGAGAAATTACTTAATTTGTCGAACTTCAACGTTAAGAATCAGAAGAAGATGTAGATTACATCCAATATCTTCAATTAACCGATTACAAGTAAAAACTTGAGGAAGAGTTGGAATAAATTGCAAAATAACCAATAGTAGAGAAAGAAAAGATTGATGCATCTACATAAACTTGTTAATAAGACTTTCCAATTAAACATAAAAATTATGATGAATTTGCTTATTCTAGCAGTTGTGTGTAACCAACTTTTTCTTTGGAAAACACCCCAAAAACAAGCCAAATACTATTGCATTCCCTATTAAAAGAGGAAAAATAAAAAAATAGAGGTTGCTGTTCAGATTGCAGAATTTACTGAAAATTAAATAATTTTATAGATCATTTTTTTTATTGCATTTTGCCAGTTTATGGTTTAGATTTATTTTCCAGAACATTAAGTGTTCCTATTGTAGGGTTTACATTGAACATTTTGTTGTAATTATTATCTCTATTAATTAATTCTAATTTAAAGTATTTCATCTGTTCATGTACCTTCTTTATCTCTTCATCTTTTAAAGTGACTTAAGATTGTAACTATTTAATTAATTCTAAATCTTCAGGTCGACTTGGTCTTTCTTCATAAAGTCGAGTTAGTTCTTTATAACTATTATATATTGAAAATATATACTCTTCTTCAAGCATTTAAAATTTTTGCATCAATAGTTATTAAGCTTATTCAAACTCATTTTTTAAATTGTCAGCAAATTCTTTTTATTTTATTAAACTATCTTTTAATTACTAGTTTAGAGACTAACGTAATTGCTATTCTAATTATTTAGCTTCTTCTTTCATGTTCTAAACCCATTAATCTTTCTCTTTTATTTATTTTGAAAATTCTGTTTCTGCTTATTGATATTTTATATTTAAATCTTTGATTTATTATTACAAAATCTTTATTTATTATTCATATTTTTCTTAAGAATACTTATTTTACTCTATAGAATTTTCTAATTATCTTCTAAGATCAGATATTATATCTTTAGTAGCTTTATGATCAGATTATTCTTATTCTAATTTATTTTACAATTATTTTAATTTATTTTCAAATTCTGAAATTTTATCATTTAATTATCTTTCATATTTTTATTAAACATCTTATAATTAATTTTCATAGTTTTTTATCAGAGATTACTTTTAATTTTCAAAATCTCTAGCTTATTAATTTAATTTATTTTAAGTTTCAACATTTAGATCATCTCTTATTTATTAGATTTCTTTTTCATAAAATATTTTCATTTATTCTTTCATTTAAGTATTCTTTTTATCTAACAACTAAATTAATGATATTAAATTTATACTTCAATCTCATAATTATGTTTTAAATTAATTTCTTTTAGCATCTATTCAAATTCTTCTTCTTTTAATTTTAATCTTCTTGCCCAATCACCTTAACCAGTTTCCATATCTTTTTTCAGAGAAGTAATTTATTATAATAGTTTAGCTATTTCTTCTTCTTTTAATTACAATTTTCTTTCAAAATCTATTTTACTTTATTTTTTTTCTGCTTCAAATTATTATCTCAAACTAAAAATAATAATATAAATTTTAATTACCTATCCATCTATTATTCATATGAAAGCTTTTATTAATTCAGTTATTCATCTTTTTCCCTTAAAAGTTCAATCCTTTATTATTTAATTTGTTATTCTAATTCCTAAATTCTGATTTATAATTAACCTTAATTAGAAGAACCTTCCATCTATATTTACTTAATTTTATCTTCTAATTCTACTATTTTTTATTATAACTATTTTATTTCTTATTCTTTGCCTGTTATTTAATTTAAATTATAAATTATTGTTTACTCTAACTCTTTAATTTTATTTAATAAATTTTATATTTCATTTTCCAAAGCTGATATTTTAATGTTGGCTTAATTAATTTAATTTTTTAATTCATTAATTGCTTGACCAGCAGATTTTTCTACATTTGCTCTTTCATCATTTAATTATTATTCTAATAATTTTAATTTCTTATTAAATTCATTTTTAATTTATTCAATTTCTTATGAATGATTTATTTCTAAATTTTTTATCTTATTCTCTAATTCATCCTTTAATTCTTTTAATTTTAATTCATACTCAATTGTAATTTTTTATATTTTTTCTTCATATTTTTTAATTAAATCTCTTTTTTCAGCTTCAATTTATTCAATTTTATTTAATAAATTTTTTTCTAATTCTCCCATTTAATTTTTAGCTTATAGTTATAATTTTTCAATTTCATCTTCTAATTTTCTAACAGTTTTTTTTAATTCTTCAATTTCTTTTAATTTATCACTATTACTTCTATCACTTGCATCTCTAACAGCATTCAATTCCATTTGAAGCATATCTGCTTTCTTTTATAATTCATTTAATTTAATATGAAGTTCTCTAATTTCAAAATCTCTAGCTTTCAATTATTATTCAAGATCACTAAGTTATTTAGATAATTGTGTTTCTTTCATAGAGCCATCTTATTGATAAGCATGTAATTATTATTTAAGATTCTCAATTTATTAATTAAGTTACTTTACTCTATCTTCTAGATCATTATTAGTTTATTTTAATTTATTATTTTCATTTTTTTATTACATTAAATCTGATTAAGATTGTTGATATTTTTATCCAATATCTTTTAAATCAAGAGTGAGTTTAGCAATCTAATCTTTAAGTTAATGAATTTCATCTGATAAATTATGATTATATTTTGTTAAATCATCTTTCTAATTTTTGAGATTATTAATTTCTGATTTTAGTGAATTAATTTCATTTTATAATGATTGAAGTTTTTAATCAAAATTTTGCTTCATTAAATCTTACAACCTATCTTAAGCTTCTTTTGATTTTCTTTTTTCTTCTTCAATTTTTTTCAATAAATCATCTATTTCTAATTATTATTTCTATAGACGTCTATCTTTATCAGCAATTTAATCATCTAATTCAAGTTTTTTTCTCATAAGAGAATCATATTTATCTTTCCATTCTTTAATAGTTTCTTCTAATTATTTTTGTGATCCTCTTTTTTGCTCCTCTTATTTCATAATAACTTTATCAACTTACTTAGAGAGATCATCAAATTTTTATTTTTAAATTTCAGTTTCCTTTTGAATTTCTTTAATTTTCTTTTCATACTATGTAACAAGACCTTATTCTTTTTCTTCCATTCTTTTTCTATATTATGAATATTCAATTTATGCAGTTTATTTCTCAACTTAAACTTTTTCTTGAAGTTGTTTTAGTTCTTATTAAATATCATCATTCTTGCTTTATTTATCTAATGCTTGCTTGTAAGTTAGAACTATTTGATTAGCACTTAGATATAAATATGAATTATATACTCTTTTACAATTAAATCCATTTCTTATTCATATGCTTATACAACAGCTTTGAGATTACTTTCATATTCATCATTTTTTGTATTTAAGAAGAAAATAACTTTAGTAAGTTAGGCAATCTTTTTGCAAAGACGATGATGAAGTTCACCTAAGTCCATCAGTTAATAAATCAAATTATTAAAATGGATGTAATAACAATCATAATTGCAGTAATCTAAAAAGAATCTAACTGTCCAAATAGTCTTTGCCACAGATTTCTAGCTGGATTTGCTGCTTGTAATTATTCTTTTGTTGGACCATTACTTAAAGTAGTTGAATTATTATTTTAGGTAGATTATTTTGGTTGTTAAACAGAAGAAGTAATCGGTTTAGAAGGGGGAGCTGCTGCACCATCATGAATTTTAGTTCCCTATTCTCTTATTTAATATTTTCGTTGTTCTGATATCATCATAAACATCATTAGAAATACTAGAACGACTATCTTCATTAATAATTTAATATTATAAACACTTTAATGCTCTATATATTTTCAGACTTGTTCTAGTTCACACCATACTATTCTTTATATAATAAATGTATTATAATTAACTTTTTCATTTTAATGCTGTTCATTTCATTCTTGAAATTTTCAGATTTTTAAATAAAATGTATAACATTTTCAAATAAATTTTATTAGGATGATAAAAAATAATAAATCTCCTACTACTACTAAGAATTTGTTAAAAAAACATTCTATAAACTTATATAAATTAAATTAAACACTCCTTTTATTTGTGTGATTGATTATAAATCATTATTTAACTGAAGTTGAGTTCCTCTACACAACGTATTTATAGAATACAGCAATTGCTTCGCCTACTCCTTTTATTCTTTCTGCTTCTTCATTTTAAATGTCTAGTAAATTAATTTTTTAAATTATTACCAAATCCAAAATTTTCTTCTAAAGCTACAACCATTTCAACTGCATCTAAGGAGTCAAACCCTAATTCTTCAAATGTGGCCTAAATATTAAATTTCTTTACTTTCTCTGATAATTTTTCAACTTTGCATTTTGCAGCAGATTTCATCACTTAAAGTACTTTTGCTGTAACTTCTTCTAATAACTCCTTATTTTAAGTTGTTGAACAGAATCTAAATGTTCTATATTACAATCCCATTGGATTTATGAGACGAAGAGCTCTTAAAAACATTATTATCAATATTTATATTTTATATTATCAATTTTGTGGTTGTTTTAGACTTATATTTTATTTTTTTTTATCTCAATTATCCTTCTTTTAAGAATATTCTTTTTCTTAAATTATCAAACCCTTTCATTTCATTCATTCACATTATAATTAAGTAGTAGTTTAATTAAAAAATCTATAATACCTATTTATTGAAGTTATTTTAGACTTTAAGTTATTAATTAATATGATTAATTAAATTTTATGCTTTCTGGATCAGAGCCTAGTTTCTATCTCTATATTATTTAAAAAATATAAAAAAGTTAATGCTTTATCAATATTTTATGATGGAAAATGAAGTGTTGATAATTAGATTAAAAATTTGTTATTTGCTTTAAAAAATTAAATATATCAGCCACTTTTAATTTCTGAAAGTTAACATAATTTGAAATAAATATTATTATAAATATCTAAAATGAAGGGTTTCTGCAATTTTTAGAAAATTCTTCTTAATTATAGTAGAATGAATACATAATCTATGAAAGTGTAGATGAGAATGTAAGAGTTTTTGATTATTTGAAGGGCTAATTAATAAGTTAATAAACAATTCAGATTTTGTTCTTTAATAACGACATTGCAATACTTTTCAATTAGCAAAAACAACCTAGTTGGTTTTATTGATTTATTAGAAAGTAATAGTTAAAAATATTGATAATAGTTTAAAAGATTTTTATTTAATTAGATGTGGAGAATTGGATTCAAAACTGATTAATGTTTTATATGATATATTCTGATATTTAATTTAGATTAATTTTTGAGTCTTTAATATTCAAAATGAAAATTGGCTGATATTTAATTAGAATTAATTTTATAATTATATATATCATCATCAGTTGGACAATAACTCACCCAACACAAAGAATAGATAGTTTAAGTTGGGACTCTTTTTATTTGGATTGCTTTCTAATATCATGTTTAAGTTTTTCATTATTTCTAATTGTACAAGAAATTTCAATAAAATATGAAATAGATTTCAGGTAAGAAAATGATAGATAATTTAGATATTTGTAAGGAGTTAAAGGTAAAATATTTATTTAGGATGTATTCTAAACAATATTAGATCAGTTTGTGCATTACTAATAAATGTTTCAATTCGGTTTTCTTTTAGGGATAATTATCTTGGCTGATATGTCTTCCCTTTAGATTAATAAGTGTAGTTAAATTTGAAGCAAATTGATATTATTCTGAGAAAAGAATCTTAATAATATTTATTTTAGCCCTTTATTTTAATGCAAGTTTGGAAATAGCAATCAAATTTCCCATTTAATTTTAGAAGAATACGAAATTACAGAGGGACAAACATATGATAAAATTAAAGAATCAATTATTTTTTTGAAGAAAAAGCTTTAACTCAAGCAATTCTTTCGAGTTAACTATCGATTGTATTTTCCTATGAAGAAAACATTACGATGGCAAAGTAGGATTATTTGGTAAATGAATAAGTTTTTTGTGATTACCATAGATCTTAAAATTATAAGTAATATTCTAATTTTATATTAAAGAGTGACAATATATTCTCAGCTACTTTGATAATGATTTTAATGCTTTGTTTAAATGCTATAGCCAACTATTTCACTTTGAATGTGAATGAAAACTTGAAGAGATAAAACAGAGATTTAAAGAAGATGATTAAGTAAAGTAGAGAGTGAATGGAATCAACATGCTAGAATAATCTATACTAATTTGATTTAATTTAAAAATTTTATTAAACTTAAATGTTTAGCACAGAAGAATTTATTAAACAATATAAGAATCTTTCAAATCCAGATAAAAGTATAAGTCAAAAAGCAAATAAGTATATCTTAAAATTACAATAAACAAAAGAAGCTTTTAACATTGCTAAATAAATATTAGATTAATAAAATGTTCAATAAGAATATTAATTCATTGCTTGTCAATTGATTTATAGAAGATTGAAGGTAGAATGTGATATATCCATACAACCTTATCTTTTAAATTTATTGGGAAGGCCATTATCAAATATTGCCTTAAATTAAGTTTGCTCATCTTTTGCTGTCATTATTGTAGGCAATTCTTAACTTTGGAAAGGGTATCATAATATTTTATATGCTTTTTAGAATACTATAGGAATTAATATAATTAATGAAAGTAAAAATGCAATTAGGAATTGAAATTCTGACTTAAATTGCAATTTAAGGTAAAGAATGCATTTCAAAAAAAGAACAACAAAAATTGTAACAAGAATTTTAGACACAACATAATTTACTTTCAGAAATATTTTTAAGTTTATTATGCATATAGGATTTGATTATTTTTAAATAAACTATTCTATGCATGGAATCATGGGTGTAATTTTCATTTAGTTTATTCAAAGATTCTAAATTGATTTAATAAATCATTCTACTAATATCATAAGCTTTGTAAAATAATGCAGTTGAACATTCTGATAAATTGTTTTCCTTATTATATGAGGCTGTTGTTTTCTCATAATATAAAAATTAGAATATTGAACCAATTGTTTAATAAAATTTATTAATTATGCTAGAATTCATAATTCGAATTTATAATCCTTAAATCTCTGTCATGTATGCATCTTTGACAACTAAATTTATTTGTGATTTTTACCTAATAGTATAAAATTCTCAATATGAAGAAGCAGCATTCAATATCATTGTCAATTTGGTTAACAATCCATAAAGAAAAATTGTATTTCAAACTTTTGAATTTTGGATTCAAATGAAATAGTCTCATTTACTTTAAAGTTTTTGGTTGAAAATATTATAATGTCTAATAGATAAATGTAAAGTAAAATCGATCAAATTAAATAAAGAATTCTTATCAGGAGAAGATGAAGAAGAAAATGATTACTTCGATAAGAAAAATCAAGAAAATTAAGGAAATAATATTTCTACTTATGATTTTAGAGAACATTGCAAAGAAATATTTATTTGCATTTATAAAAATGTTGAATAACTTAATTAAACAGATTCATTTTTTTAAATCATTTTATCGAATTTGATTATTACTAATCCTGATTCTTCAGATTAAATTATTTAAACTGAAGCTGCTTTATTTTCCCTTTGTTCAATAATTGATGAAACTAATTTTTAAATTAATAATTAATTAGTGTTTTAAATTTTAAAATTTGTACTTTAATTACCAAATAATCAAAATTTTGATATTATCGTTAAAACTACTTTATAAATGTTCAGCGGAATAACTAATTAAATAAATTTGAATTTTGAATTGTTGTTTCCTATAACAAAATACTTCTTCTAATATATGCTTCATCCTTTGTTGGGATCCTTAGCTGGAGTGTAAAAATTTAATAAATTTATTTTAGTGCCTTTGAATAAATTTGCAATAATGGAGAACTTAATAATTAATAATTGATTTCTGAATTTTTTACATTCCTAGAATAGCATTTTAATGATTTTGTTAATTAATCTTAGTTAAATTATTTTATTGAGGGTTTATTGAAATTATGTTATCGAATTTATTAATTTGGAAATATAGACTTTATAATCTAGGTATTAATTTAATATTATATTTTTAGTTATTCAATTTTGCAAATAATTAATTTCAACTATTTAAAAATATGAATTTACTTACTAAATAGTAATTTACATATATTAATACTTTGATTATTACAATATTAAAATGGATTAATACAAATATCGAAGATATCAATGATTAAGTAAAGTAAATATCAGATTTACTATGTTAATCAATAACAGAACCGTTAATAAATTTACTTAAAGAATCATAAAATTAGTAAAATAGTGATGAACTACATTTATTAGTAAGAATGATAATGAAAGTGTCTAATTATTAAAATTAATAATAATAGATAATTTAATTATTATAGATATCATTTCAAATATTTTATTAAAATCCTGCATAAAAACATTAATGGTTGTAATTGATAACAATAGCCATAAGTAGATGTTAAGAATATTAATTTATTTCTTAATGGGTAACTTAAAATAATTAAGAAATTCATAAATTTTGCATAGAATAATTTAAATTAGGTAGAGATTCGGATGTAATGAAGGTTTATGTAGAATTTGTAAAAGAATGTACAAGATTTTGTCAATAAGCATTTTTTGAATCGCCTTATTTATATTTGATAATGGAAATAATAGGTGAAGCATTTTAAACAGTAAATTCTTATGAAATGCAAAGAGAAATTCTAAATTTTTTTAAGTATATTTGATAATATTATCATATAAGAACCTTGTCATAATTGATTGAAAATGGAAAGGAATACTTTAATAAGCTTATAATATAAATAGTTACGACTTTATTTTTAAGTATTTAAAATATTAATCGTGCAATTGTATTTTAAATAATATAGATATTATAATTTATTTTAAAAAAGGAGATAAGTAGTGATGAATTAAAGGAACTTATTTATTAGACATTGTTAAAGAGTTGGGGAGTTAAGAAAAAGCCTAAATAAGTTGAAATGGTAAGTAAAGCAATAGTGCATTATTTAAAAAAAACAGAAGAGAGTGGATTGAAAAGAGAACTAAAGTTATTGTTATAAAATTTAAGAGAAATAGGAGAAGAAGAGATTGATTATATACATTTGGAAACAATATTGAAGTAATGATAATTAAATTTCTATTTATTGTGTACGATATTATTAGATAGAATATCATCTAAAATAATATAATGCTCTAGCTGTTTATCCTTAGACTTTTGATTCATCTTCAGCTTATTAAGTCCAATATTCTTCAAATAAAGCTCTATCTTCAGGTTTAGATGCATCAAGTTTTGTAAGTTAAAGATATTCAAATGTTGGATGATCTTTCTAAAATATAGATTGAATGATTTACCAAATATTATGGAACTTCAGTTCCTCTCCAAATCCAAGCACCACTAATATCTAGATTAGGAACATCTCCATAAACACCATGAATAGCAAATGCCCATTTCTTAAAATGAGGATCTGCTCTTTATAAAAATCCATTGCAATTATTTCTAAAAGAAATAAGAACCTTTCCTTCACCTTCTGCTTTAATATATTTAACAATCCAGATAGACCATCCTTATTAATCAAAAACATTCCAAAAATGTTAGAATTCAGCAGCTTAATCTTTTGAAGCTAAGAATTATCTCTTCCAATCATCAATATTAAAAGTTGATGGTGGTAATGTATCAAATTCACATGTTTATTTCTTTGGTTTCTCTTCTTCTTCTTCTTCAACCTTTTATGGTTTTTCTTATTTTTATTATGGTTATTTTTCTTTCTTTTCTTTTTTCTCATGATGTTCTTTACCATGTCCATGTTCTTTTTTACCATGATCATGTCCATGTCCATGTGTATGATGTCCAGCAAATTATAATGCAGGGAATGGCTTCTTTGTATATCTTGTTCTTCCGAATAACTAAATAATTGTTATTTTAAATACATCTAAGAAAGCTGGAAGTTCTGATACTTATTTATACCATCTAACAAGGTTTACTAACTTAACTCTATCATCTTCACCATAAAGGAATTAAAATATTCCTTAGAAATATGAAGCTAAATTAAGATCAGCTATTGTCAATTAATCACCAACTAAATATTGACTATTGGCAAAATGGGCATCCAATACTTTAAATTTCCAATTTAATTCAGCATGAGCTTATGTTGCTTGAGCTGGATTAATTGGAAAATGTCCAAAGACTGGTAATAAAAGTTAAATTAATTATGGTTCAATTTCTCCAGATGCAAAATCTAACCATTATTTGACTTTGGCTTATTAGAATTCGTTATTTCCAACCAAAGGAGTTCCTCTTACTACATATTATAAAATAGCATTGCTTTCACATAATACTCCTTCAGGTGTCTCTAATATAGGAACTTTACCCAATGGATTCTTTGCTAAGAATTCCGGGGTCTATATAGAAAGTTATTTAAACTATAAAATACTTCTAATTCTTTCCATTCTAAAAGTTTGGAAGTGATTTCAACATTCACTAATTTAGCAGCAACAAGGATTTTATTTGCTCTAGGATTGCCAGAGGTATAATTAAGTATTAAAGACATCTTAAATCTTAAATTTATTTATTTCTATTCTAATTATAAAACTTTCATTTCAACAATCTCATTTTCTCTAACTCTTGTCTCTCTCTATATATCATTATGTATTCTTTGAGCACTCATTCATTTCACCAAGTTTTCACATCTAATTTTATATTACCAAATATCTGTTTAACATTATTACAATTTAATAATATTCAACCACTCCTTTTTGAATACAAATTAAAAGATTCAATATGTATTTAATCTATACATATAATCATATAAGCTAATTAAATAATTATTATTAATATATTAAAAAAGTGAATTGAAAATCAGTTTCCGTTATCAACAGTCTTTTAACGAATCTAAATCGATAAAACATATTTTAATTTAGTTTTTTTTATATTCAATTCTATTTGTTAAACCAAAATGTGATAGAAGAAATTTTATAATTGCCATTACTAAACTTGTCTATATATTAGATTCCATTATTTCTAAAAAGTTTATGTATGAATCCATTATACGTTTAAAATTTTAATCATCATATTAAATCTTTCGCTTTTCATAATATTTATTTTCTTAAAATAAATGTATCAAATTCGATCTTAACTTAAAATCCTATGTTTCAAAATAAAATTCAAAATATCTAACTTGTTGTTGAATTTGTTCCACTATTTTAATTTTAATATTAGATTTTGTTTAGGATTATAAGTATTTTATAAGATTGACACATATAAACATAATTGCTTAGAGAGAAGATTAAAATAATCTTTCTTATCCATTATACTCAATTTAAATTGACTTTTTGAATATATTCTTAAGCTGATACTCTACTTTGTTTATATTAACTTCACTTCTATGTTATACATATTTATTAGTATTTAACCATATATAAGCTGCATTAAAATAATTATATTCGTCTATTAAATTATGAAGATTCAAATATTTAATAGATATTACCTATGTAATTTTTTAAATCAATCTAATCGATTAATTTGTTAAAAATCTAAAATAATTTTCCACTGCAACATACTTTTTCCATGCTTCGTTTAATTTTTATTAATCATTCTACAGGATCATAATAATCATTTTAGAATCAGACAAATAATACTCTACTAGTTTTATCTTTAAATATCTTCCTGTTTACTGTTAATATCCTACATATCTATAATATAAAGAATCTTTTAGATTATTTATTGTATCAAATTAACAAATCTTAGTATTTAGAAGCTATCTAAGAATATCTTCTAAAGTAGTTTAACCTGATTAGGTTTTTAAAGAACTTGTTTATTCAATATAAATCTAATTAAATGTGATTACTTACATTTCTTAAAAATGAACGAAACTCTTAATCATTTTAAATCATAAATTCAGATTATGATGCTTTAGATTACTGAACTAAAAATAATTAATCTTAAGATTTGTCAAATTAAACAAACATAGTCCATTTTTTAACTATCTTGTCCATAATTTAAAACCACTTCATATTTTCTCTATATTTTAGATAACTTAATCTTTTATTTCTCTCTTATTCTCTTCTACAAAAAAACACTACTACAAATACGATTGCTATTTAAACAGTAATATATGCTCCATTTGGACTTGAAAAATCAAATCTAGATATATGCCATGCTAAAATGCCAATCATAGTTATAGTCTAAAAACACAATATTGTTCCTTATAAATATATGCCTATTTATATTAACCTATTTATACATATATGACTAATAGCAGCAAAAAATCCATAATACCATTAATATCTGAAATACATTTATGGTACATCATCTTAATTTTTAGCTAAAGAGAAAATGTTGTATATTATTGTCACTGTAATTTGTAAGAAAGGGTATACAAAATTTGAGAATTTAGGATATTTACTTACAAAATATCGAGACATCATAACAGGAATACCACATAGTAAACCATAAAGTGCATAATAATAGTTTTATTCACTTATAAAGGATAATATGAAAAATGTTCCAACAAACTAAGAATAATAATAACATATACCAATATGAGAGTAGTCAAAGTTTTATATTCATTTATCATATATGGTTAATAATTTAATCTATATTCTTACTCAATCTCAGGAACAATAAATGTGAGGAACATTTTGTGAAGCATTTTAGTAAAAACAAACAATAAATAATGATAATTGAAAACTAAAAATTGAGATCTTTAAAAATTAATCTAATTATTATTTGTTATTAATGCAAATGTTTTAAGTGTAAAAACTGATTCTATTTTATCATCAAAATTTCCTTCTTTTTCTTTGTTTTGATTTTCTTATCAAAAACATCCATCTCTCTCTCCTTAGCTCTTTAAACTCTTTCTCATTTACTTTATGTATTAAAATTAATATTTCAATATTTCAGAAAACAAAATGCAAATTTTTCGATGTATTAATTAATTATAAATGATTGTTTGAATTAATTAAAACTATATACAAATTTATTATTTTTGCTTGTATTAGAAACTAAAAAACAACAAGTGTTAATTTTATTAATATAAAAATGATAGTCAAATTATTCACCTCTTATTAAATATAAAAACCTTATAATATACACTTTAATAATAAAACTCAAATCTAGAATTCTTATAATGACTAATTTATTGTTTGAGTATAATTTGCTTATTCATGATTTTCAGTCAAATGTTTTTTTTTTGTTTTAGTTTTCAACTTTTGAATAAATTCTTAATTTAAAGGATAAACTTATCTTTTATTCATTAAAAGCTATTTTTATTAATGAGATTACCTTCAAAAATTTAGAAGATATTACTGAATTTGCAACTTATTCTTATAATTCAATATCTTTATTTTATTGTTATTTATTCACTCGATTAAAATAATTAAGTATTTTCTTATTTGAAAAATTATTAGTTTTTCTTTTACTTATTTATAAAATCCATTATTCGATTTCAGTTTACATTGTAACAGGATTCCGTTTACCATAATCATCCCAAATATAAGTTTAATTATCCTCAAATGTTGATTGAGTTTCTGGTTCTTCTACTTTAATAAAATTATCAAAAATTTAATCTAAAGGAAATAAATATTAAATAATCCCTAAACTCAATTAAATCCAAACTAAAAAATGAATTTCAACTTATAAAAGAGATTACCAAATACAATTTCCTATAGAAAACAATAAAATAGCAAATTCTATATAAGTATCAACCATTTCAGCTGCTAATTAACTACCGATAGTTGGACCTTTAGAATATCGATAAACTAATAAGTATTTTTCAACCCAATAATTTATAAAAATAAAACATAAAGATATTACAACCCCTAATGGTATTAATTGAGCATAAAAAAATGAAAGCATAAGGGTTTTTGTTATAGTGGCATATTTTTTTGATAAATCTCCAGGTAAACCTTCAAAAAGCAAATTAGCTTCTCTTTAAGTCAATGCACAATTCTATCCCTAATTCTACGACTTTCTTATTCTATATTATCTATAAAAATGATATGGATCGAATAAATTAAATAACCAAGGAAATATTGCATTCATTATAAGAACTAAATAAACATCAGAAATTAATCCTCCATCTTTCCAAGTTTATGTTAAAATATCTTAATCATTCAATACAATATTTACTAAAAGAGGAATGATTGCTGTATTTATAAATTAAGCCTTTTTTAATATTCATTTAATACAATTCCTAATTTATTAGCAAAACTGATATTAAATTCAGTTTAGGTTGAATGCAACTCTAAAAACACAAATTTCTTCATGAGTAAACCCATTATGTTATTTAATATAGATATAATAAAAGAAGCTATCAATCCAAAAACTGTTATGGACAATTCAACAGATGTGGATTGATTTTTTTTATCAGATTGATTTAATTTATCCTTTAATAAAATCTTAATTTACTTAATACACAGATATACCCAAAATAGATCCAAAACATATAGCTAAAATTAGTAATGAACCCAAATTAGTTAAAATTTAATATTTGAACTAAATTAAAGGGTTAATACCTAAATTTTCCCAAATAACATCCCCTGGTTCTGGTGCTCTAATAACATGTGGGGTTTTGCCTTAAAAAGTCTTTGTAGATCCCAAAGGATAGAAAAAAAGCAATTTTTATAGTATATATTAGAATTTTGTTTGAGTATGATACTATCTAATTTATTTAGCTTAAGTTGAAGTATTATATGTTATAAATGCTACACCACTAAATTTAAATAATTGAGGGTTTTATTGGAATTATTGAATTTTAGAATTTATATCTTCCAATTATTATTCAAAATTTAGTGTTTATGTACCCATAGAAAGATTTTATCTATAAAATTTCAAATAGATAAATTTACTATTCAGATAAAATAGATGTTATTTTTAACTCATTTTCAATTTTGAGTTTAGTTAATAAATAATATTCTTAAATGTCATAACCTAAAACAATATGAACAATAGATAGTTTTGAAACAGAAGTTCCATTTTATTTAACTTCTGAAAAGTAATTAGAAATCTCTTATTTATCTGAGGATATTGGTAAATTACTAACTTAAATGGAGTAATCAGATATTGAGATATTCTTTTCATCAATTTTAGTTGCAGTAATATTTAAATGTCTTCTATAATAGATTGAAAAGATTATCATTGATAAAATATTCAAAACATCTAATCCTAATAAAATACTATCTGGTTTTCTAATTTTGAGATGAAAAGAATACCTAGAACTATTTGTAAGAGAGTAAGTGTTATAATAATTAATTTTGCATACAGAATTATTAATTTGACATTCTATTCCTTCATAATTATTCATTGCATTGTATAATCCAGAAATTAGGCTAAATAAGTATTATATTGTTACAAATTTAAAAAAAGTAAAATAGCTACAAAAACCATAAATTCAAAGAATAATGGTACACCTGCTCCATTAAAAGCAAGTTCTTCATTTTTACAACAATAACTTAATTGTGATTCAATAATAGGAAATCCACAACAAGGACAGTATTCTATATTATCTATGTTGTCTATTTCTTTTGAATTACAAAATTTATTTGCTTTCTTTGAAATGATCATAAATTTATTACAGCATGATTTTTAGCTAATTCAAAGTTAGGAGGTCTTCTAAATGGTTCATAATCATCATTTTATTCTTCTTAAAGATTCAAATCATTTATTATAGATTTTAAAAACATATATTTATGAATTGATGACATCATAATTATTATATATCAAATTGTTTATCCTTTAACATTTCTATACTTTTTTCCCATAATTAAGTTGCTAATTATTTTGTAACAAACATAGGAGTTGCTAAAGCACAATCCTTATAATAACCTCCATTTTATAAATTATCTTAATCTTCTAATGATAAATAGAGAGTAGTTTAAGCTCCTTATTCTGGAGATTTTGTAAAGAACCACCACATTGGATAGATTAAGAAATATATTACTTTTCTCCATCCTCCATATATTTCATTGAATAAATCAGTTCTAACTACTCCAGGATGAAGTGAACTATCATATTTATTATTAATACTAAGCAGGAATTCCATATTTTCTTGTAAATTCAGTTGCATGCAAGATATTACATAATTTTGAATAGCTATAAGCTTTCATAGTGTATCTAGTAGACCATAAAGATGAATTTGAAAATCTTTTACAATCTAGATCATTTATATCAAAACCATCACTAGATTTATGAGCCATTGAAGAAACATTTACTAATCTTGGGTTCTATGAATTTCTTAAAAATGGTAACTAATTTCTATCAAATTAATACTAGTTTTTAACTTAAGTAAAAATGACCAATATGATTTGTTCCAAATTATATTTCAAAACCTTATTTACTTATTTTGTATTCCTTAGGTGCCATTATTCCTGCATTATTTATTAAAATATCAATATGCTAAATGTTTAGAGCTTTAAATTATTAGACAAAAGAATCAATATCTCTTAAATCACTTAAATCAAGTTTTAACATGATAAGCTTTTGATTTACTCTTTAATTAGACTTTATTTGATCTAATATTTATTAAGCTTTATATAAATCTCGACAACCAATTATTATATCAGCTCCCATCTCTCCTAACTTTTTAGCAGCTTCTGCTCCAATTCCAGCATTTCCACCTTATTTATATTTATTATTATACCTGTTATTAGAATCACTTATCCAGTCATATCTTTTCTAATTCGGCATACTCCTCCATTTATATATTACTTCAAAAAATATAAACAAGTAACTCCAACTAGTGTACCTCCAAAAATATAAAAATACAATAAATTATTCATTTTTTATTTTATATTAATTTTAAAATTATATACATATTTATTATTTATATCCTTTCTATGGCTTACTTCATATAATCTAATTCTTATTTAAAAATCTTTATATATTTTCATTCTTATGAAATCATTTTAACCTTAAATATTTTAATTATGATGAAAAATACATTTTTATCCATAATTTTTATTGAATTATCATAATAATTGTTATCATAATTTAAATTTGTTTTGTTTTTGTTTCCTCTTTGTGAAAATTTTTAAGAAATTAAATTTATCTATTAAAGAATATAAATATAATTTAAGTTAATAGTATAAATTTTGTATTATTATGTTAATTCTAATAATTATTAAATATTTAATCCTATTCTGATTTAATTAAATTATATTGAATTAAATAACAAAAAATTTCTTCCTTTTTAATCATATTTAATCATAGTATTAGCTATAATATAATGAACTGATATATAGGAAATTGTGTCAGTTGCTCTATTGAATTATAAATAGTATTAAAAACTCATAAAATTTAAATCTAAAAATTTTAGGTATGGATATGATATATCTATCATATAATTTTTTTACTTTAATATACTTTATCTAATAATTTAAGATAACATTATTTATTAAATGCAAAAATCTGATCTTAAATATATACGTGAAGCTTTGACAATCTTAATCGATAAGCTTTTACCATATATTGAACAAAAGCATATACATTAATTTTGCAAGGTATTGAAAAATAAAGTAGCTGATGAAAAGGTTACTCCGTTTTCAATATATATGGAAACTTAAAAAAGTTTTGAAGGAAGTCAAGTGAAGCTTGTAAAATAAAATACTACAACAGATGAAAAATTTACACAATCAGTTCTCAATAAACTAAAGTAGGCTTAAGTGGAATTCAAAAATAATACTCAATAATTTGCATCAATTTACAATTCAGTAAAAGAAAATGTAGAGTCAGTTTATGTTTCAAGCAAAGAATTATAAATAATGATGAATGAAAAATAAATTTAAAGCTAGGCAGAATCAAGACAAGATAAAATAAGAAGAGTCTCAATTTATAGCAAATAGAACAAATAAAATATAGATAAGAATATTATTTTAGAGGAAAAGTAAAATGATTATAGAATAGAAATTAAATCAGATTCAAAATAGGAAATCAAACTTGATAGCAAGATTGGTTAAAAAAATGACATCAAATTAGAACTTAAATTAGATTCTAGAAACGATATGAGATCAGACTCTAAATACTCGTTTGATGGGTCAAAGAAAGAGATAAGTTTCATTCAAGAATAAATACCAAACCCAAGAATAAACCAACAAAATTAATCACAACAGTAAATTAAATATGAGAAATTCTCAACTTAATAATCTCCATTAAGCTATTAATAAATAAAATCATAAAATATTTCTCCTTAACCATCATATAATTATATTCAAACCTCTCCTCATTCATATACTCAAGTTTCTTAATAAAAAAATCCTTAATCAACAAATTTCACTTAAGTTCAACAATCATCTTAATCATCAGGTTAAATTTTATTTACACAAAGTGATTAAAAATAAACTTCTTAAATAGGATCCTATGTGCCTAACTATGATTTGTTAGCAAGAGTTGATTAATTACTTTAAAAAACCAAGAACAGCCCTTAAATATAGAACAATACTCCTTGTCTAACTAATAGAACATGATTTTTTTTTATCTAATTTCAAAACAATATACCAGCATATTTATTTATCATTACTAATATAAAGTAACTATCAATAACTAATTCTAACATTCTTTAAAGCGATTATTCCTTTTAATATATCTCCTAAATTGATAAACTGATTGATTAAATTATTTTTTTGGTATAATTGATATAATTAATAAAATGAATGTTAGTCGATTCAAATTTTAAGTAATTTGCAGTATTTAATTTATTTGAAGAAGATCAACAAAAATTTATTTTATTCTTTAAATGAATTTTTATAATTAGTTGTTTTAATAATAAAATTAATTATATTAATATATAAATTTATCCATCAAAATTAATAGGAAACTATTTAAATTCTGGTAATCGCTAAAAATAGGTATATTAATGTGTTCATTTTTTTCTCCAAATCCTTTTTCTGTTATTTGTTTTTCCTAAATTCATTACAACACTGTTGAATAAATCAAGGAAGGTTTCATTAGTATTAAGGCTTGGTTAATTTTATCAGAATTATCAATAATCATTCGATCTAAAAGTTTATTAAAAAATATGATAATTGTCATCTATAAATGAAACAAAAACTCAATGAAATTTAAATACTAAAAAATTATACTTAAATAGTAACATTGATAGGAAATTAATTAACTTAGATTGATGAATTAAATTTAATAATACTCTTTTCTAACTGCAGTTTTAAATAAGATCAGATATTATAATATTAATTATGTGAGTTTTAACTAATAAATTATAATTCAATAGTTTCAAACTATAAATGAAGAAATGATAAATATTAAAAAATAGTTTAAATACTTCATTATTTTCTCTAGCTTTAATTTTTCTTGATAAAACTCTTTTAATTTTGTAAATGTTTGATAGCAAGTAAATTTTATTATTAAATGAGAATCTGTCTTATAAATATTTTAATTCATTAAAAGAACTCATGATTTTAGTGATGAAAGGGAGAACTGAGTAAATTTTAAAGAAAAATTATTGAAAGTTAATAAAGGTAGCGCATAATTATCTTTAATATAGTTTATTCATAACAAAATCATGTGAAAATAGATTTATAGATTTAGTGATTGTTAAATTTATTATCAATCTTTATCTATCCAAATTTAATGGATTATCCATTCAAAAAAAATAGTTATAAATAAAGTGGAGTATGTGTTTTAAAACAAATTTATTCATTTTATTACTATTATCTATATATATAAAGTTATACAAGGATAGAATAATAAATTTAAAATCAAATCTCATATTTAACTGGATTATATTATTTAATATTCCATGTTAAAAAAAAGGAATTGAAATGAAATACAATTATTAGTTTGCAAAATACTTATCGATTTTCTTTTAAATCAATTAAACCAAATTGGTATGAATTTAAATATATTTTTACTGATTCTTAAGCTTGAAAAATCTATTGCTTATAAAAGAAGAAAAATAGATATATTATTGCAATCATTTTTAATTAGATAAATTATATATTTAGCATTAAATAACTTTTGATTAGAATTGTGTTCGTTTATTTTATTAATCATAATTATATGGGGTCATGTTAAGGCACAATTGTTGATATCCAATAGGATTTAAGAATGAGAGAAATTATGACTAAATTTCAAGTTCCTATGCCATATATTGATGAATTTAAAATATTTCAAACTTTAAAATAAGTGGAAATGTAATTATTGACTCATTATTTTAATAGCATTTAACATAAAAACATTCCTAACTTTGATTTAGTATATTCTAAAATGGGAAATACATCAGACAAAATGAAGAATTTAGTTAAGAAATGGAAAACAAAATATGAGTTACATAATCATCCTAATTTATTATCGATTCATAATGTTTCTATTATTGAATCAATCAAAATATTTATTCCTTATATTGATATTATACTATTAATAGACAAACCAATTCAAACATTAACAAGACATAAAAAAGTCATAATGAAATAACCATTTTCATAGAATGAAATTTTGTTTTTAATAGATTGTGTTGTCTCAGGTCTTGCATTTTAATAGCAAAATAAAATTTATCCATCAGGATTTGATATAGATGATATTGTAACTGTTAGGACTCCATTTAATTTTGAAATTTATAAGTTAGTTGACAGGTACTAAAAACCAACCCGATCTAACTTATTTTAAGACTTTATTTAACTTTTTGATGAAAAATAAAGTATTTTAATTTGTTCTAATATTTTAGCTTTGAACGAATTAAAAAAAACAGCCTATTTTTCACCTGCTCAAATTCAGGCTATTCCAAAAAAAGATAAAGTAAAATAGTTATCTATTATTTATAGTATCTTAAACATAATAGATATAAATCAGATGTATTTAATTTTGCTCTCATTTTGATTTACTTAATAAAAGCTAAATAACCAGAAATTTATGATTGGAAGGGATGGTCGGTTGATCATTTTGCTTTAAGAAAAGCTCAAAATGATCTTGTAGTCACAAATTTTAATGAAAATTTATTACACTTAATAGAAGTAATGTTAACAATAGATGAAGATAAAAGACCAGATTTTATAGAATTAAATAATTTGGTCAGTAAATTATTTTAAGATATATAAATGAATCGTTTATTAGATAAATATTAAGTGCATGATTTTTTTATTGCTTCTTTTGATAAATCTTCGAATTTCAATAATCAAATTCTGTATGAAAATATTTATCAATCAAATTAAGCACAATAATCAATTCAAGTTGCTAAATTAAATTTAAATAAATAATCATAGTATTATCCATTAAGTTCTAGAAATGAATCATAAAGAGCTAAATAAAATGACATAAGTTAGGCATCATCAATAAAAGAATAAATAAGTGAGAATAAAACTAATTAAGTAAATACTATCAATATGTAATAAGGAAAATTACATTATTCAAATGGTTTTTATTATATAGGTTAAACATGTAATAGAAGAAGACATGGTATTGGAACTTATTACAACTCTGATAATCAAAAAGTTACTGAAGGAATGTGGATTTTTGATATTCCTGAAGGAGATGTTATTTTATATAATTAACCAAAAGAAGAGACTTAGAAAAGTCATCAAAATTTGGCAAGAAAAGATTGGGTTCAGTATAAAGGACAAATGAAACAAGGTCAAAAACATGGAATTGGAGTTCTATATTTTTCTGATGGATCGAAATTTATGGGCAATTTTTCTTATGATTAAGCAAATGGAAAGGGTTAATTCGAAAATTAAATTAAAGATTATATTATTGGAACCTGGTAGAATGATATCTTCAATGGTTGATATACAATTATAATTAATAATTCTATGATAAGAAAATATTCAAATTTTATTATTCTACATTCATATAATTTAATTATTAGGTTTTATTAGTAAAATGATTATCAAAAACTTAAAATATAAATCATTAAAAGTATTGATAAATCATTAAATAATATAATGTAAAACAAACAGACTCAATTCTATCTATTATCTCATAAGAGTTCTAAAAGTGAATGTGTTAAAAAAAATATCACATTAGTAAACTATTCAATTCCTTGTATAAATTGTGATTCTTTTATTCCAGCTGCAGATGTTGATAAACATACATTAATATGTCAAGCTAATTCACATACTCAAAGTTCAAAAATCAAAGATGTAACATCAATTGAAGAGACAGATATTAAACTCAAAAAAATTAGATAATCAATTATAATCTAATCTAAAGCAGAAACCAATATAAATAATAAAAAATATCTAATTAGAGCAGAAGAGCTTTCTACTCAACTTCTTAAATTATAAAACCTTGATGACAAAGAATTCAGAAAAATATAGGATATTTCAGAGGAAATTAAAATGTTAACTGAGACTTATAAAGGAGTTTTACTTGTTCAATTATTTTTAGAAAGATTGCATTCTTTAGCTTTAGTTAAGTAATAAAATATGAAATCTCTATTAAAAGAAAAGTATTAATTGGTAAACATTTAATAAAAAAAAAACATTGAAGATCTTGAATAATAATCATTTAAACTCTTGAAAAATGAGCAAACAAAAGAATAAACATAATAATCTAATGGTTATTTATATTCAACTAATACTAAATAAAATAGATAAAATAATATATTGAGAAAAACATAAATTACAAAATTCTCTGGTGAAAACTAAATAACACCTGGTTGTGAAATAAAATCAGAAATATTAACTAAAATGTCGAGTTCATAGTGTAAAGAAGAAATTGAGGAAAATTATGATGGTGAAAATCCTAGTAATAATTAGAGATTATTTTATTCTAAATGTTTGAATTTGAAAGCTTAATTATCTAATAATGATCCTGCTCAAAAAGTTCCTATTTGTATTTTATTTAAAGAAGTTCTCAGCAAAAAAATTCCAATAAATTAATGGAATTAGTTTATATTATCAGCTTTTAATAAGCCAGCATAATATTTAGATTTTTAGAAATTAAATGTCTTAAATTCAGCTGTTCAATTCTAAAATTCAGTTAAATAATTAACTATTAATAGTAATTTCAAAGAGAGGTTGAGAAATCTTAAAATAATATGATAATTGATTTTATATTTATATAATTCTCAAATAATATTTCTCTAAGTTAAATGTGCAAAAAAAAAATCAAAATTTTTCAATCTAGTTTATCAAATTTTTACCATGTATTTTCGTTATAAATTAGTTTTATATATTATTTGGTTTCTAGTGATAAGAAATTTATTAGTACAATATTTCTAAAATTAAATCCAAAACTAATTGAAATCAAAGGTCAAACCTTGATAATTTTTAAAACATAGATAAACCCCAGGATGTTTCCACTTTTAAAATGATTCTTCTGGAAGTAATTAAAATATATAATAATAAAAGGATACTATTTTACTCTACTTTCTCATCCTAAAATTGAGGAAGATTGTTAGATGAAGATTTTAAATAAAATATCTTAGCATATAAAAGAAGTGTCTTATAGTATTTTATTAGGTCATTAATACTAAATTAGATATTGTCAAAAGAATAACAAAATTCAAGTAAAAAGCTATTGAATTTAGAATTAAAGTTTGTGAAATTTCTATAATTAAGGAAACAAAGGCTAAATTAGATTCTATAATTGATTAAAGTATACTTAATTTGAATTCTGATAATCTATTTTTGTTCTAAATTAAAACATATTAAGAAGTTGAGCACTAGAAATCTAATTTAATAATTAAAGACTTTTTAAACATTACAAATAAGAACTTCATTTAAGAAAAATTGTTAGAATATTGAAGTTTTTTATAATTTTTGACATTAATAGGCAATCCTTTTTCATATTTATTAAGTAAGGGTTTTCAATAGATAAATTCAGGTCATTTAAAAGATAAAATTTATAGATCATCAAGAAAAAAATTAAGAAGCACCTTTAAATTTTAAATATAATGATCAATTTCGGATTTATTAAGGTAAATTTGATAAGAAATCAAACATTAATTAATAATTGATGTGATTATACTATTTTATACTTTAAACAAGATTTTATTTAAATAAGGATTTAAAACAAAAGTTTATTAGATAATATATTTGATGAAATCGTAAAAGTTAAAAAATTATATATGAGTATTGTTATTGTTATATTTAAGATGAAATATGATTTTTAGGAACATGAAATAAAGTAATTGAATAAAGCTTTAATTTATTAAGAATTGTTTGAAAAGAAATACAGAAAATTTTAAATTTGAATTGATGAAAATGAATAAATAGTAAATTATATCATCATTATTAGAGTAATAAAATATAGAGGAAGGATAAAAAAAATAATAGGAGTTTTAAGAAAGAATGCTTTGAATAAGTAATTTAAATGAATAGAATGATAGACAATGGTTAGATTTATGAAAGAGCAACTTGATTAAAAAAAATTGAAAAGATGATAATATATAACATAGTTATTAAGTTATTTAATAAATCTTATAGTGATTTTACTTCTAGATTGTAAATTAGAGCCAAGTATAAATAATAAAATTGAAATAATTTAAAGATTTTTTTAAACAAAATTAATGACTCATGGTATGCTTAATACATATGTTAGTCCTTTATTTTGGAGTAGGTGAATTTGCTCTATAGATGGAGAGCATAAAATATGAAAGTTAAAAGTATAATAATAATTAACAATTTTTAGATTGTAAAGAATAATGTTCCCTTAAAACAAATATTCAAAAGATCCAAGCAAAACATCAAGGAAGGGAGAACAAGAGTTATGTTTTATAAGTGTATATTGCTGTGAATAAAATACATTCTTAATTGATAGTAAAGTATTACTTTCTAATTGAGATAAATAAAATCTATGGGGTTTCGGGAGTTCATAATTTTCATAATTGGGATTGTAGCAATCTTCAGTAGTAACTCCAGTGAATATTTCTTAAATAACATAGAATTTATATAAATCTGTTAGTGGAGGGAGTGGTTATGTTGTAGCCTATTCAACAAACAAGAAACTATATGTTTGGGGGAATTGGCATCAATTAAATTATGGAGAAATATTAAAACTATCAGAAAAGTAGGGATTCTCTGAATAGATTGATTAATAATATTAAATAAGCTGTTTAGATATAACTTATAATTTTTCAATAACAAGAAATATTGAAAATGAGAGAAGATAAAGTCATTTACCAAATCATTAGGCAGATATTATAGCTATGAAATGTGTGGGAACAACAACATATTTATTAACTCCTAATTAATTATATTGTTTAGGTTTATAATAATAATTTACAGTTTAATTTATTGGGATAGCTTGTGGTAAAAAACATATATTGGGTTGGGATGATAATGGTAAAGTATGGAGTTGGGGAGAATATGCAGATGGTAAATTAGGTTATATGGATTTTATATAATAAGAATAGAAATCACCTAAATTAATAGAAAACATAACAAATAATATAGTTTCATGTGTTTGTGGATTAAATTATAGTATTGCACTTGATACAAAAGGAGACATATATGGATGGGGTAAAGGTCCATTTAAAATGGATTTATCTTTAGCTGTTACACCTACTAAATTATGTTAAAAATAAAGACCTTTTATTAAAATTATAGCAGGAGATTCTCATTTTGGTGCTCTTGATTTATAAGGTTAACTTTTTGGATGGGGAATTAATCATAAAAATTGTTTAGGCAATTTAACAGATCTAATTAGATATCCTTAATTGTTTGAATTGTAAAATATTAAAATTATTGATGCAGCCATGGGATCTACATCTACTGTATTAATTATACCTATTAATGATAATTATAGAGTTCCTAATTTAAATATTGATTAATATACTTCACATTAATAAAAAAGAATTAAAGAAGAAACTGCTTTCATGAAAGAATTTGCGGATCGTAAAAATAGACTTGATTAAGTCTAATTCAAATCACCCACTCAAAATTATTGTGAAACTCCTATCTCTTTTAAAAATAATTCACATTATGAAGAAGCTGTTTATTTACTTAAAACTATGAAAAATTAAGCAGAATCATTAAGAGATAATCAAAGATTTAAAAATACTCCAAGTTCTATTCATTAAACTAATGATTTTCCTAATTCTTAGACTTAAATCACTTTTTAAGAATATGATGATGTTACTACTAAATTAAAATAATTAGAAAATGAAAATTATTTATATATCCCTTTATGTTAAAGCACTACTCCAAATAATTATTAATTAATTGATTAAAATGATTGTCATAATAATGATCTTTTAAATTATGAAAATGATATGTTGAAACTCTAATATATACTTATGGTTAAATCTTAAGATGAAACTAAATTTATGAGAAATCTATTAGTTGATCCTAAGAAACATTAATAAGAAAATATTAATTCATTATTTTTTAAATAAAGAATACTTAAATAAAAATAAATTCATAAAACATTATATGATAAAAAGAAATTCCATGATAAATTTGATTAATTTGATCCTTACTTTTTAAACAATGTTAAAAGGGATATCAAAATAATAAATGATTAAAGAAAAGAAATCTTTTTTATAAAATAAAAATAACGTGAATAAATTAATAAAGAATTAAGTGAAAGAATGTAATCTTAAAAACTACCTTTCTAAAATAGAGATGAAATTATTAAATGTATTTAAAATAAAGCTTAAGAAAAAGATTTGAAATTAAAATTAGTTTAATTAAAAAAAAAGGAAAACTATATTGGAAAAATTAATCTTATTTAATAATAAATATTGGAAAAAACTCCAGAATTTAAATATAAAAAAAAACTTGATAATATCAAAACTAAATAAAATCTATAAATATTAAATATGATTTTAATCTATTTAAATACTGAAAATATCTGTTAAATGGTTTAAGAAACAAGCCAACGTGGTTTAGAATTAAAAAGAATGATGTTTAAAGAACATATGAAGGCAAGAATTATCTAGAATACAATTAGAAAAAGAAATATCATAAAAAGAATCAAACAAAAATTAGGATTAAGATAAAAAAAAATATTACTTTCTTTTATTTTTAGATTTAAAATTAATTTTAGAATTAAGTCTAAATATGAACATCTTAGAAAGATTAATCTATTTAATTTAAAAAAATAACTATTTATTAAAATAGCTATAAATCTTAAAACAATTACTATAAAGACCAAAACTATATAAAGATTTTGTAAATCGTATAACAACATGTTTTATGTATAGCTTAGTTATTTAAATTATAAATGGGATGAATATATAAAAAATTGTTTTAAAGGAAATATGACAGAAAAAGAACGTGAAGAAATTAAATAACATGAATTACCAGACTTACTTGATAAATAAAATCATATTGTTAAAAAATTAACTGCACCTATAAAAAGTAAAAATATTTTTTTAAGTGAATTAAAATTGAATTTAAAACCAGTTTTAAAAGCTACAGAATTGAAAACTAATTTACTAAAGAAAGTGAAAACAATAGTTTAAATTGATGAAGATATTTAAGATGTAGATCTTAAATTTTCTGATAGAATTTTATTGCCATATACTAATTATATTGAAAATGTTGCACTTTCTGTAGCATCTAAAATTAGATTTGATTATTAGATGATGAAATAATTAGATGTACATGAAAAAGTATATATGGAAGAATTAAATGTTAAATTAGAGGTTTTAAAAGAACAATTAGAGAGAATAAGAAGAGATCATTTCCGATAAATGAGAGAAGTAAACAATCAAATATATTTTAAAGTTTTACATAAAATTAAATGATTATAAAGAAAACCATAAATAGTAAATTTCTATAGATCGAGCAAAAGCAATGATTAGATTTAAAGTAGATGGATCAGAATTTAAAATACTTAAATAAAAAGATGATTAAGATCTTAAGTAAATATTATTGAAAAGGGAAACAGCTAGAAGGAAATATGGTCAAAATTCACTGATTTTTAAAGATGTTATATTTAATAAAATCAGACAATTATAATAAGATTAACATCCATTCCCTAATTTGATAATAAAATTAGCAGAGAATATGTGTGCTGATATCAGACCAAAGTTTAAATTAAAACTTAATCAACATGAATGGGCAAGATTATTCACTTAATATCAATAGGAACTTAAATAAAGATATACTTAAATTATGAATGAAGCTAGAAAAAGTTAATCTTAGAAAACAAAATAAGTTAAATCCAAAAAGGTTATTTAGAGAATAAGACATTTTAAAACAGAATCTTGAATAACATCAAATCTACCCCTATATTAATAATTATTATTATTTATTTTATTTTTCTGTTAATTATAAAAATATTATATAATTTTTCATAAGAAATACATCAGAAATATTAAAATATTAATTATATTAAAACTAATCAATTTATATATAATATTATAAATAAATATGTTATTATTCTGATAAATATATTTAATAAACCATAATAAAATGATCATCCCACATCAGAATTTGTAATATTCTGAATTGAAAAGTATATTTTATAAATAAATTTTCATAATTAATTTTGATATAGATGAAACTATTAGTAAAAAGAGAATAAATGAACAATAAGAATTAAGATTAAATCAAGATGATGACAATAGATAAAAAATTAAAAAAGAAATTTGGACCAAGAGTTACTAGAACAATAAAAGAAACTGTAGAGAGTGCTTAAGCAATTTAGCCAAATGCAGGAAGAAGAAGATTACCAAGATAGAATAGAAGAAATAAATTAATTAGACGATAATAAAGAAGAAAATTTTGATTTTTTATCTATCTATCTATATATTATTATTGTTATTATTTAAATAAAAATGCTTCCTAATTTAGCTAAATAATATTTATTTATACACGAAGAAATAATAATGTTAAGAAATTGTTTTTATAGACTATGTGATAGAGGGATCATGATGATAAAATTATAATTCAGATATTCTCTGGGAAATTTTAGGATGGCTGAAAGAATATTTAACTAAATAAATAAGGATGGCGGTTTTGTTAAATATTTGAGTACGCTTTTAAATGGTTCTATAATTAATAAAGTTTTATGGAGTTTTGGAATGTTATCAAGTAATTTTAGAAATCTAAATAAATGGACAATAAGAGTATTTTAGAAATAGATGATAAGGAAAAGAAGATACCCGAAATTTGTTATTTATGGAATTCAATTACAGGTTCAATATCTTTGCCAAAAAATGAATTAGTATCGAGTATATTTTGAAATATTTGATAATGATGGAATAGTATAATTTGAAGAATTTAGAGTTGTTTATTAAGAAGGAGTGGAATTAAATCGATGATATGAATTTTTAAACAATTAAGATTTGAGTACAAATAAAATACAAGACAAATGGGAGAATGTAACTAAAAATAATTCAAAAACAATTAAATCATTACATCCTTTAAATGATACTACTGCTCATTTTGAAGTTAAAAATAAAACTGATATATTCTTAACAAGAAACTTAGGTGTATTATATACATATTAAGGGAATTAGATTGGAAGAAATAATGATAATTTTATGAATATGCTCCTTAATTTTTAAAAAATAAGAAAAACGTATGTAATATTTAATGATGATTTTTTAAGATCAATATAATCTGAAAAATTATTGGAAGACTTAATCTTTGTTAATTTAATATCATTAACAGAAAAAGTTTCAAGTTGACTATATAAAAATATTAAATTATCTTCATTAATAGTTTAACTAAAAATATTTTATTAACATTATAATAAATCAATATAATTTGGTAAAAAACTTTAGAAATATTTTAAACTTAATTAATTAAAGATGTAAATTTCTTAAAACAAAATAATTTATTATAGCTTTTTGAATTGAAATTTTTGGTAATTAAACTTTTTATAGATGTTTAATTTTATATTGGTATTGTTGATATTTTAATTTAAAATAATAATAAAAAATAATAGGAACATTAAATTAAGAGTATATTTGTTAGTAAGGATGTTTAATGTATTCTTCCTGAAAATTATGCTGACAGATTTATTAAATTTATTTTACATTCATTAAAGTGATATAAATTAAAATTAGATATTATTTAAAATAATATAAATGAAAATTCATAACACTTGGTTTGCTTAAGCAACATATTTAGGAATTATTGGTGCATTTGTTTTTGCTACAACAAGATTTACAGTTCCAGAATATAGACTCTATTATAGAGTTGCCAAAGTTTAACATATTTGAAACATTCATTATATCAATTATAATAATCACATAATATGTTCACTTTTAAGTTGGTGCAAGTTCATAATATATTAATTCAGCTTATTTTATCAATTTATAGGCTTAAACCTCTTTTTTTATAATTTTCTAAACTTTCTAATTCAATTAAGAAATATTCATTAAAGTTTCATTTGATTAATTCTAATTGCTAAATCGAAATCAACTTAAGAAAGTCCATTCAAAGACGGAGAAAATCTTGATATTTCTTATTTTTACAATTCTAATGTAATTAGCTCTCCTCCTCCTAATTGTATAATTAGACAATTTTTAGTTGAAATTGAATCTATTTTTGAAACATCTTTTATGAATTATATTTCAGACAAATAATCTTCAGTATAGAAATATTTATACAACCTTAAATCAGTTACTTTCCATTCTCATAATCAATTAATTTCAATAATTATACCTTCATTCATAGGTTTCATTGTTTCATATAATACTCTTAATTGTATTGGTGATATAGATTTCTAGTCCTAATTATATCTACAGCATTTGTTAAATTATTTCTTGGTTATAATCTCACTAAAAAATGCAGAATATTTAGGTTTGAAGAACTACATAATTAATTATAAATTGTATTAATTGTAACAAATTTTATGAATTTATATAGAATATATTTATATATAATGTAATTATTAGAGTATCAAAGTTCTATGAATTCTTTTTTAAAATGATTATGATGATTAATTTAAAATAGTTTTAATATAAACTTTTAATATTACTTTTTTAAGTAATATTAAAAATTTTATATATACATAAAAAAAGATCTAAGAATATAATATTAATAATAATATTATTTCAATTTTCATCCTATTATTATAAATTAGATTCTAGAACATTTAAAGCAATATTAGGTTCTGCCTAAGGTTCTTATTATTAAATTTTATTTTCTTATTAAGGTTCAGGTTCACTAAGATCTTATTAATTATCATAATCATCTTTATGTGTATTTTAGTCTGATAATTAATTTTAATCAATTAATTCTGTAGGTTCTGGTTCTTAAATTGATTCTTTTTCTTAAATTTAATGTTTTTAATTTAGTTCTTAAGTTATATCTTCTGCAATTTAATTTTCTTAATTTTGTTCAAATTCTTACTGATTATTGTGAGTTTCATTTGAATTCGAAATAAGATCTTATTAATTTATTTAATCATTGTTCTGAAATTAAATATCATTATTTTAATTATCAACTTGTTCAATAATAGAATTGTCATCACTATTTTCTATCTTTTCTATTGCTTAATATGAAATTAATGGTTCAGGCGTAAAAGGACTAGAAAATTCCAAATTTATTTCTTCCTTTATTCTCGGATTGACTCCACACATCCATTATAATTCTTTTAAATTTACTTCATTTAATTCATCTATGTAAATTTACCATTCTTTATTTATTAAATTTATAGAGTTTTCTAATTATTCTGATTTGTTTATATTTGAATTCAGATAATTTGTAATTTTAGTTAAAATTCCTTAATAAGCTGGTTTTTATTTTCTTTATTATACACCATTGTATTTAATTAAAAATTTAAAAATAATTTAGTCTTAGAAAAAAAGATTTTGTAAATGAGAATCATTGCTTTGAACAATAGTGGTAATTAATTTATCAAATAAGATTTATAATTAATTATTGTAAGAATGTTTAATTATTAGATCTAAAATATCTTAAAAAATGATAAATTATGTAATTTGTTGAGTTAGTTCTTATCTTTAACAAATTTAAATAATTAAAGATATTAATGATAATTTAGCATCACCAAGTGGAAATAACTGATCACCTTTTGTAGTTTAAAAAGCAACTTTAAAGAGATCTTATTGAATTAGGGCTTTTGGTAATAGTGAAATTAAACTTGAATAAAGATTTTTAAAATCAAAAGCATAATTTTCATCTTTTAAAGATTCAACTTTTGTATAAAACTCATATTGAATATTTAATAAGTTATAAACAGATGAGTTTTAAGTTTATATAGCAAGATTTATGAAATATTCTGGTTTAGGAATATTAAGCATGATTTTTAATAGACATTACATGGTTTCAAGTGATATTAACACTCTTTTATAGAGTTCTATGAATATCTCACAAACATTTGAAATAATTATATTACAATGGGAATGGAGAGTTAAGAACTTCTAAAGTCTTATAATCAATGCAGATCTCTCAATTAGAAAATTATTATCATTATTTTCTTCTTCTTAATTAGTATCTAGAATTAGTAGTTTTTCTAAAATTTCAGATATATGTTTTAATTCAACATGTTTGAATAAATTTTTAATTACAGTTTGATTTTTTATTAAATACTTCCAAAACTATTATAAATGAAATAGACTTTTACATCATGTCCTTTTCTATGAATAATGGCTCCAATAATCTTATTTATATAACCAGCTGTAGTGACTAATAAAGTATCATTTTATAAAACTTTAAGAAAATCATCAATTAAGGGGTTATAATTTAATTATTTATTTTCTTATTATGATTCAGTTTGTTAATCTTCTTGGGAGTTTTAAATATCATTTTGATTATTTTCAATATGATTATATAATAAATAATTTATTAGTTTCTCATTTTCAGAACCAAAGACTTCACTTATGATGAATTAATATCTAATAATCTAATATTCAAAATTACTTTATATATTTATGAATATCTTATTCTTCTGGTTAAACATCATCAATTATATAATGAATCATTTTTTTAAATTCATCTGGATGAGATATTATGCTTAAAATAATATTTAAATTTTTACAAATCAGCAAATTTTCCTGAGCTAGACATTTTTAGTTCTTGTAATATATCATCTTCATTTAAAATTGTTTCTAAAGTTAGGTTTTCTTTTGTAAGGAGATTATCTAATTTAGATTGCATACCAAATCCAAAAAATCGACCAAAACTACAAATAAATTAAGCATTTTACTTAAAAAACATGAAATGATTTTATTAATTTTATTTAATTAAAAATTATGTAAAAACATAAATAGACTAAATAGTGCGCATAATGTGGATTAGATCCATAATACGATTTAGGAAGTTACAATTAAATATTTATAATAGAATGTGGACATTATTTTTGTGAAAATTGTTTTTAAGCATTTATTAAAGGAATTGTAAATTCAAGGAAATCTTAATTTTAAATTAAATGTCCATTTGAAACATGTAAATAATAGGTTGATTTAAAATAACTATTAAAATACATGAGTTTACCAAATCTATGTAAAAAGTGTAATAAAGAATAATAATACACTTGTAATTAATGTATAGTGAAAGAAATTGAAGAAATTGCAAAAATAAATTATTACTCAAAATTATTAAAATTTGAATAATTGATTGAATTGGGGTCATAAAAAGAACTTTATAAAGATTTATAAAAAAATGAATTAATATGTCCAGTATGTAGAGAATTTAATCAAATTCCAGTAATTGTATGTTTATAAGGACATGAAATATGCAAAGATTGTTTTTACAATATTAGAAACTTAGATGATATTAGATAAGTCTGTCCTATATGTAAATAGGAATTATTATCTACACCACCAAATAGTTTAAGAGCATAAACATTGATATAAAATTTAATTATTAAATGTCCAAAAGAAAATTGTTAACAATAAATTAAATACACAGAATTTGTATAAAATCATTATAGAAAATGTATATTTTATAATAGTATAAGGTTGTGAATAAAAATAAGAATGCCTTGATTGTCATGAATAAGTTGAACTATTATTTTTATAGATTCATTAATCCAATTATTGTATGGGAAGTACATGTCCATTTTAATGCGCTAGAAAACTAGGAGTAACTAACCTGAATAGATTAGGATCATCAAAATAATTTTATTATGGAGCATTTATTAAGTACAATGAGAACCAGTGGTGTGTCACATTCATTTTTACATAGAATTTAAATTGTTGAAAAATTTTTATTTTATGGTTCATTTGGAGTTTGTATAGATTGTGAAGGTTCTTTTGCATGGTAAGTAGATATTAGAGGAAATTAATCAACTTTTTGTTTTTCTTGTTTTAGATTCACATGATGATTAATAAATCTTATATTATTTTATAAAAATTAATTCTGAATTAATTTAAGAATCTCATCATTTTATCAATTCATTAAATAAAAGATAATTAGATTTATTATTTCATTTAGTATTTCTATTTTTAATTCTAGGATTTATTTCATCATATTGATTTAGATGATAATATTAAAAAGGTAAATAATATTCTTTTATTCTTAGATTAAAGAATCTAAATCTATCCAATAACTGAATTATAAAATTACTTACAGATATTAATGAAATGTATTAATTATAAAATTGTAAAAAATTAAAAGGATTTATTTTAAATGGTTATCTAATTACTTAATACAGATTATCTCTACAAAGTCATAGCTATATTACCTTATCTTGAAGTTTTATATTTCAATAAAGAAACTTCGATAGTTAAACCTCATTCTTTATTTTTGAACAAAGTGAAAAAGCAATAAAATAGTTTCAGCCAAATGAATTAAAAGATTACATGAATTTGGTTAATTTAAAAATGGCTTAAATAATAATAAAAAATCTCTAAATTCTTAATTATTAATGATTTGTTTAAATTATTAATAAAATTCAAACTTTTATTAGATAAATAATATAATAAATTTCAAGTATCTTAATCTCCTTCTTATATTTGATTTCTTATATAATCTTTTATAGATCTAATCCTTAAGATAATTTTTAAAGGGATCATCAATATCATTGCTCTAGTACTCCATATATCTTTTGTCATCTTTAAAGCTAAAGGTAACCATAGTAAAAAATAAATCACAAAAAGTAAAGCTTCAAAAAGTATAAAAATAGCTAATCTTTATAATTTTAAATTTCCCAATTCATTATTAAGTCCTTCAATGAATTAATTTGTTAAGTATCTAAATACACCTTAATATTATTATATATTTCATTACTTTTAAAATAGTGATGTTGTATTTCTCGATTTTCTTTAGCATGTAAAAAATTATTAAGATTTAGAATGAAATTTGTACTATTGTCATTATCTTTTGTAATATTTCTAAATATTGCATAACCTCTAGCCAAAGCTGTAAAGTTAGCTTTTGGATTATTATAGAATTAATCATAAATAGTCCTTAAATATCTTGAATTTTCAAAGAATCTTGGAACACCAACATTTAAACCTTATGAAAAACCACTATCCATTGCTAAAGAACAAGATTCTACATTAATTGATTATTCTTGTTGAATCACTATTGGACAAGGATCATCTATATATAATTGATTAAATGAATCTACAAAATTCTATTATAACAAATCAATATTTAATGAATGTAGTTATTACATATAAGAATTATGAGAATATAATTCATCCTAATTATCAACAATAACATCATAAGGTTCTTTTTCAAGTATACTCATATTTCGAGAATAAAATAAAGATCTTTAACAAATCTCTGAAAATCTATAAAATTATTCAGTTCTGGCTGTCAAATTGAATTCTCCACTTAAAGTATGAATATTTTATACTGTAGCTCCACTTAAAAAATATGTAAGAATAAAATATCCTTATATTACTATTAAAATGAATGTTATTATATAAATAAAGTACTTGTATTCTTTATTTGCATTTTTATACTTTTTTTTAGTTCTTTTTGATTTCAAAGTCTTTTGTAATTAAGCATTTTCTTCTTTATCTATATTTTCATCATTTTCAGACATTAGATCATCATCCTCTCCTATTTGAAGATTTGTAAGGAAGTTTTCACTTTTATGATATAAATATCTTATAGTTTTATCAGGAATATCCAAGAATAAACTTACTATCTCACTTTAAGAACGAGAAACAGATAAAAGTGCAATTATTAATAAAAACAATCCAATACTAATTGTTGAAATAGAAACTACTAATAAAACAACGAAAATACTAATTTTTTCCATTGTTTTTTATATTAAATTGTCAATTAAATTATTTAGGGATTCCTTTAAAGAATATTATAAGTTATTCAACCAATTTCTTACTACAAAATTAACATCTGAATCCATATGACTTATAAAGTTTAACTTTTTATCTCTTATTGCCAATGATTTGCTAAGAACTTGTTAAATTGCTTAATTTAAATCATAGTATTCAAATTGATCTTAATCATTTAGTTGAATTTTTACATTCTTCGAAGCAAATTCAAAATCATAATTTTGAGATGTTAAACTACTTGACTTAGAAATGATTTCTTAATTCAATATGTTGATATTGTTTATGGAATCATTAATAATCTTTCTTTATTCTTATTCATAAATTAGAGCTTAATCTGTTGTTAAATTAAATACATTCCTATTTAATAATTATAAGTTAAAAATTGAACTTAAAATGATACCTAATTCACTATTTCTAAAATTTCCATCTTTAACCAACAATATTGTATTAAATATTTAATCAGTTTGATCGATTGCTATGAAATAATCAATAAATGATAAAGTTAGTATTATAAGGATAATTATGTTACTAATCCATTTAACTTTTTTTATAACTTTAGGGGTAGCAGTAGATGTGATAATATTCTCTAAGTTTTTTCTAGAACGAAAAATGTTATTTTCTATTTATTCTTAATCATTTATTGGATTTAAATCTTATTATGCCTAAAAAACGCTCTCTTTCTCTTCATCATCAGAAATAATATTATCTTTATCATCTATTTCTTATATTTAATTTTAAAAAAGACGAAGAACTCTAATATTCTCACCATAATTTATGATAGGTTTATCATGAACTGATAATCTTATTGTTCTTCGTCTATGTGATTCTTAATGAGTAGTTTCATTAACAATTTAATTGGATGAACTTAATGAAGATTATTCAATTTAATCCCATAGAATACTTTAAGATAACTTAGAATTATTCTCATCAACAAATTCACCCAAATATAATTTTTAATTTACAATATATTTAAATTATAGACTTTATTATATCTATTTCTATGGTTATAAAAGATCCTTCGAATTCTAAAATACTTATTCACATAATTCTAATTTAATGTAATATCCCATAACTTCATTTGTAGTAATATTCACTATTTCTCTAACTACGCAAAGGAATTCTTGTTACTTATCAATCATGATTTAATTAATCTATTAAAATTAATTTTAAAAATTATCTTATTCATATTTTATTTTTCCTCCAAATTTTGACATATAAATTAAAAAATTTTCAATAAACTCAGGAAATAACAAATCAAATCTTAATTTTTTATTGATAACTTATTTATTTTCCATACCTAACAATTAAATGGCAGTTGCAGATATAGAATCTATATTATACTCTTAATCAATAATTAAATAACAGGTTGGTTTAAAGGCCTTGATAGTAATAAATTAAGCTGCCAAATTTACATTTTCATCTATAGTATGTAAAATTCTTAAAACGATATAACAAGGTAAAATATAATTTTGTTTATCTTTAAGAAATATAAATCGATCTTTATTGATATTTTTTATATCACTTGTAAGGAGAAATCTCTCAATATATTAATCATGAAATTTCTAATACAAATTAGGCATAAATAAATTTATTTTCCTGTTGATAATTTCTTATTTAGTATAACCAATAAGATGGCAACAAGATTAATTAAGTGTTATAACTAAAGCAAATTTTTCAATAGATGTTGATACAATAACAGTAGCCTATTATTCAAATCCTATTTCATCTCCTGCAATAAATTATATAATCTGTTTTTTTCTTTATTAAATCTATTGCTAGTATTATTCTGATTTTTTTAATAATTGTTATCCATAATCTTCATCTTATAACACATCATTTATAAATTAACCATATAATCTCATTGCCTTAGATATATTAGAAGTGCCTTTCTATATTTTAATCCATAATATATCTATTAGCTTTAACAATTTGTTAATTTTTTAACCAACTTAATATACCTTAGCAAGATCAGGAAAATCTTCTTGTAAAACTGACCAAAATTCCATTTAAGATAAAGTAGTTTATTCAATATATTAGAGTAATTACCTATAATTATTTTAAAAAGATATTTATGAAGCTACATCAACTTTACCAAAATTTTCATTTTAAAAAGAATCTAATTATTCTTAAATTATAAATTTCTTTCTTAAAACAACAAATTCTTCATCAAAAGAAGGACTCATCTATTCAGCTTAAGTAAGTTCATTAAATGCTTATTATAATTATCTCATGTAATCAGATAATAGGAATGAGTATCTTATTCTTAAAGTAGTTGATTCTGGGAATCTTTTAATTTAATTATAATAAATTTATCCTAATACAAATATTAAATCTGTTTCTCTTTCTGTTAAAGTTGAATCTCTTAATAAAGAATTAGTCAATCTAATATTTGGTTAATTTTTTATTTTCAAATAACAGTCTTCCCTCACACAAGTTACTCTATGTATTTCTAAATATCCATCAACTATTATTTAAGCATCACTATCTTTCTTAATGAAATGTAACAATTTAATTAAATAATTAGTTTGATTAATTATTTCTTAGACATCATTTACCTTAGAGTGATTTATCAATAATAAATCAAAGTTTAATTTCTCCATTCTAAATATTGTAAATATAAGTAATGGTAATCCAGATATGAATGCATATATAATCCCACTAAAAATTACCTTTTCTAAAAACATAGAACAACAGAGTAATAATGTTCCCCAAACATTTAAAGTAACAGAAATAGACCAAAATTTTTATATCATTTTTTGATTGTAAGGTTATTCTGTGTGAAATTTCTAAAAAATTATTAAACTTCCACCTAAAAGAAAAATAATCTAAAAGTATTAATTGTTTTTTCCATCAATCAATTTTTGAGTAACGGTTTAGATTAATTCATATGTAAATAACATCATTAATGGTCTTCCACTCATTTTTGAATTTGGATTTGTTGGTTCATACTTTGATTCATAATATAGTAAGGCAAAACAAACACAATAGCCATAGAATATTATTGCAAATAAAATTGCCACTATTCCATGAAGAATATGAGTATCAGTCCAGCATTTTTATTCTTAAAATTAATTATGTATATAAATTCCATTTTTGTCATAACCACAGTCTATTATTGTTATAAATATATCAAGAATTGGTAAATAAAGTATTGATAGGAATAAATTTATGAATATTTTTAAGCCTTTTTTAATCCAATTATTTTCTTATTTCTTTTTGTTAAGCCCTAATCCTATAAAAAATGTTAGCATCATTGAAAAAGTAAAAATTCCAATACAAAGATAAAGCAAAATGATAAGCAACGAGTAATTTTATAGAGTTGTGTATGGAGAAAGAAGGAAACACCTAAAATTATTTATAAATTTTATACGAGAGAAAATAGCTGATAGCATCTGATACAGGTTGATTTTTCCATATATTCTAAATCTTAGAATTAAATAGTAAATAAGTTAGCTAAAAATATTAGATAATTATAGCTATAAGGTTCCACATTAAAGGTTATTAATCCTCATGTAATAATTGAGAGGCCACAGTGAAAATCAAATTCTTTGCTCTCTCTACATATAAATGAAATCCATTTCTGTCAGATATTCTTTTACTAAAATTTGATTACAAATCCATTTTAATATTGAATATTTAAAATTGTCATTATTTATAATATCTGCTCTTTTAATTTATATTGAATATCATTAAGGTTAAAAAATTATATCATATTTTAAACAAATTATTGATTTTTTATTATAATTATTCATGGTGGGTATTCATTTCATTAGAATCATTTTAATTATTTTTAGCCAAATTTTTATTACATAAAATTAACTCGAACAAAATTAAATATATTTTAATCTAATTTATATATTAATATATTATAAACTATTAATAGTTTTGATATTTTAACACTTATATAATAATATTTGAACACTTTAAAATACAATTTAAATCACATAAACATATCAATTGATAATTAAATTTCGCTATCAAATAAAGCTTAAAATAAATTAAAATTATAATTAATTTATTTATTCTGTTTGCACCATTCTAAAATCAATTAAGGGTCTTTTTTATTAAAAATTGTGAAAAGTTATTAATCTTATTTTACTTAAAGATTTCTGATTATAAGCAATTAAGTTTTCTTTTGTAATTCTTATTTCAAAATAGGAATTAATTGATTTTTACAATAAATGTTAGTCAAATGATAAAATAAATTATTTGGTTAAACTTCTTTAAAATTTAAAATGACAGAAATAGATTTCTCTCTGTTGTTATGGGTAACTAGATGATTTAATACATTTTAGTTAAACTTTTGAAAAATATTATTAGCTATATGTGCTTAATGATAGTTTGGTAAATTAAATACTGATAAAAGTTTAAAAGTGCAATTAAAACTAGATGATAATATATTTATACCTTTTTTAATAAAGTTGTATAATATCTGAGTAATAGGTGGCTTAATTTTTATTAGTATTCCATACATTTTATTGAAAATACATTTTAAAACATTTTTATAAGCAAACTTTTATACAAACTTCAATAATTTCATCTTTTATATTAGATGGAATAAGTGGATGATTAGCAATAAGTTCAAGAAATTATTTGATTTTATTTTTTAAATTTTTGGTTGGTGTGGCTAATAAATTTGCAGCAATTTTTGCACACTTAATTAAAAGAGCTTCATCTTTGATAATTTAAAAAATTTTAATCATTTCATCATAGTTTTAATTTTTAATTGCATTCATTAATTTTTCCTCACAATCTTGAGGTTAATTATCTTATGGAATAGATTCTCTCTTTAAATTGGCAATTGCTATTAATAATTAGGCTCCAATATTTTCCAAAATTTTATATTAATCATTTGTATTATAGATTTATTTACGTAGTTAAATTTTCTTATTATGCTATTCCATGCATACATGAATATTTTCTTCTAAATATTTAGTCATATCATGTGATGTTTTATGAATTTGACTATTGATTTGACTAACTATATAAGGCAATTGATGTAAAGGTGTTTATAATACTCTTTCAGGAAGAGGATGTGAAATCATATATTTATATAAATAATAAAATATCAAGAATTTAATAATTATTAAGAGATATATTAAGAAATCAAGTATAATTATATTTGAAGTATTATTCAAATATATTATTATAGTGTAAAAGTTTAAAAATAATTTTGAAATATTAAAAAAAGTTTGAGCATATTTATTGAAAATTTATTCAGCAGATAAAATTTATTGAGGGTTAAATATGAAACATTTATGATAAAAAAATAATTATAATACTAGAGGAAGAATAAACATCAATTAAATAGGGGGAAATATTTTATAAGTTAAAGTACTTAAAACCAAGAGTTACATAAAATTGATTAAAGTAAATGGTAAAATATTTTATATTATAATTATTTATTCTATCTAATAATTTATTACTAATGTCACATAAGGAAGTTGATAACAAACCAATGCATGGGAACCCGCCAGATGAATAATTAGCTAATGGTCCAATAGAAAACCGTTCTTGTTAGGATTTGATCTGTTTTATTTTATTTATTGGAGCAACAGTAGCATTTGTAGTAATAATATCAATGGGATTTAATGAAGGAAAGCCAGAGAGATTAAGTTATGCGTATTTAATATATAAATGATAGTTATGATCCAAATGGGAGAGCTTGTGGACATGATGAAGGTGTTTTTAATGCCCCTTACATTTACTTAGTAGCACCTTTAGTAGGATATTTAAACAGATCTGTATGTGTTACATAATGTCCAAACTGGCAAGAGGGTACATAATCACCTAATCGGTAAAACATAAATTTGAATTTCAGTTTAGAATGTGTGGTGAATAATGTTATAACAAACTGTTCTGAAAGATATTCATATGATGGAGTTAATGATATAAGAGATTTCGATAAAAATTTTTTACTAAATAAGGAAAATTATGCAAATGAGCCATCAGTTGATAAATTGTTTAATTACTCAACTTTTATTTATAATTCAACAAATGTTTTAGATAGATTATGTATACCATCAGGGGAATAATATGTAGAGAAAATATATGGAAATATGGATGACATAGCTTCAGTTTAAATGTAATTAATTTAATAATATTAAGATTTGAATAATGGGTAGCTGATATAAGATTGACATATAAAATTATCTTTGCCTCTGTTGGAATAGCATTTGCTATCGGATTATTTTATATGTTAGTTATGAGATATTGTGCTGGAACATTAACATGGACAGCAATCTTTTTATATTTTGTTTGTATTGTCTTATTCATTATTTATCTCAATGACAAAGCTAATGCTTAGTAATTATTATATATATTTGAATAATAGTAAAACAAAAGCAGCATTAAATACAGCTTAAGGAATTGCTGATACTGATAACCAAGATTTATAGACTTATTATGGATTGAAAGGCTCTATGATAGGAATGTGTATAATAGGTGGATTGTCATTATTTGGATTATTATGTTATTTTAATAGAATAAGAATGGCTATAGCTGTAATAAAGACATCAGCTTTATTTGTTATGGAAGTACCTTCAGTTATGTTAGTTCCTCCAATATTCTCTCTACTTGTTATGGGTTATTGGGGATTGTGGATTATTTCCTTTTTCTATATATATTCTATGGGAGAAGTTAAAGGAAGCAGTGATACACCTTTAGCAACCGTAGAGTGGGATGATAATATTCGATATTATTTGATTTATCATCTCTTCTATGGTCTATGGACTAATGCTTTACTCTAAGCTATTTCATAATTTATTTTAGCATCTTCTGCCTGCCTATGGTATATTTATAATTACTATTAATATTAGGTTTTATTAACATAGTGATGGACAATTAATTCATTTCTATGTTTTGGAATCTGTCAAAAGATCTATTATTTATCATTTTGGATCATTAGTTTTTGGTGCTCTTTTGTTGGCTATTGTACAATTTATTAGGTTTTGGTTAGAATATATCAATTATTAAATGAAACAATTTTAAGGAGATCCTAAACAACCTATTAAATGTTTTATAGATTGTTTAAGATGTTATGCTTCTTGTTTTGAAAGATTTGTTTCATTTATTAATAAAAATGCATTTATTTAAATTGCCTTAACAGGAGATAACTTTCTCACTGCCGCTAAAAATGGCTTTTATTTAGCATGGAATAATGCAGGTTAATTTGCAGTTACATCTGGAATTGGTAGTGTATTTTGCACTCTATGCAAATTATTTATAGCTTTTTCTACCACTTTTCTATGTTACATGATTATTACTACATCTGATACCTATAAAGATAAACTTAATTCTCCAATCGTACCAACTTTACTATTCTTTATCATCTCATATGTAATTGGAGATCTTTTCATGTCTGTATACGGAATGTCCATTGATGCTATTCTATAATGTTCTATTACTGAATTAGAACTTATTAAAGCTAATCCTGGCTTATTGAAAAAAAAGAGAGCACCTTAACCTATATAAGAATTTTTGGATGAACATAAAAAATAATGATATAATTAAAAATATATTTTTGTTCCTCACAAAATTATATATCAATTTTTGGAAAAATCAAATTTAGATTAATTTACATATATATTTATAGTTTATGAACATAAATTTAATAAAGATATATTAAAAAATATATACTAAATAGTCTGTTTTATAAATATTTATTAATTTTATAAAAAAATCATTATTATAAATTTAGGTGAACTATTAAATATTAATACAACCCTATATGAGATTATATTAAAAATATAATTTTAGGTTTATTTACTCAATTAAATATATATTTTTAATTAAGTTTATGAAAATTTTAAATTCTAATTTAAATTTATATAGATTGATAAGTATTATTATTTAATTCATTTAAGTTTTATTGTTTTAGGGAGAAAATGCCTTCGAAAATAATTATAAATAAAATACACTGTAATTCCCATTTTAATCTTATCATATTTATAGTGGAGAGAACTATCTGTTTTTTAATTTTCATTGATTTCAAGACTGTCAAAATCATAATATTTTTATTATTCATTATTTAATGGTTCTTCACAAATAGATTTCTAATAATTAGGATTAAGAGATTAGCAATAATTAATGCTAGTTTATTAAGTAAGACTTGAATTCTTTCTAATATCATCTCTTTAGATTGAATTACGAGCAGAACCTATAGGAGGAGGAGCTAAAAGATTATTAGAACTGAATAATAATTAAATTATACCCAAATTAAACAAGACCTGATAATTATTTTTCAATAGACTGTTTCATTTCATTAGAATTTAGAGGAATATTGTTATTACTACCAAGATTTTAATTTGTATCAGTATAATAATGTGTAGATTACTTAATTTCAGTCCAATCAAACTTACCATCTATAACAGTATTTGTCGAATCTGCAGCTCTTTTGAATTCTTTTAAGATCATCTTATAATTAGGTTCTTATTTGAATTGTAATTTTCTAATGTAGCTATAAAATCTAATTAATTTCTTTACTCAAATACTCTTTAAAATTCTCCTGTCTAATCCTTAAATAATTCATTTTCGAGTGATAATTTCATTTCACCAACTTTCTTTGTTCTTTCATCATCAGTAACATTAAGCATATTCTACCATGGTAATTATCTTAATTATTACTAAATAATTTTATACCCACGTAAAAAGTAAAGCAATATATACATTAATGACTCTAAATCATCTTTTCTTCCTAATTCATATCCCAAATGAGCTGTTATTGATGCATATCTTGTAGTTCCTATAAAAGATTTGTATTCCTTAAAAGTTCTAACTATTAATTTCTCTATCTTACATATGTCTCCCTTAAGAATCTCTATATATTTTACTTATCCCAAAATCTATCAAGTATAATTTTGAGATCTCTCTACCAATCCCTAAAATTATATTTTCTGGTTTTAAGTCTCTATGTAAAACCCCTTTCTAATGAGATCGCTCTAAAATCTAGATAACCTATATTCCTATTGTTAACACTGATTTTAATGAAAACTTCTTTAATTGCTTAAAATGATAAGCTAAGTCTTTCCCCAACAATTATAATACCAAAATGTTATAACCTTATTCTTCACCGGACCAATAATATTTAGGAAATCCCTCAGCTCCATCTAATTATTTAAGAATCTACACTTCCCTTTCAAGTGAACGAACTTCCTCATTTTCTTCTTTCTCAATTTTTATTGCCACTTCTTGTTTTGTCAGCAAGTCGCTTCCCGAAAATACTACTCCAAATGAACCTGATGAAAGTTTTTTTACTATTTAATATTGATTGTTGAAAATCTTTTAATTTTAAGATGTCTTCTAATACATACTTTATTTACTTTAAAATAATCAATATTATTTATACTTATCTACTTCAATTAACATATGTTTTTAATTATTTTAACATAACTATTTATCTTTTTATTGTCAAACTTTTACATATTCAAAATTTATGTTGATTTTCAAGAAAAATTATATTCATAATTACAATCCGAAGCAAAACATTAAATTATAAAGTATAAAACTAATTAAATCAATACAAATATATATATATTTAATAATTTATTCCTAAAGTATAAGAAAAATATTTGATATCATTTATTTTTAAATTAGATTGTTTTCTATGATAAAAAAATTCACTTTATTAGAAAAGAAACAATTTTTACATCAATATATATGTTTTAAATAAAACAGAAAGAAATTTTATTAATTAATTTACTACATATAAATTAGGATCTTATACATTTTTATATCTTATACAAATTATTTTTTATTAATTTTTTATTTTCCATTTCAGTTACTATAACTATATTTAAAGTTTAATTAATAATCTAAATCTTATGATAATAATTTTATTTATTTTATCAATATCTGTAAAAACTTACTTAAAAAGATTTTGTTTAATTAATATGATTTAATCTTTAGATTTATTCTAGAAATTCTGACTAAAACATTCAGTAAAGCACAAAAGTAATTCTTTAAATATATTAAAATTCTAGAGAATAAACTCAAATATTATTAAAAAAGTTCGTTTATAACTTTTGAATCCATCATATGATCATCGATAAAAAGCTGTTTATTTTTAATAAATGAATTTGATTAGTCTGTTAATAATTTTAAAAATGGCAGTTTTTAATTCATTATTTACCAAATTTGATTAGTATTTTTTAACTTTTCTTTATCATTTTTAATAATTGGAAATACTTCAGAAAATTAATTTCTTACTTTGTTTTTATAATTTATTTTCCTTTTATAGATAAAGCGATTTGTTTATATAGATATTTTTTTAATTATTTGGGTAAATAAAAATATTTCATCTATTCTATTTTAAAATGTGGCATTTTGAAAAGCCTTCTCTATTATGAAAACTTAAAATATTACTATTTAATTTAATATATTTTAGTATCATATTATATATACTGTGTTCATTAATAACTTTGAAAATTAATTATATGAATGATAATCTTGAAAAATATATAAATCAACTTAATAATTAAAATTTTAACAAATGAACTAATAGTTTTTAAGAAATTAAGAATATTTTTTAAGAATAATAAATAGAACTGATAGTGATAAAAATTCAAAAAGAACATAATATAAATAAAATAATTCAGAACTATTAGAAAAATCTTTTAATGTATTTAATAAAAATAAAAACATATAGATTTATGAATAAAATAAAAGATAATTCTAAGCAATAATAACTATATTTAAAAATAATAATATCAAAATTAAAATATAAAATATAAAATATAAAATTTATATATATATATATGATTCATAATTATGGACACATAGATGGAGATAGTGGATTGATGACATCGTAATTTCATCTTGGAGATTCTCCAAAAGCAAATATTGATTACAGTCATAGTGAAAGAATAGAAACTTTAGTTTAGAAAAGCATTATGCAATCAGAAATCAGAAAACGTAAAACAGGAGAATCTTAAAGTCTTATAGAGCACTCAAATATGTAATTAAATGGTCACTTGTTACCTTAAATCACATTAAATTGTTAATCGCCAGCAATTTTTGATTAAATAGCACTTGAACTTGAATAATAGTAATTGATATTTCATAATTTTATCGAGTAATTATACTTGTATAATGAGAGAAGCAAATCAAATGATGTTTCTTTAAACAAAGCATGATTCATTATGTTAAAAGATTATAAAGAATGTCTGTAAACCAACATATATAGCAAGTTAAAGTAATAATAGCATAATTTTGGTAAAATATTCAAAATAGAAATTGAAGATAGATGCTTTATCAGGAGTATATTTTTTATTATATTTAGAATTATAAATTAAATGAAGATGTATTATTATCTGTTTGTGTTGTAGTTAAAAGATATAATCAAACACATAAAGATTATGAACCTATAGATGATATGAGTCACATTAATCCATTTGCTATTACNAGTCTGTTAATAATTTTAAAAATGGCAGTTTTTAATTCATTATTTACCAAATTTGATTAGTATTTTTTAACTTTTCTTTATCATTTTTAATAATTGGAAATACTTCAGAAAATTAATTTCTTACTTTGTTTTTATAATTTATTTTCCTTTTATAGATAAAGCGATTTGTTTATATAGATATTTTTTTAATTATTTGGGTAAATAAAAATATTTCATCTATTCTATTTTAAAATGTGGCATTTTGAAAAGCCTTCTCTATTATGAAAACTTAAAATATTACTATTTAATTTAATATATTTTAGTATCATATTATATATACTGTGTTCATTAATAACTTTGAAAATTAATTATATGAATGATAATCTTGAAAAATATATAAATCAACTTAATAATTAAAATTTTAACAAATGAACTAATAGTTTTTAAGAAATTAAGAATATTTTTTAAGAATAATAAATAGAACTGATAGTGATAAAAATTCAAAAAGAACATAATATAAATAAAATAATTCAGAACTATTAGAAAAATCTTTTAATGTATTTAATAAAAATAAAAACATATAGATTTATGAATAAAATAAAAGATAATTCTAAGCAATAATAACTATATTTAAAAATAATAATATCAAAATTAAAATATAAAATATAAAATATAAAATTTATATATATATATATGATTCATAATTATGGACACATAGATGGAGATAGTGGATTGATGACATCGTAATTTCATCTTGGAGATTCTCCAAAAGCAAATATTGATTACAGTCATAGTGAAAGAATAGAAACTTTAGTTTAGAAAAGCATTATGCAATCAGAAATCAGAAAACGTAAAACAGGAGAATCTTAAAGTCTTATAGAGCACTCAAATATGTAATTAAATGGTCACTTGTTACCTTAAATCACATTAAATTGTTAATCGCCAGCAATTTTTGATTAAATAGCACTTGAACTTGAATAATAGTAATTGATATTTCATAATTTTATCGAGTAATTATACTTGTATAATGAGAGAAGCAAATCAAATGATGTTTCTTTAAACAAAGCATGATTCATTATGTTAAAAGATTATAAAGAATGTCTGTAAACCAACATATATAGCAAGTTAAAGTAATAATAGCATAATTTTGGTAAAATATTCAAAATAGAAATTGAAGATAGATGCTTTATCAGGAGTATATTTTTTATTATATTTAGAATTATAAATTAAATGAAGATGTATTATTATCTGTTTGTGTTGTAGTTAAAAGATATAATCAAACACATAAAGATTATGAACCTATAGATGATATGAGTCACATTAATCCATTTGCTATTACTGCAATATCTATGAATAGAATCTATCTTTATTTAGAGGATAATTTATAGTTTAAATAATAGTTGGATGTTCTTTTGTAAGACATTGATTCAATAGCAAGACCAAAAAAACAAGAATTATAAAAATATGTGTAATAAAGTTCGTAATTGGTTTTTGATACATTTTAGCAGTTTAAATAAAAGAATTTGAAATATGATTACTAATATTATTTGATGGCAATAGAGAAAGTAGTTTTTGAATCTGTTTATGATAAGCTATTTAATTTTTATATTGATTTCAATGAAAAAAATGAAAATCAATTTAATATCAAAAAGTACTGATAATTGAAAATAGAGATCACAAATAATTACCAAGTGTAGTGAAGATGAAACAATGGAATTCCTGGAAATAAAAAATAAATATAGATTAAATGAATAATATTGGAATGGTATTGCTGAATTAAATAAAGTGGATAAATGTACAAATCCAAGAGATNATTTAAAAATAATAATATCAAAATTAAAATATAAAATATAAAATATAAAATTTATATATATATATATGATTCATAATTATGGACACATAGATGGAGATAGTGGATTGATGACATCGTAATTTCATCTTGGAGATTCTCCAAAAGCAAATATTGATTACAGTCATAGTGAAAGAATAGAAACTTTAGTTTAGAAAAGCATTATGCAATCAGAAATCAGAAAACGTAAAACAGGAGAATCTTAAAGTCTTATAGAGCACTCAAATATGTAATTAAATGGTCACTTGTTACCTTAAATCACATTAAATTGTTAATCGCCAGCAATTTTTGATTAAATAGCACTTGAACTTGAATAATAGTAATTGATATTTCATAATTTTATCGAGTAATTATACTTGTATAATGAGAGAAGCAAATCAAATGATGTTTCTTTAAACAAAGCATGATTCATTATGTTAAAAGATTATAAAGAATGTCTGTAAACCAACATATATAGCAAGTTAAAGTAATAATAGCATAATTTTGGTAAAATATTCAAAATAGAAATTGAAGATAGATGCTTTATCAGGAGTATATTTTTTATTATATTTAGAATTATAAATTAAATGAAGATGTATTATTATCTGTTTGTGTTGTAGTTAAAAGATATAATCAAACACATAAAGATTATGAACCTATAGATGATATGAGTCACATTAATCCATTTGCTATTACTGCAATATCTATGAATAGAATCTATCTTTATTTAGAGGATAATTTATAGTTTAAATAATAGTTGGATGTTCTTTTGTAAGACATTGATTCAATAGCAAGACCAAAAAAACAAGAATTATAAAAATATGTGTAATAAAGTTCGTAATTGGTTTTTGATACATTTTAGCAGTTTAAATAAAAGAATTTGAAATATGATTACTAATATTATTTGATGGCAATAGAGAAAGTAGTTTTTGAATCTGTTTATGATAAGCTATTTAATTTTTATATTGATTTCAATGAAAAAAATGAAAATCAATTTAATATCAAAAAGTACTGATAATTGAAAATAGAGATCACAAATAATTACCAAGTGTAGTGAAGATGAAACAATGGAATTCCTGGAAATAAAAAATAAATATAGATTAAATGAATAATATTGGAATGGTATTGCTGAATTAAATAAAGTGGATAAATGTACAAATCCAAGAGATAAATTACGATCAATATAATAAATGTTATGTTTAATAAAATGTATAGAATTGTAATTAATATAATAAGCATTAATATATGAAAACAGTAATTGTGAATTATCTACAATGGATGATGAATTACCTGTTATGATCTACATAATCTTATATAGTGAATTTTAGAATAAATTCGCATCTATTCATTATGTTGATGATTTTTGTAATACTGATCCTGCAATTGAGACTGAAAAAAGAACAGTAACAACTCTTAGAGTTTCTTTAGAGTATATTGCTAATGAATGGTAAATTTGATAAATTGATATCAATATTTTGATAAAATTATAATGTCTGAAAAAAAAATAAGAAAAAAGTACCATGACAAAATAGACTTTAAACTGGATCTTCCTGATACAAATAATAAGAAAGAAAAAGCAAGATAAAGTGCCAAAAATACTAGATAAAGAAAGAAGGCATACATAGAGAGCTTAGAGTAAAAGGTTTTAAAATTAATAAAAGTGTGAGGTGACTTAATTGACAGCTTAATTAAATTAAAATAAGAATGTAGAATCGAAGCCTAGTTTAATGTAATTAATGGAGCAGTTTTTGATTGATAGAAAATAATAATTTGATATGTTAGAAAAAGCATATGAAGAAGGAGATGAAGCTAATATTAAAGTTATTACAAATTCATTAAGATTTAAATATGGTATTTCTGGTCGAGGACGTTTAATGGCAATTAATAAAATATTTGAATTACTTATTGATTTATTATTGCCAATGCATATGAGATATCTGTTTTGGGTTGCTTCTGAAGGTTAGTTAATTTTAAATTATATTTAGATGTTGATATTTTTAAAAGAGAAAGATAATCAGGTGAATTTTATTCATTTGATATGAGTGATAGCTAAATTAATTGCTTAAATTCATTTGGATTAGAGGATGATTAAATTCTTAAAATATAAAATATGCAATCAGTAATCTAAGAATAAAGATCACATTATGATAATTTAATTATAGATATTTACAAAATATAATAATCAATTATCAAAGAGAGTGAAAAATGTTAAACTATAGTTGATGAAATATGGGATATTTTGGAACCAAAACAAGCAGCTGGATTATTAATTACATTAGATAAGGTTATATTATTATTTTATTATAATAGAGTCGTATTGAATAATTTAGAGAAAAAAAAGTTTATCCTGATTGTGTAATTTTAACACTATAAAAAAGAGCCAAAGAAGAAATTTAAAGATAATAGTAATATTCTTATTTTGACATGAAAAAAGAACATAAACAAAGAGAGCTAGAATTGAATAATTATTTTTAAGGAGAATATAATAATTGACTAATTATAAATAGATTTATTAAAAATTCTTATTTTCAATTAAATCATTTAACATATAATCATTTGACTTTTATTTATTCTAAAGTATCGCAATCTTAATTATTTGGTAATAAATTTATTGAAGGAATTTACTATTCAGAGCCCTAAGCAGAAGTCTTTTCACTTTAATTTTTAGATTATAATATTTTTGAATCTATTATTTTTTTTCCATATTTTTATATATAAATTCTTTCTTCTGCATCAATTATATCATTGATAGCATAAAGGAGCTTATTTTCAAGATCACATTTTTTTTACTTAATAATAATTAATATATCTTACTTTATGAAATTTTGGCTCTAAATAAATGAAACTTTTAATTCTTTACAACAGTTAATATTGAGGATTTTCAGCTGTTTTATGTCTAGTTAGAAGTATGAAATAGAATTCTAATTAGTATTTAAAAAGATACTGGTAGTTGCATCATATTCAACAATAAATTATCCAAAATTGCTGTGTATACAGAATATTTTAGAGGTTTTTTGCTGTTTTTATAATAAAAGTTTTTCGATCCTAATTCTCTCTTCAATCCAAGTTTAATCATTACTAAACCCTTTTTTTATAAACATAAAAAAATATTATTTATTAGTATCATAAAGCAGAAATCCTCTAAAAACTTTCATTTTTTATTCATCTAATAATTATTTGCTTGAAAAATTTTATAATTCATTGTTTTCACTTGTAGATGTTAGTATTTTTTAATATTATTATTCAGCTTAATTATGCTTTAAACTTAAATATTTTGAATTAATAAACGTATTATTCAATAATAACTGTTCTTCTTTGATCATAATTAATTTTTCTATATTAAACTTTTCTAAAGCCTCAAGTTCTTATATATTAAGCTATACTATGAAACTTATAGTTTACATTTTTGTAGTTTGAAACCTCGCATAAATATGCATAAATTAAAAGTAGAAGTTCTGCTTAAAAAATATCGTCTACAAATATATGTGATATTAATATTAAAATTCGATCTTAGCATATAAATAAAATATTACTTTTAAAATAATCATATTTGCCTCTCACTGTTCCTAATACTGAATTTATACTAAAGACCTTCTCTTCAATTACATTCAATTCTTTTATCTAATGCTAAATCTCTTTTATTGTTTATTCCCAAAGAGGTGTAAATTCAATATCTCTTCTTAAGAATAAATAAAATTTGTTTAGCTTAAGATCAAACACAGTGAAAGCTCTAAAGCAATTCATATTATTTTAATTTCTTTTTTTTATTTTTAGGAAAGAAATTGCCTAATTTTATATTAATAATATATTTAGAACTAATCCATTATTTTGTTTTATGAGTAATACATTAACTTTGAACCTTATAATAATTAATTATTTTAATGATGTGTTTTTAATATAAATATGGGAAAAAGAGTTTTATAAATGGAAAATTTTAGGAAAGAATTGATAGAAAATAGTAAGTAGTAAAATCTTAGTTTAAATATATGAAAATTGAGAATAAGTTGATAATAATGTGAATGAATAATAATGAAAAGTCTAAATATAATAATATCATAAAAACTTTTAAAATCTATTAGTGTAAGTTTTATTTATTTAATAATATAAATATTAATAAAAATGATGTGTTATTAATTGAATGGAGATACGATGTGGGAATGTGGTAGAGAATACAAATTAATAGATGGCAGATGGGTCGAAGCAGATAAATTAAATAAGATTAATTAGGCAATAAAAGAAACTATAAACGAGAAATAAACTGAATAATAAATGATAAACCAAAATTAAGAAGATATTTAAAAAGTTTAGATTTAATAGGATGTAAAAGATTAAGAAGATATCTAAAATCAGTAAAAAGAAAAACAATCATAACTAGATAAAGATTAGAAATGATATAGATAATTTGAATTATTTAAATAGCACAAACAATACATATACAATATTAAATATAGTTATATATATTCTTAGTTAATAAAAGAAAGAAATTATAGATTAATTATGAAATCTCGATCAAAATCAAGGTTTCGATGATCAATATCATCTTCATAATCTAAAATTAAAGAATATAGCAAATAAATATGTAAATGAAATGCTAATTTGAAATAAAATCTATTAAATTAGACCATGGCAGTGAATGAATACTTATTAGTGGTAAACGGTAAAAGTTTTTGAATAATTATTAAATTAATGCTGTCATTAAAAATAAATAGCAGCCAATTTAATATTAAGGAGAAATAATCACAAAAGATCTTTCTTGAGAGTATTTGAAATATATTTATGATAATTAATAAAATTACTTATTGAACCAATTCTGATATTAGTCTTTTTATTAATGTATTATAATACCTTTTGATATTATCTAAATTAAATGTCGATATAATCTATTTGGTATAAATTGAATATTTTCAATATAGTATATTTCATTTATTAAAGTAAAAATTGAAATGAAAAAATGGATAAAAAACTAAAGTAATAAAAAAAAGGAAGATCAAGATGCAAATTTTAATAAAAGATAAATATTATATTGAATTACACTAAATATATTTTAAAATTTCAGGTTAATTAATTAGTAATTAATTATATTACTAAAAGTATTAGTTCATGAACGGAGAAGATTTCAGAAGTAAATTAAGGGAATTTCATTTGAGAAGTAAAGAATACAGTTCTTAGGAGTCAAGAGTTACTTTAGAAGATGAAAAAAAGATGAATAATGCATGTTGTGTGAAATTATATTTAGAAGATCATACTATAGGTATAATTTAGAATAAATATTTAATAAAAGGCAATTTAGTTCGAATGAACTTGTTAAAATAGAAAGAAGTGACATTTTCTGGTTATAGACAAATTCATCCACTTTAACATACAATAGAAATAAAGGTATAAACAAATGGATCGATAAAACCATATGATGCAATATAAAAAACTTTATAAGATTTGAGTGATGAATTTAAAAATTTAGAAGATGAATGGGCAAGAAAGATAGCTGAAAAAGAGAAGCATTAAATGAAATTAGAAATATGAATAATATTATAAATAAATATATATGTAATAATAGAATGTAATTACTGATGGATAATCTGTCGATGAAAACATTTAAAAACTTTATTAGTTAATAGAGTTTAAAGGTAAAGGAGCATATGGAATAATTTGGAAAGCAATTAACAGACAGACAAAGAAAATTGTTGCTTTGAAAAAGGTTAATACAAATAGGTATCATGAAGGTTTTCGATGCATTTTCAAATGATACTGACGCATAGAGAACATATAGAGAAGTGATTTATCTATAATAATTGACGTAGCATGAGAACATAGTAAAACTGCAAAGTATTCACAGAGCAATAAATATGAAAGATTTATATATGACATTTGAATATGTAGAATCAGATCTTCATAAAGTATAAATAGAATTGATAATGATAGGTAATAAGAGCAAACTTATTAGAAGAATAACATATGATATACATTCTTTATTAATTATTAAAATGTTTGAAATATATTCATTCAGGTGGTTTGATCCATAGAGATTTAAAACCATCAAATATATTAATAGATTCAGATTGTAGAATTAAATTGGCAGATTTCGGATTAGCGAGATTAGCAACTGAAATAGATGAATTTACTGTTATGACAGATTATGTAGCAACAAGGTGGTATCGTGCACCTGAAATATTATTAGGGTCTCCTATATATAATTATTCAGTTGATATGTGGAGTATAGGTTGTATATTAGGAGAAATGGTTTTATCCAAATCAATCTTTACTGGTTAATCAACCTTTAATCAATTAGAAAAGATTGTTGAAGTTCTTGGCAAACCTTCATAAGATGATTTAATATAAATTAATGCACCTATGTCTGATAAAATATTTAGAGAAATCTAAATGCCTAAAAGAAAGTCTTTATTTACTTATATCAAATCATCAGATACTGTTATTGATTTTATTGCTAAATGTTTAACTTGGAATCCTAATAATAGAATGACTGTTGATTAAGCACTTTCACATCCTTTATTAGAAGATTTTAAAGGAACTGAATCTGAAAATAACTATCCATCTAAAATTACTATTGATTTAGCTGAGAATATCAAATTAGATAAAAAAAAATATAGAGAAATATTATATAAAATGGATTTAAATTACTAAAAATAACAATATATTAAATAATTAAGTAATGAAGAATAAATACCATCCTCTTTTAAAAGTAAAAAACTTGCAAATTAAATATAATATACTTATCATAAATATTTAAATAATGGTATTGATTCCAAATATCAAAGAGTTTCTAAATCTTAATCTAAGTAAAATCAATTACATTAACATTATTAATCTTAAATGGATATTTAAAGTTAAATACTTTTAACCCAATCTATTTAATAATAAAATCAATAAATTATGAAATAAAAAATCTAATAGAATAGAATTAAAACACTTCCAGATAATTATATTGACATTATCATTCCAACTGAACCTAAAAGTCCAAATAGAGGAAGATATTTTTCTTAGAATAAAATTATAGTATAACCTTAAGTTCCTTAATCATCTACACCTATTAGAAGTAAATCAATCAAAAATAGAATTTATAATGAATCTTCTGATTAATGGTTACAAAAATAAGAAAATGATTCTAAAAAGAAATTACTTACAACATATCTAAGTCAAAAATAAAAAAGACCTATTCATTAAAATTTTAAAAAAGTAACCATACCAAATAAACTTAATATGGATCAATATTTCATTAAAAAATATCCTACTTAAACTAATTATATCGATACTTCAAGTTTAGTCTCAATTCCTAAATGAATTTTATTTTTTTTTCGATTTCATTATGTATGTTATTATTAAATAAATTTACTGCTTTATTTGGTTTATTATAAAAATTACAATATTCATACTATATAATAAACTATTTAAAATAAATTTGATTCATTCAATGGAAATAAGAAACTTCACTAATAAAAAACCATAGTTAGCAATACTACATACTAAAAATTTAAGTAAATAGTTTTCAATGAAATCAGAAAAAAGAATCAAAACAACTACAACAGATACAAATAGATCTGTTGATACTAAAAAAATCTTAACTGATTTTTATGACTCATGTAAGCGAAGAAAAAGTATTTAAAAAAAAGTAATTAGTTACTTCTTAATTTATACATGAAAGAAATAAATCCTAATAGCATTAAAATGAATCACTATTTTAGTCTATCGATAGTTGTCCTTCTTTTCGATAATAGGCTTCAATATCTCAAAGCTCTCCTCCCAATAAATTCTTTCTATTTAATACATGTGAGAAAGTTCTATGTTAAAAAAGCAATGGATCTAAACGGATTTAAATTCAATATGCAGAAAAGCTTTTCTTACAGCAATTAAATTCAAATAACAAACAGGAGTTATTATTGAAAATTGAATAATATATTAGAGATTATTTTACTGATGAATGTAGAGAAATGGCTAATTTATTTGATACTTTTATGAGAGAACTTAATTCATAAATTTCTGATTAGAAATTCTAATTATCTTTACATGAAAAATAGCTTGAAATATAAAAGTTAGATGATATTATTAGAATGAATACTAATCATACTTGGGCTCATTAGGATATGGAAAGATAATTAAAATAATTATAAACCTAAAATTATGATCAGATTAATTTAATTACAAAATATGAAAATGAAATCAAAGACTTATAAACAAGAAATAATTAACTTAAGTAGTAATTAGAATTGAAATAAAAAGAAATTGTTTTAAAAAATAAAAAAATAAAAGAATTAGGATATGAAGTACTTTAATTGTAAAGAAAATTAGAATACATAGAAAATAAAGCTTAGAAAGATCATAGATAATCAATTTAATAGACTAGATATTCAATATTTTAAAGTCAATAAGTTGGTTCAAATACAAATTTAAGTTAAATAGGCAACAATCCTAATTCTAATTAGATAAATAAATTTACTCCTCTGATAGAGGAATTAGTTGAAGATTCATCACCTTCTTTAACTGAATAAGAAGATGAAGAAGAAAAAGAACTTAATTAAATTGAATTTAATACTGAAAGAATGGTTGAAACAAGAGAGAAAGAAACTTAAATTGAGTTTGATATAATTAATAATTATACAAAAGAATAAGAAACTTAAACGAACTTATAATTGATATCAAAAAGATTTGATGAATTGTCGTAAGATCTTTGTGAACAAGCTCTTAATTTTATTGATTTTTTAAGTATTCCTCAGGATAAAGTTGAAAATGATATCAATATAACAAATGCTCATTTACAAAATATTAATTTGGATAAAATTTCAGAGGAAGAAATAGTGAAACTTTTTGATTAATAGTTACCAACAACTCCTATAAACTAGTCATAATTAGTGAAACAATCTTCAAATAGAGCAAACATGAAAAGAACTTCTATGATACTTGATAAACCAATGATATAGAATTAATAATAGATGCCTAATTAAATAAAAATAAAATCGATGATTACATTTATAAAAATGTAAGGTAGTAAGATGAAACAATTAGAAACTTAATTAAAGGATGGAATAGAGTAAATTTAAGGGTTGAAATAGATTAATGAGGGATTAGAGGATCATAATAAAGAAATAAAAGAATAAAATTCTAAGTTACTTGATTAAATAACAAATTTACACATTAAAGTTAATGATCTTGAAAATTAAATAATGTCTGATGCAATGGATTTAAATTAAGTTTTATCTTAATAAGAAAAAAGGCCACCAAATATTAAATAAAATACATTTGCATAAAAAAAGACTAAAAAAGCTGCTCCTCATTTAGGATAGAAAGTAATATTATATATAATTTAGATTACAATTAGTTATGATTTTTAGAAGAATTAATCTAAATTGCTTATTGAAAAAATTAAATCAAAAAGTATGGGAAAGTTTTCAAATTATTTACCATTAAAGCTTGTTCTTAAAATGATTACTACATTTTATTTTGAAAAAATTTCAAATTAAAAAGAAAATAAATAATTAAGAGATTAGGACATGTCTGCATATATATATAATTATTATTTATAATAATTTGGATACACAAAAATAACAGAATAAAGATTTATGATCCTTGTATTATCTGTTAAAAAGTATGCATCAATAGTAAGAGTAAATATGTTTGCTAAATTTATGAATTTATTAGAAGAAAAGAGTAATTATAGAGTAGAAGAATTGTAAAGATATTTGGAAGCACTAGAATATGTTTCGAATATTTAAAATTTAGGAATTGCTATAAAAGATAATGAATAAGATTAGAAACATTATATTCCATATGTAAGAGCATTAGCTTACTTGGGATAGTTATAAAATTTTAATTTCACTTAAGAGGAACTTAATTATTTAAAATTAGAATTAGAAAATTAAAAAGAAAATGATCCTAAAAATATAAATAAAGCTGGAATAATTGATTTTGATTTATTAATGATAAGAGTATTAACAATATTCAGAAATAATGTTGAAAAAACAAAACTTTATGTTATAAATGCATTTGCAGCATGTGATCTTGATGGAAATGGAATGTGTAATATAGATGAATGGTTGCTATTAATAAGACATATAGAACCAGAGAAATTTGATGAAGATAAATTTATAGATGTATTTGAAGAATTTGCAGATTTAGTAGAAGAAGAAGAGAAAAATCTATCATTTGACAGATTTTCAATTTTATGTATGGAACATGAATTATTTAGTGATGCTTAATAAAATAAATTCTTAAAAGTTAAAAGTATAATAATAAAATATTGAATTTAGGTAACCAAGAAGCAGATTAAAAATTTGAATAATTAAAATAGAATTGGGGATAAATATATATGGAATAATTAAAGAGATTAAATGAAATAAAAATGGAAGAGAGTGAAAAATAGAAATGGCAAAAGATACTAAGTGTTTTAGATAAAAAGATAACAGATTAAAATAGTAGTAAAAAGCCTTTATTGATTGCATATAAGATATTTTTGGAAGAATCGAAATGAGGTTCATGTATATATATCTGTAATAAATTGAATTATTTTCTGTAAATATCTTGAGTAAAATTAATTATAATTCCATTTATTATAAACAGCAAAAAAGTAATTAATAAAAATGGATGTTTCAAGACCAATGACTACTCCTACAAAATCTATTTTTTCTGATTATTTATAAAGATAGAGTCAAAGTTAAAGTAGATTACATCTCAGAACTTTAGGTGAATCAAAGAATGAAGAAACAAAAAAAATATTATCGGATTTCGTTGAATAAAGTAAACAAAGATAATGTAAGAGCAATAAAATTTTTAGAAACCAGTTAATTTTTAAATTCTAGATAGAGATCTTCTTAAGAAATGTTATAAAGTATAGTGTCTCATTCATCCTCTACAAATAAATTTTATGTGCCATTTAAATCAGATTTTGCTAAAAGAAAAAATAATTCTTTAGGTTGTATAGAAAAGGTTGGATCCACATCTAGAATTGGAAATAGAAGATAATAAATTATTTAAACTGAATAATTCTTTCAATCTTAAATTACACCATTAAATAGGTTAGAATATTTAGATAAAATGTAAGATTTCATTACAGAAATATTAACAGAAGAATTTAAAGAAATTTCTTCATTGTTTACAACTTTCATGAAATAATACTAATTATTCATAGATGATTATTAATTAAAATTATCTATAAAAGAATAATAACTTGAGTTAAATAATCTAACAGAATTTGAAAGAATGAGTAGTAAATACTCAAAAACTAGTCAAGAATTTGAAAATTAAATTAAATTGCTAAATTAAAATGAAGAACAATATAAAATTGATATTCATAAATTAAGAACTGAAATCTTAGATTAAGGTCGTAAATTTAAAGATCTACGTTAAAGATATGAACTTAAATAGAGAGAAATTGAAATTAAAAATAAAAAAATTAAAACTCTTGAATGTGACATCTAATCTTAACAAAAGAAAATTCAATATTATGAGAATAAGCTTCAATAAACTTTTGGAAAAGAATAGATGACTGATATCAAATAATCTTATTAAGAAAACTTTTAGAAAAAGAACAGTACTTCTAATGTAAACATTTAGTAGATAGCATCTAATAATAATTTGATACCTTATAGAAATAGTATAAAAAAAGTAAGTATAGTTACTATTTTAAATTAACCAAATAATTAACCACCTGATTTATTGAAAAAGAAATCAACAACTCAAAAGTCTGATTCAAGTATAGAATAATTAGAAGAAGAGGTTGAAGAATAAGATAAATTAAATCAAATAGAATTAAATTATGATAGAATAATTGAATATAGAACATCTGAAGCTCAAGTAGAGTATGATTTATTAGATATGTATTGTAAAACACTTGATACATAAACTGAATTAACTATGATAGGTGTTAATTATGATTCATTAAAATAAGACAATCTTGAAAATGCTATAAAATATACTGAATTTATTTAAGATGTTAATAATAAAGGAGAATCTAAATCAGATTAAAATTTAGATAAAATGCTTGATCTATTATTAAAAGATGCAGAAGATACAGCTAAATTAAATGGAATTCAAAATATAGACACTAAAATTCAAAGTAATAAAAGGCTTTCTGTATTAGGAGGGGTATCAAAAGATTCAATCAATTTTGATGATAGCTCTTTATAAATATAAAAAATTAAATAGAAAAAAGAGTAATAAATTAAGTAATTAAATTCGTTTTTTAATTACTCTAAAACTAGGCTAGCTGAATTGTCTGATGATATTGATCAAAAGAAAATCAGTATAGTTTCACTATAATTTTAGAATGAAAATTTATCTAATCAAATTAAATAACTACAAGATGAAGTTCAAAAATTAAAAATTTAATCTATAGATGATAGAATTATGATATAAGATTTAAAGATCAAATAAGAAAATTCATCTAATCTTTAACATATAAATATTGAATAAAGTCTAATTTCTTCATAGCCTTCATATTAACATAACGAACATAAATAAACAAAATAATAATAACAAGTCAAAAAAGGAATAAAAAATAGAACACCATAATTAGGTTAAAAGGTAATATATAAATTTTTATAGTAGGTTACAATATCTTATGATTTTTAAAAAAATTAGTCAAAACTATTAATAGATAAAATCAAGGCCAAAAACATGTAAAAATTTACGAATTTTTTACCTTTAAAAGCAGTCCTTAAATATATAAATACATTATATTTTGATAAGATTCATAATCAGAAAGAATAAAAATAATTAAAAGATTAGGATATGTCTGCATTTATTTATAATTATTATATGCAATAATTTGGATATACGAAAGTGACAGAGTAACGTTTTATGATTTTAGTTCTATCTATTAAAAAGAACATAAAGTTAGTGAGGGTCAATGTATTTGCTAAATTTATGGGTTTATTTGAAGAAAATTCAAATTACAGTGCAAATGAGTAATAACGTTACTTAGAAGCTTTAGAGTATGTTACCAATTAATAAAATTTGGGGATTACAATAAAAGATAATGAATCAGAATCAAGATATTTTATTCCATATGTAAGAGCATTGTCATATTTATCCTAACTTTAATAGTACAATTTTTCTTAAGAAGAATTTAATTATTTAAAATCAGAATTTGAAGAGTTAAAAGAAAACGATCCAAAAGGATAGAATAAGTTAGGAATAATAGATTTTGATTTAATGATGATTAGAGTATTGTAGATATTTAGGAATAATGTTGAGAAGACAAAAGCATATGTTATAAATGCATTTGCTGCAAGTGATTTAGATGGAAATGGAATGTGTAATATTGATGAATGGCTTTTGTTAAATAGACATATTGAAGGAGAGAAATATGATGAAGATAAATTAGTAGATGCATTTGAAGAAAATGCAGATTTAATAATTGAAGAAGAAAAAAATTTATCTTTTGAAACTTTTTCAATTTTATGCATGAGTTTAGAATTATTTAGTGATTCAGCTTAAAATAAATTCTTAAAAGTACGAAGTAAGAATTATAAATAATTTTAGATAATTAAGATGCACAAATTAGATTTTAATAACTTTAAGCTATGTGGCCAGAAGAGTTTACAAAATGTTTGCAAAAGTTAAGTGCATCTGAACTAGAAGAATAGGAAAAATAAAAATGGAATACAATATTAAATGTTCTCAACGATAAAATATTATCCAATCCTTAATAAAATAAGCCTTTGCTAATTGCACACAAAATTTTTATTGAAGAAATTAAATGATTATTAAATTTTGCCATTTTATAATTAAATAATGTTTAATAAGCCTAGATCAAATTATTTAACATTAGACTTTAAAAAAGTTAATATAAAGGATGCTCAAACATCACGGCCTTAAACTAATAGAATTAATACCTCTAGAATTTATTTGAGAAAACTTAAAGCTGATGAGTATTATTTTTATGTAATGGCAGATGCTTTACAGATAGAGAAAAAAACACCTATTAAGAGTTAACTAATTATACACATGATAAATAGATTTATAAATAAGAGTTTGAGAATGACAGAAAAAGAAAGCTCGAATAATTGAGATCCTAAGTAGAAGAATTAAAATTAGATTATGAATAAAAATAAAAAGAACTTATTTAAAGTCGTAAATAAGTAAATAATGCTCTCAAAGGTTTAGTTAATTCACATACTAAATACAAAGATTATCAAATTGGTGATGTTAAACTTTATTAATAATATTATCGTTGTAAAACTGAAACTCCTTTTCATTTAAAAAATACTATTTATGATGCTCATAAATATCAAAATTATTATGGTAAATTGTAAAAAACTAATTTAAAACTTAATCATCAAGTCTAATTTGCCATGATATAATATCGTAAATAATTGGAAGAATAATAGGAAAGAATTCCAAATTTTTTAAAATCTATTTAGTAAGTTTTGTGAGATATTTTTTTTTGTAATTTTTAAGGAATAATTTGAATTTATATATTTTGTGATTATGACATATATTAATTAGTTTTCAAAACCTACTATTTGAAATTTACTTAAGAAAAAGTAATTTTTTAATCTTGAATTCAGAATTCTCACTATTAATAAAAGATTTACAATATTTTTGTAAATTAATTAATGAAATATATTAAAAAACTTAAATTAACATTTGAGAATGAGAATTTAGAATAGCAATATTAATTAGTAAGAAAAAACTAAATCTAATAGCAAGTTTTTATTTTTATAATTGTGCTACTCTTTATTTCAAACTTAGTAGTGATTGGATTCCATTTTTTAAATCATAAGAATGAGACCTGGTATTTAAATATTGCCTTTGGCTGTTTATCAATATTTTTATTCATTCTAATAGTAATTATGAAAAAAAATCAGTATCTATAAGAAGCTATTACAATAGCAAATATAACATTAGGTTTTTTAGAATTAAACGTTGATCCAGCAACAACCAACTATTTAGAATTTTACTCTTATGGAAATACATTTATGTAATTGTAAGCAGCATTATATATTGTTTCTAATTTTCTTCATGCTTCGATTTAAGTTTGTTTTCATTTTGTTTTACGTATGGCAATTACTGTAATTATATCATAAAGGACTGACTATCTATTAATTTTTATTGGTATAACAAGTAGTTTTATCATATTGGTTACAATATATTTTAAAGAAAAAAATTCAAGAAAGTATTTTATATAAAATTTGAAGGAAAATTATTGGGAAAAAAATACTTCATTCATTATATAAAAACCTTATATCACAATCAACTATCATAAGGAAAAATTAATGTTTAATTTAGTGAAAGGGAATAAGATTGAATAATTTCCTGGTTATGATAATTTTTATTGTGAAGGATGTAATGTGAGAAAACTATTAAGATTTTATTAAATAGATAAAAATCTTACTATAGAAGATTATTTACTTAAAAAAGAAGTTAACATCTCTTAAAAACTTTTAATCACTTATAAAAAACGAAAATATTTACTAAAATTATGTAATGTGGATATCTAATAAATTCAATACTTATTAATTCTTGATAATTCCAATATTTTATCTAAATAAGATGAAAATAGAGAAATACAATACTCAAATTTTATTGGATTTCTTAAAAATAATAAAAATTATAATCATTAATATTTCTTTAACTGGGGTGCACAATCTCTCTTATTTTTAAACAAAAAGATTATTAAGAAAATAGAATTATAAGATTTAATGAATAAAATCCTAAAAGTTTTTAGAATTTATATCTATAAATAAATTTCAGTAAAAATAATAACATAAAATTAAAATACTTCTATTTTTTCATTCTATTATTAAACTAAAATATTTATGATGTAGCTTTTTGAAATAGTTTCATCAATATAACGTAAAGATCATTCATAAATATAAATGATTCTAAAAAGAAAAGGATGCGACATAATAATTAAAATTATGAACATTGACCTCTAAAAGTTCAAGTAATAATTTGATTAAAATTTCTTTTTGAAAAGCCTCAAAAGTTTATTACTTCATAAAGTGGAAATTTAAGAAGACATATATTTGCATTTTCGAAATTATCCAATAAAATCTTTTGCATTTAATCTTTGAAACTTTAGAGAGGAGCTGATTTCTATTTTATAAAATTTTATGATTATCTAATTATTTAATAAAAATATTTTCCATGATGTTAATTTAAATCTTTGATTTGACAACTCAAAATAATTTAGATTAAAGTTTTGAAATTTAAATTGCAAGTCCTCCCATTAATTCAAAATAAAATGTTTTTCTAAATTGAATTCCAAACAATTTTCATTTTAGATTAAATAATAGCACTCTCAAATAATTAAAATTCTTCAATATAAAATTATTTAGAAATTTTATTTTTGAGTTCATCTAATTATAATTTGTAAATGCTCAATAAATTGATATATGCATAAGTAATCTCTGATATAATTTTGTCTAATTAATGACAAGAACTAGATGAATAAAATGATCAAATTTAATTATTTAGTAAAATTAACTGAGCATTATGATTATTAGAAAACCTATTATAATGTGATAATTATTAATATTTAAGGTAATTGATTTCTGTTTATTTCTGGCCACGTCAGCAAAATAATATATTAGTACTTATTTATTCAATTTTTTGTATGAATAATAAGTTTAACAAAATAATAAATAAATGAATTTTATAGATTAAGATGATTGTAATATCCCTTTTGATTATGAGGATGACTTAATTTTCCCTCCATATTATGAAAATGCAGAAACACCTGAACATAGCAAATCTACTGATTTAGAATAAAAGTTCAAAAACGATAGAAAGGAAAGAATTTAAAAAAAAAGAATAGAAAAGAAATAAAAAGGAAAGTCCTAATCAAGTAATAATCTGTCAAAAGAAGAGTTACGAAAATTAAGAAATAGAAATTCTGCCTAACAGTCAAGAGATAGAAAAAAGCAATAATTTGATTCATTGATCTTAGAAAACCAAAACTATTAAATGTTACTATAACAAAAAGAATAATAAATATAATTATTAATGGAAGAGAACAATTAATAAAGATTAAAAATATAAATTTTAGAAGAATAAAAGTATTTATCATAACAATATTAATTAGTTAAAATTATAAATGCATGAATTGTTCCTAAGAATCAAATCATGAAATGATAAGAGTAAATGTTATCACAAAATAAAAGATGATGAATTATGGTTTATTATCTTTATTGGCAATTACTTGTATTTTATCAATTGTAAGTAATGATTACGAATTTTCACCAAAACCTATATCTTTACACTAAATTTCGGATTAAAAATATGACTTTTTAGCTCCTAAATAATAGTTTTCTAACTCAACATAATTGGCACTTTACAATCATTTATCTATACCAGAACATTAGCATAATAATCAAACACTTTTTTATAATTGTACAGGAAATGAGAAGGAATGTCAAACATTTTTAAATATCATAAAGGCTGAAAATGCTAATAATTTATATTTTGTAAATGATGCTTCAGATCATTTACCTGCTGAATAAGATCATCATTTTGATAAAGGGGAAGATGTTTATTTAATCAAAATTAAATAAGATGATGAAGATAATTTTATGATATTTAGAGCTAGATGTTAAATAACTGAAAGTAACAAATTATTGTTTGAAAGAGATAGTTACGATTCTTATAACAATAGCTTATAATACTGATTTTTACTCTCTTCATTTTATTATTTTTCTATATTTTTGTTTAATTATTAAAAATTCTTAAATATCTAAAAATTCTAGATAGTATCATTATTTTATTTACAATATTTATATACTTAGATTATAGAAGTAGTAGTTATTTAAATGTAAAAACTAATACTATAATCTCATTAATTGATTATTAATAAAATGATTAAAGTTTTTTTAATTGTAAGTAGTAGTGGAAAAATTCGTATTCGTCGTTTTTATGATGAAGTAGAATGTATTATACTTTTATAAATTAGTTGCTAGATAATAATAAATTGAATAAAAATTAATTGTGTTGACTAGTAAACTAAGTCCAAATAGTTGCAATTTCTTTAAGGATTTGGATGGAATATATGATAAAAAATGTAAAATTGTAATGAGATTTTTTGGAACTTTATATTTTATTGCAGTGATCGATGAAGATGAATCAGAATTAGGTGTACTTGATCTGATTTAAAATATTGTTGATTTAATGGATAAGATCTTTGATAATGCTTGCGAACTTGATGTCCTTTATCATCCAGATAAAATGAATGCTTTAATTGATGAAATTATTGTTGCAGGCATTGTAGTTGAAACAAATATTATGGATATCCAAGAAGCACTTAAATAACAAGAAACTCAAATTAAAAATAAATGAGTTTATATTATTTAGACACATCCAAAAATATATAAATATTGAAGTCATCATATTTTGAATTCTTATCTGAATAAATTGCTTAAGTGAACATTCAAAATAAAAATAATTTGCATTATATATATTTTCCTAAAAATGAATTGTCATAAATGCATCTTTGCTATTGCTAAATTCAATCATCTTAAAGACTATTATGCTGTACTCAATATTACTTAAACAAATGATTAAAATACAATCAAGAAAGCTTATTATGCTTTAGCAAAGAAATTTCATCCAGATCTAAATTAAGGAAGAGAAGAAAAGTTTAAAGAAGTCAATGAAGCTTATGAAGTTTTAATTTTGAATACTTCTATAGATTCTCTCTGATGAAAATGCGAAAAGAGATTATGATAATATGAGAAATTTTGGATCAAATTAATAAAGCTCATAACATTCTGAGTAATATTAAGATCCTCGTAGAAATTATGCTAATCAATAATAATAAACTTATCGTACTAATTCAAATTATAAGTATAATAAAATATTAATAAAGTTAAAAATGGAATACTAGAACAGCATATGAATAAGCTTTTAAATAAGCTTCATCAAATTTCTACTATTAACAATAATAATAATAATAATATTAACAGAAGGGATCCAGAAATAATTATGATGAAGAAATGAGGAGAAGAGAAGAAGCCTTGAATTAATTTGCTTAAGAAGCTTTGTTAAGGAAACAACGTGAATATTAAGCTAGACAATAATATTATGAATAAGAAAAGCGAAAAAGTTAATTTTATAATGAAAGGGAAAGAGAGGCTTATGAAGACTATATAAGATAAAGAGAATATGAATAATATTAAAGAGAAAAATTTGTAATTAAATAAATCTAATTCTTAGGAAGAATATCAAAATAAAGCCAAAAATTTTGAAGAAAGTGTTGAAAATATATAAAAAAATTGGAATTAAATTAAATCAAATGTTACTTCCTTATGGAATTCTATTAAAGGAAAAAAAGATTGAAATATCATAATATTTAATATCATCTGAAATAATATTCATAATTCTTATCTGCAAGTGAGAAACTTTGCTTTACACCTTAATCTTCATCCTTTAAATCATCACAATTTTGTCAACTTAAATATTGAACAATCCGATTTAACTATCTTAACAATTAAATTTATATCATGATTATAATTTAACTTGTTTTAATTTATGAAATATTTTAAAAACTTTTTTATTCATTTTTCATAATTTACAAATTAAAATTTTAAGAATTTTTTTAGATTTAGAAATAATTTTATTTTTTTAATTACTACTTAATTTTTCATAGGGTTCTATAGATATAATATATAGATAAATTTTCTATTTAATTTTATAGATTAAATCTTAAAAAGATAAAAAAACAAATCTATTTATCTTTGCAAAGGTTTAAATTAATTCGAACTATTTAAATTATCTTTTGAATATGATTTAAAATTCTTCATTAAATAATCTTTTAGAGTAATATAGTTTACAAAGTAGCAACTCAATAATTAGAAAAGTCAGTAATAAATTATTTTATAAAAAGGCTTTAATAGAATTTAAATGGAATGAGAAATTAAAATAGGTTAGATCTGCAAAGAGATAAATTTTCTTATAAAGATAGTGTTTAAAAACATTAACAAAAGACATTATTTTTTTAAAGTATAAAATGTTGAAAAGAGATAAAAAAAAACTATTTTTCTTCAAACTTTATAAAAATATCGAATTAAAAATGGATATCTTTATTTAAATAGGTTTTATAATTTAGAATTACAAAAAGAAAGTGGATACATATTTTTGTTTAATATATAATTAATATTCAATCATTATTAAAGACTGTGAGAATTAGGTATCATTATAAATAAATTATAGTAAATATATTCAAATGAGCAAAACCTCCTTTGGTGAATTGCTTTAATCTGATCAGAGCCAAGAGAGTTAATCAGAATCATCAGAGTTTAAAGTTGATTTACGTAAACAAAGAGGTAGTTAAACAGCCAATGCTGACGCTAAACGTTACCATAAAATTCCATTAAAAACACAAATTTTATTGTTTTAGATGGTCTTTTCTTAAGGAAAACGAATAAAACAGGTAATAACCAAATATTCTATATTTAGGTTGCGAAATCATTAGGAATGAATTACTCAAGTGCAAAGTCTTTGATCCATTATTACAAAAATGCTAAAAGACCTATACCTACTGCTATATCTAGCATAATAAATTTAAATAAAACATGTGGTTTCAAGAAATTGAGAAAAGGTAATGATAATTTTTTCGTTGACATATAATTAAAAAAAAAAAGTATTAGAAAATACAATTATCATCAACGATTAAAGGAAGAACAAAGCAAATGTACCAAATGAGTTCAAAGGAAATTGATTTGTTATTATTTTACATCTAATTTCCTCTTTTACAAATTTTAAAAATATTTATTTAGATAAAATGTTTTTGAAATTTGAATCTAAGCAATCCTCGAAAAATATTATTTTTATTGTATTTATTCATTTTTTATAATAATTTCCTGTATACGAATTTTGCATCAATAACGCTTTTTAATAAATGAAAACATCACAATCTGAATTATAAAAATTAATTATCTAAAAATATATTGTAATTTAAATAAATTGCTGTATATTTGAATAATCATAATTTATCACCTTTTTCTTTTTATTATCATAGAAAATTTGATCTATAAAGCTATTTCAAATAATTTATATGTAAAATAATGCTAACTTAATACGAAGTTGTAAATACAAATATTTTGATGAAAAATAAATAATACTTCAAATTTTTAATTTAGAAATAAATATGATAACTTTGTATATAATATTAATTAAGGCTTGCTTTACATAATGCTCAAGATGCAACTCATAAAAAAGTATATTAGAAATAATTAAAATTCTTATTAAGAAGTTTTATTGAGTTATACTTTTTTTTCAAAATTTAGGTTATTTTCTGATTATTTCTTTTTCTCTTAACAAAAAAATTTCGAATTTAAAAACTTAATAAATAAATATATGTTTTTATTTTTTATAATACCTATTGTTTTTACAAGTGAAAATTATCAAATTCCTTCTTATTTTGGATCGAAAGAGATGGATTTTCTATTAAGAAACAGTATATTGAATGGAAATTTAAGTTCTTTTTATTGGCATCCAAGTATTTCTAAGAATGAGAATTCTTCTAAATTTTACTTAGGCTATAAAAATGCAATATTTGAAATAGATTAAGGTGAGGATAGATGTATATTTAGAAAATAGAAGTAAAATAATAGCAGGATCTCCAACAGGAAAAGCAGGATTTAGAGATGGTGATTCTAAGAGTTCTCTATTTAATAATATCAAGAGTGTTATTTATTTTAGTAAAAATGATACTTTGGCAAAGTAAGAATAGACAAAATAAACAATAATTTTAAAAAATAATGAAACAGATTGTTTATCTGTTGATTTTTCAAACTATACATTATGTTTAGATTTAATAAGTGATCCAGTAGATCCATATAGAATAAAAGATGTATATTAAGAGTATTAGGTATCATAAGAGGAGTATAGTGAATATCTATATATTGTTGATTCTGGAAATCATTGTATAAGATAAATAGATTTATAAAGAAAAATAACAAAAACTATTGCTGGTATATGTGGATAGAGGTAGCTCTTTGATTAATAAAATTAGTGGTTTTAAAGATGGTTTATTTGGAATGAACTTATTTAACGAACCAGATTAAATGGGTATTGATGTTTTAGGAAACATTTTTGTTAATGATTTTAAAAATCATTTTATTAGAATGATAACATTAGATAGATATGTGTATACATTAATAAGTGGAAGTTGTAGATAAGATTTGAGGTATTCAGATATCTAATATGATAAATTGAATTTAAAGAGAGTTATTTGTTTAAAAAAATGGATCAAAACATCAGGAAAACCATCAGATCACTTAGTAGTTTAAAATTACAATATATGTACTTAACATATAATAGATTGTTAATGATTAATTATCAAAACATATAATTTAGTTAAAATTATGACTTTCCATAATAACCATCAACTAAACTTCCTTTGATAATAGATCTCTAAAACTCAAGATATCATTAGATCAAAAATCATAAGGCTCAATCTAAGTCTATGCAGTAAAATTAAAGAAAAAATAATTATAATCAAAACAGCATCATAACAGATGTGAATGAAATTATTAAATAATATCATGTTTCAATGTTTAAGGAACAAGAAGAAAGGTCTTGGAAAAATCAAAAAAAAACCAAATTCATATTGTTATAAGAAAAAAAAAACAACGATAATAAATTCATAACTTCTTATCAATTACTTGAACTACGATTAAAACAACATTAAATTTAGAAAGATAAATCAAAAATATTTATTAATGGAAATAGATTATAAACAATAAGTGATATTACATATAGCACAATTAATAAAGAATGAAAATGAAATATAAATTAAATATATGAAAATTTATTGTTTCAGTTTTTATTTGAAAAAAAAGTTTTCTTTATTATATTGATGCTTTTATTGATATAGATAGGATTACTGATTTTCAATCTATCATATTATTTTTTGATTTTAAATCATTAATTAATCCTTATTCTGTCTTGAAAGTAGAAAAAATTATTCAAAAAAATTTCTTGAATATAAATTTGATTTAGATATAATTCATATAAAGAATTAATGTATTAAATAGAAAATTTTCAAATTATTTTATATTAAGCTTATGAAAAGAATTAGAAGATCATTTTGTATATTATGGAAAATTTATGATCAATTTATAAAATATATTTTTTTTTTGAGTTTATAAGATGTCATAAAAACGAATCGATAAAGCACTCATAATCAAGAGGATTAAGTGCTGTGCTATTATAATCAACATATGGGTTAGGAGAGCCAATTTTTGATTCTTGAAATTCTATTTCTTTTGAATATTTATAGTCACCCAACAATTTATTTGTTTAGGTGTCACTTTTATCTAAAATAAGTAAAACTTTACTTTCTTATCTTAACTCTTCATTTATAGCATGTAACATCTATCCAACTTATTTAAATTTAACTTCTATATCAACACTTTGATTGTAAACAAACTTATTATATTATCTATCATACATGATTTAAATTCTGCATTTAATCAATAAGATAAGAAGAAGTTTCTTATAATAGTTTCATATCTTCTTTTAATTTGTTATTAGTTTCCTTTATATCAAGGGCACATTCTTTAAATAAGTTCTATTCCTCTTTTACATTGATAGCTATAAAAATACCATTAATAAATTACTTGGTTCCTCTTAAATTGAAGGTGCTTATAAATCTTCTTGATTTCTTCTTTTTATAAATTATAACATAGATCTAGATTATTTTTAACAAATTTACTTCATCCCTTTTCTAAAGCATTTGTGCTTAAAAACTTATCCTTCATTCGATCGAACTTTTTTGAAATTATATAAGTTTAACTATCTAGAAGACGTATTTTTATACATTAATACCTTACAAAGCTTGAATAATTACTGTGCTTAAAGAAATTTTATAATACTTATTTTTCCATTAGCTACTGATTGTAAACTATGAAAGCAGTGCCTTGTGCAGTCCAACCAACAATGTTACTATTTTAAGGTTCCTTTAATTATTTCTTATACTATATTACTTCTAGCATTTGATATGTCTTTAGAATGAAAGTGGGTATTGGAGTTCTAGCGCTCATAATTCTAAATATAATATTATTATTTTCCAAAAGCAATAATCAGATATTTAAATTAAAGTGATTTAAAGATTTATTCTCTTCAAAATGAATAAATATAAAATCTAAGGTTTAATCAAACTTTCTAATATATTGATAATCATATTATCAAAATGAACCTATATTTTATTAAAAACATAAAGTATTAACAACAAATTAAATTTACAATTATTCAAGATAATATGATGTTACATGAATTAAAATTTTTATTATTAATCGTAATTATTGACACTAAAATTAAAACATCATTCTCTTATATCTAAATATATATCAAAATTATTATTAGATTAAATTAGATGTTAATAAATATTAATATTAATTTATCATCAAATAATTTACTAATATGTTAAAAAATGATATTATTAGTTAGTCTCTGTGAATAATTTTTGGTGTATTTTTAAAATTATTATACTTAAATGTTAGCTAATCTAATATTTAATTATTAAGACTATTTCATTTTTAAGAAATTAAAATTAGTAATTTTATTCAATAAAAGGCTTCATTAATTAAAATAAAGAAGTTTCAAAGTTATTTTTGATATTATAATACTTATTTATACAAATAAAAAATTAATATATCCATTTTTAACCTATTCTTAAATAAAGGAATTTGAAAAGCTATTTTAAAATTTATTTAAGTTCTATATACAAAATTTGATTTTTATTAATAATTTTAAATTCAAAAATGTCTGAGAGCAGTAATTATATTTTATATAATGGTTTTAGGTATCTCTGTAAATGAAAATGGATTGATTAAATGGTATTGTAATTTAGAAGACCATCACTTTTTTTGTGAAATAGATGAATTTTTTATTGCAGATTAATTCAACCTTTATGGATTAAAGCAATCATTTGATCATATTGAGTATTAAGAATTTAAAATAAATTAGAGATGCCCTGTAAATGATTTTATCTCCAAATACCCCAATAGATGAAAATTTAGAAGATGATTAATATTAAATGGAAAATATAATTAAGATTCTGAGAACTTTATAATGAAGCATCAGAATTGTATGGTTTATTGTATGCTCGATTTATTCTTACACTCAAAGGATTAACATTAATGAAATCAAAATATTTTTATGGAAGATTTGGTGTTTGTCCAAGAGTTTCATGCGATCGATAAAATGTATTACCAATTAATTGGTTTGAGTCATGATTTAAGAACTTCAAGAGTTAAAGTAAATAAATATCAGATTAGATATTTTGTCCAAGATGTTAAGATGTCTATTCTCCAAAAAAATAAATGACTAATGTTGACGGATCATTCTTTTATTCAGTTTTTCCTCACTTATTTCTATCAATTTTTTCAGAATTAAACCCCATATAATCTGTTAATGAATGTGTGCTTAAAATTTTAGGTTTTAAAATTCATCAGAAAAAAGGTTCCAAATTTCAAATCTAAAAACCAAATATAGAAATGTACTATTATGGTGAGGATCACATTAAAAGATTATCACAATTTTAATCACAATAATCTATTCAAAATAAATAATAATAAATCACATAGAAAAATAATGATGAAGCAGATAAAAATTAATAAGAAGCTTTAATAGCAATTTATAATTTATAAAAATTAAAAAGTAAAAAATGAACATATTTAATTACTAATCACTTTAGAGCAAATTTTTTATGTTTCAAAATCTATTTAAAATATTTCTCCAAAATATTAGATTATATTTATTTTCTCTAGATTCGAATTTTTTCAATCAAAAAAAAAATACTTTTGTTGAATAATTGATTACCTAAATGAATATTTAATTTTAATTATAGAACAATTCATTCTAATATCGTAATATGGTAATCATTGTTAAATGAAATATTTTATGAAATTATAAATCAACACAATAAATTTTAATAGAATTAATAAATTTGGGTTAATGTAATTCACAAAATTATCCACCTAAACTTTAATTTTGCAATTTATAATTGTATTAATTCATAATTGAATTATATAATTTCAAGGATATTCTAACTAAAAATATCAGAATTGAGATCTTAATTCTATCTTTAGAATTAATTATAAAATTGAAAAAAAATGATCTAGCATTACAATATAATTTTATCATAAGATCAATCAACATATTTTTAGCACTCTTGCATTCTTTCTAACTAGCTTTTCATGTTGCAAAAGGCTATCAAGTTTCCTAAAAACTAATCTTCTAATTTGTCACCTAATCTTATAAACTAAAGATTCTTAAAAATATTGTCACTGATTGAATAAAGCCAATCTGAGTTGATTCTATTTGTAGCATTTTAATCAAATGATTAGAAATTATTCTCAATCTTGATATGATCTTGCATTTCAGACTTTTAATCTAAAAATTAGAAATGATTATTTAATTAATCATAATCTCTTTTTATTTCTGTTTTAATTTTTTTTTTAGATTTCTTTCCATTAGTTTCTTATTTTATACTGTCATAAAATGGAAAATTTTTTTTAAGTTTTTCTAAAAACTATGTTAATTTTCTATTAGCTAGATTTATAAATTCTTCAACTTTTGTTTCATCTACAGACCAACTAGATTCATCATTTCTTTTAAAAACAACTGCAGATAAACATCCTTTTACTGTTCTTGTAGCTTAACCTGTGAAATTTTTACCATTTTATCTTCTTAAGAATGGAAGATAAGGTTCTGTTACATTAATGAGGTTGTTTAAAGTAGCGTTACCATTTTGAAGTTAAATTGCTTTAATTAAATGGCCTGTCAATGACATTTAATATAATTCTTCTTTGTCAATCATTTCTTACCATTTACTCACATTAAATGCTTTAGCTTACTACAACTATTCTACAAGAAATTATACTTATTTAATTGCTTCTGAATGATGTTTTCGTTCTTCTGGTCGAGGTTAGTTTAATCTTATATTGATGATTTAACTTAATAGTAAAGGTTTACTTTGTTTAAAATATTTATTCTAATGATCACATATATCACTCTACTTTATAATATTTTTAATATACTTCCACTTTAGTTTTTTAATCCATTGTCCTGTTTTTATATATAATTACCCCCTTTAATAAATTAAATAACGGGGATCGTATACCATTTTTAACTTAAATAGTTACCCCGTAATAATAAATTATAAACAAAGATCTTCATATTTTATATATAACAACTAATTTTAAATTAGGAAAACTTTCCAGTTACTCAGATCTTTTATAATTTTTTAATATTTAAAAATTCTAAGAAATCTAATCATTAATAAATGATTTATAGAGGTTATTCTAAAAATCATATAAATCATAATATTCTAAGAGAAGCTTCTGATGAATTCAACCTATCTGAATAAAATCATAAAATATCATTTTTATTAATTTAAGTAAAAGCATTCATAAACTCAATTTAATCTTATTATGAAATCTAGTTAATCTGACAGCATAGAAGAAGAATCATGTAATTGGAATCTGTCTAGTCCCTAAGGGCCTTAAATTTCATTAAGAAATACTTTTGCAAATAATTAGCCAGATTCCTCAGTAGGCTCAATTGATTCTGAAAGAGCTAAGGTATAATCAGAACTAAAAAAACAAGAATGTAGTATCTAAATGAGCTCAGATGCAAAATCAATTATAAAGAGAACTCTAATAAATGTTAATCCATTGTAAAAATTGCATCAAATAGCAGCAAAAAATAGATTAGTAAAATAATTCAAATAAAACCTATTCATGAATTCATATATACTTTCAAAAGATTATTCGTAACAATTATTAATATTTTTTTAGAGACAAAATTTTATAATTTGAATAACTCTCATTTAATAACAATTCAGATTACCTAGTTCATAAAACTCAAGGCTTACTTTTGCCAGTTTTTGAAGCATATAGTAACTTAATGAAAATTTGGGATGTATTGATGATATTTTAGTAATTATTGCAATTATGGTTTCTACCTTTTATAATTAGTTTTTATGGATCTGATTCAAATATTTATATAATTACAGAATTTTTGATTTTGATAATCTTACTTGATATAATCGTCTAAATGAATAGAGAAATATTTCATAAGGGAAGTTATATTGGAAATAGGCATTAAATATTCAGATAGTATACAAAAAATGGATTAATTGGAGATATTATTTAATTAATTACTTGGATTAGCTTATTAATTATTTATTAAAATATAGAATATAAAGCCTACTTAATTTCTTTGGGTATTTTAATGGTAATTTGCTGTATCAAATCTCTTATGAGAAAAACTGAATATTATATTGATAGTTTTTACAATAAAGGAAATCTAAGTAACTTCTTAGATCTTTTTATATTAATACTATAGATTTATTTTGTTGCTCATTATATGGCTTGTATTTGGCATTATGTTGGAGAAATGGGAATTAATATTTAAGAGTCAACTTGGTTAAGTGAATATGGGTTTATAAATGAATCAATCACTACTAAATATAATTACTCATTTTATTGGGCTACTATGACAATGGTTACCGTTGGTTATGGAGATATAACAGGAAGAAACAATTATGAAATACTAACATCTAATATAATGATGATTTTTTCAAGTTGTATTTTTGCTTACTCTATGAATTCAATTGGAAATATATTAAAAAGTATAAATGATTCTAAGCTAAATTACAGGTATCTTTTTATCAATAATACTTTAGGAGAACGATATCAGCTATTAATAATTACATGCAAAAAAATTAAGTTGATCAATAAGTTTAAGGAAAAGTAAGAAATTATATTAAATATTTAAATTCAAAAGAATAAGATTCTTCCGATGATTTTGAAAGTTCTATTTCATACTTACCTAAAGGATTATAAGCAGAAATGAAATAAGATATTGCATAAAAAATAATTTAAAAAATTAAGATTTTATAATAAAATTTTTCCAATACTACTTTAAATTTGTTAGTTTAACATTTGAAAATATAAAATTATGCTCCTGGTGAATACATTTATCATTAAAATGAATAATAATACTGTTTTTGTTATATTAATTATGGTTAAGTGGGGATTAAAGAAGAGTAATCTCAAACCTAAATTTAAGTACTTAAATAGAATAGCAGTTTTAATGAATATTCATTCTTTACAGAGTAAGTAACTAAGAGTAATGCTTTGAGTATTGGTTTTACATAAATTGTTAAAATAAATAGAAAGGCATTTCTATCAATCTTGAAAGATAATTAAAAAGATTTAGAATAATTTTATAATATTAAAGATACAATGTTGTTATATAAAGATTATTCTTTACTTAAAAAGAAATGCTATTATTGTGGATACAATAAACATGATTCAATTGATTGTCCATTATTAACTTATTAACCTAATAAGATGAATATAATTAGAAAATATCATGCATCTTCTCAATTTTAAACTAGAAAATATATTTAAAGACATTCTCATTATTTACCATCTAGAAAATAGTATTAAGAAATAAAAAACACTATATCGTATGCTAGAGAATATTATTTTTCAGATGTATTGATGAATGATTCTTTACAATTTAATAAAGTTCAAATAATATAGAAAGAAGAAATACTTCCAGAAAATAACTTATATGATATTTCCTCGCCTGGTCGGTTAGGAAAAGAGGAATCAGATTTACCTCCATAATTTATATCTAAATCAAGACTTCCTAGTATTTCAACAGAGGCGAATAACTTAAGAAGAATAAGTAAATTTTAAATACCTCTAAATCCAGTTCCAGAAGATAAAAGACTATCAAAAACATAGCTTGATTTATTTTAAATAAATTTCTCTGGAATTGAAATTGATAGTTTTTAGAATTATGAAAAGTATATGATTCAGAACAATTTAATCAACATTTTAAAAAGTTTCTAAAAATTCAAAAGAAAATCAAAAACAACGGCTAGAAAATAAAAATTTTTAGAGTCAATTAATAATTAAGATTGATTGTTTATATATAATAAATTAATAAAAACTTAAATCTAAATTAAATTAGATATGATCGAAAAAAAAGGTGAGTCTTTACAGGACTAAATGAAAAATCTACAGGGAGATATTAACAGACTTTATTCTGAAATAGATTCAAAAAAGAGGTAAATAACAAAATTAAAAAATGACAATACTTTGAGATTAGAGAAAATAAATTGGATTTAAGTAAATTTCTAATAATACATATACAGGAAAAAGTAAGAAAAATGCAAAGGGAAAAGAAAGTGCTTGAATTAAATGATTAAACTTTGAGTATAGAACATGCTATCTCAAAACATTCTACTACAACAAAAGAAGTTTAACCTCAAATAGAGATATAAAAACCTCCATAATAAGAGATATAGTTAGAAAAAATGTAAATGCTAGAATTTCTTAATTAGTATTTGGATCAGACTAATAAATAGATGATCAAATTTTAAGGAAATAGAAAAAAAAATGGAGAAAAAGATGAGTATATTAATCCATATCCTACTATAAATATCAAATATACTATAGAAGGCATAGAATATGGAGAAAGCTCATCATTTCGTTTAGACTAAGCAACAACGTTCAAAAATTTAAAAGAATTAGCTTTCTATTATTGGAATTTGGCTCCATATCTTAGAAAAATTGATGAAAAAGATAGTGAAATTATGGATGATTTAGAGTTAACTGATGAAAATCATTCAAGGATTGAATTAAAAGAGAAAGTTATTGATTTTTTTACTAACAGGGGAATCTCTAATATTTCTTAAATTACATTATTACTATAAAAAAAAAAAACGGTAAGATCTGCATTAAATAGCTTATAAATAGACAGTATTAAAATAAATGGTGGAAATAAAGCTGCTACTTATTAAGGTTAATTTGCTGTTCATAAAAATAGAATAAAGGCTATTGATACTTATAATTTATTTTTTGAAAAATTTCCAGGTTTAAAATATTATATAAGTGAATTATAAATTTAAAAAGAATTTTAGCAATAATAAAAAGAACTTGAAAAAGGAAATTTAGAAAAAGCTTAAGAATAGAAATTTGATCTAGATGATATGAATTGCTTAATTTTGAGTTCAATAGTGGTTATTTTAGTATTAACTTTACTTAGCTACACAGCTTTTTTAAGTCCTAAATTTGTTAATCTAAATTTTTAATTTATTAATAATTTAATTGGAATAAATTCAAATGGAGAATATAATAGAATTACATCAATACCTGAATTATATTTTTATATGGAAAACTTTTTGGGAAAAACAATGTATAATTCTGATAAAGGAGATAATCCATTTCGTTCTAATTATGAAATGATAGGAGGTATTTAATTGAGAAGTCTAAGAAGTGATATATATGAATGCTAAAAATATGTTAATGAACTGCAAAGAATTAATTGTTTTGATATTGTCTATGATTCATCTAAGGCAAATAAATCAATGTTCTTAAACTATCCATATCAGACAGCAGAATAATTAGGGATTAAATACTTCCAAAAAGGAAACTTGACCACATATACAGATGGAGGATTTATTGTAGAATTCAATAGAGATATCTCAACAGAAGCCTTTTTAGAAAAGATAAACGATTTAAGAAAAGAAGAATTCTTAGATGCTGCAACAGCTGCTATTTTTATTCATTTTGTAATTTATAATCCTAGTATAAATTTATGGATATAGGTAAACTTTTTATTAGAAAGAAATCCATAAAATAAATTGACTCCTTATAAAGCCGAATTATAAGGATTTATTCCTAATTTATATTATGGTGATGAAGGTTAACGTTTATTTTAAATTGATATGACGAAATTGATAATGGCTAGCATACTATTAGCTTTTGTTGCATATCGATTTTATAAGATTAAAATCAATACAGGAAGATTAGGGCCTGCATTTTTATATATAACAATGGAAATTGGATTTTTTAATTGCGGAGTCGGAATGTTAACAATAATTTCTGTTGCAATGTCATTGTAATAGTCATTATAAGGAAGAGATCCTTAAGAATTAGTAAATTCATCAGAATTTGTGGTATATGATACAAGATATTTTATAGCATTTAGAATTAGAAGCAGATCTATACAAAAAGGCAGAATTATTTCTAGCAATTAGTATTATGTTTTTGTTTTTAAGATTATCTTATGTTTTAAAATTGAATGATAGAATAGCTCTTATCTTTTTAACATATAGTAAGAGTTTTAAAGAATTATTACCTTTTATGGCTATAGAGTTTCCATTATTTTTAGGATTTGTAATGGTCTTTTAGATAATTTATGGAAATGTATTTCCATAATATTCATCTTTCAATTTAGCAATTGCAAGCCAATTAACAATGGTAAATTATATTTAATTAATCTTAGATTTAAGGTTAATTAAATATTACTTAATTTGTAAGCTATTCTCCAATAGTTTCACTAATAGTAATTTTATTTTACTATTTCTTTATGTTATTCTTCATTATATCATTATTTCAAGCAATTTTAATTGAATGTTTTAGAATTGTTATTATGAAAAATGGATATCCTTAGGACAAAGATCAAAGACTTTCTATAGGAGATTTTTTTAGTTGGATGTTTTCTTGGACTTAATTATTTATTGTTAAAAAGAATACTGCTGAAGAAATATAAATTACTTAATAGTAAAACAAGCCTTAAGCAGATTAAGAAGAAAAATAAGGAATAAATTCTGCCATAGAAAATTGAATTAATTTACACTAAAAATATTAATCATCTTCTTTATTAATTTTTATTTCCTTATAGAATTCCATGAATTAAATTTCTAGGCCAATTATGATTTCTTTATCTGATCGGCTCTTAAGGTTAAGGTGGAGGCAATTATTATTAGTGAATTTCTGGAATTGGAGAGGGGGAAGAAAGTTAAATTTCATCTTAAGGGTATTTACTTAAATGATCGGATAAAGAATCCATTTGTAATTCACATTCAATTCTATTTGATTTTGAATCAATAGATGGAGAATCTTATCTAACTACAATTTATTATGGAACTATTTAAATCGAATCTTCTTGAGAGTATTTTTTTTTATGCTTTTTTTTTTTCTCTTTTTTTTATTTCTTTTCCTTTTTTGATTTCTTTTTTTCATGCTTAATTTTTTTTTTTTCTTACAATTCATCTATTAGATGATTGCTATCCTTTCTTAAAAGTTTTTCTAATTCTTTTTACCATTTGTTTTCTTCTTATGAATGCTACATAACAAGATCAAAATCAAAACAATCACATTTTGTTATAAGCTATTCTAAATACAATTTATAATGACTAAATATATCAAGGATTGTTTCATTAGTAAATATAAAATCTCCTTTAAAATCTTCTAAATCTATGTTTTTGAAAATAAAAGATTCCTTTTAACCTTCTAATTCTTAAGGTAAACATTCTGATACTGAGGTTATTCCAAGGCCTCCATAATCCATAGGAATATTATCCTTAAAAACTAATTCTTTTTATTCAGTCATTCTAGCAGTATATTCTTTTTGAAGTTTACTTAAATTTAAATCAGTTAACTTATTCAGTTTTTGGATATATAATTTTAAAGTGGCATCATTAAATCCATAATTAAAGTAATCTGTTATATCAATTCCTTTTGTCAACCATTTTTTTGAATTTGCATTTAAATATTCTTCCTTTAAAACCTAAGGTGTCTACAATTTATAAAGTGGGGCAGATTATTTTACTCTCAATAATTTCTCTCTTATATTCATTTATTTTTGAATTATATAAAATTTATTTTATATTTTTAACTTAAGTTTATTAATCCTCAATGAAATTGTATACAAATTAAATATGAATAAACATTTTCCAATAAGTTTTCTTTTTATTTAAATCTGGAATACTTTCCTTATCTAACATTAATTAATCTATAATTCATGTAAATAATCATATTATCAAAACATATACAAAAGTAATCAAATATCCAAGATTATTTATTTCTAACATCATGTTTCTAACATCTATTTCCAATATTTTATGTACTCCATTTTTTTTAAAAGTTGATGATAATTGTGAAAAAAAAAATCTTAAAAATTACATTTTCTCTAGAAAAAAGAAGAAATTAAATATCATTTTAATACTTTAATCCTTAAGTATAAAGAGTAATAAGAAATTTGATTTTTAGTCATTATTTACTAAATTTATTATATACAAATTTCAAAATAAATTAAATTTCGTTGTATTTTGTTATTTTTTAAGAATAAATGCTTCATATCCTTTTTCTTTAAAGAAAGAAACTATTTAATCTATAGGATTTTCTTAAATTACAAACAAATAACTTATATAAATAATAATAATTTACATAATTTCATTAGGAGTAATTAATTTATATGCTTTTTCAAGGATCTTTTATGTAATTAACATACCATCCTTACCTCCTGAATATGAACAATCAATTAAATTCACTTTAGAAACTTCTTCAATTAAGTCTTAACCTCTCATATTATTGGCATATGCTTATGCAAAAAGTTTCTACTTTTCATAAAAATATTGCTTGCATTTTTCTACTTCTTCATCTTCAGTAGGAACATAAGGAGATAAGGAGGATTAAAAATAAAAACATCTACTCCAATTTTATCTAAAACCAATCATTCAAACAATCATAATATGTCTGATTTTCTTGAATTATTCTTGATGAGGCAATGCAAGCATCATAATTTATATCAATTCCAATACACATCAAAACTCTGTTGTTTTATTCTTACAATAATTTGCTTACATTGCCTATCGAGATTCCTGATTCACAACCCATTTCAACAACAATAGCATTTTATGAAAAGTATTAAATTTCTTCTATTATGCATCCAAAAATAAATATGAATCATCATTTGATCATTTGGTGCATATATATTTTTGTATTCATTTTAGTTAAAGTGATTTTAATTATTTTAATATTATGTAATTAATATACTTGATCATTATTTCTTTCCCTAACTTTTTTTAGGTTAAGTTTTCTTTGTTTCTTTAACTTATTCCTTTGGTTTTTCTTCTTTTGGTTACTATTATTTTTTATCCTTCTTTTCTTCTTTAACTTCTACTTCTGCATCATCCTTTAATTTCTTAATTCTCAACATACCTTATTTAGCTGATAATCCAGCAGGAGTACTGTTTATTCAAATAAATTAATTACTTCACTTCCCAAGCTCCACCAGCTATTTATAATCCTGTTTATGTACATCTCCATATACCAATAGCTTATCTCTTAAGGGAATGCTAAAAAATATATTTATGTATAATCATACTGCTCCAGTAAAGGTATTAAAATATCTTTAATGCTATGAAATTTCGAATTTCTTAATAATCTTTCTTAATGATGCACCATACCTTGTTCCATATTTACCTGTTATTCCTACCTTCTTTGTCTTTTTTGTCATTTTAAATTAAAATAAAAATCTTTAATTTATTTACTCATAATAATTAAATTATAATATCACGAATTCTTTATTTGTTTTATTTCGAATCAATATATGCTAACCTTTTTATTCCTATTTCTTTTTATTAATTAGACAAAAACTTATTTATTCTTTAATTTCATTTATTTTAGAATAATTAGATTTTCTCTATTATTTTAATCTTCTTTAATTTCGACAAAACTATACAAAAAATATTTATAAATAAGATATTTTGGATATATGTTAATTAATATATATTAATTTAGGGCGTGCTATATAATCCTCAAAAATTAAATTTATTTGAAATTGTTGCATTTGAAATTTAGGACATATTATTTTGATTTTATTAATAAGTAGCACTTTAATTACGAAAGCTTCTCTACTAAACTAATATTGATTATTACATCTTCTTATAATGGTATCGGAGATGTATATTTTGCAAATGTTTAACTTTTTAATGAAGTCATTCCAGGCATTTATGCAGGAGCTTAAACTTTTGTTTCATTCAAACATTTATTTAAATATTGAATCATTTAGTTATTTGATTCTAATAGTTTTTAACTCTCATTTAATTTGTTTTTTAAATCAAGATTCATGTTTTCTTGATCTTTTAATCTTATTTCTAAGGAGTCTTTTTCTCTTCTAACTATTCTAATAGAAAGCTATTTACATTCATTAAGTTATTTATGATTTAAATCATTTGCATCTTGTAATTATTATACTGTTTATTCTTGTTAAAGAACTACAGTGTTTTTTAACTTTATTTTTTCTTTTTATTTGCTTAATTCATTTTCTAGTTTTTCTATAATCTAATTTCCTTTATTTACTTCTTCACTCATAACATTAATTCTAGTTTCAAGTTTTTCAATTTATTTTTTTTAATTTGCTACCTATTCTTCAAGAATAGACTATAAATTTAAATAATAATTTACGTTTTATTTTTTCTCATTATCAACTAATTATTATTTACTATTCAAATAATCCTCTTTGTCACGAATTAATTTTTCAAAACCTTCCTTTTAAATTCTCAATTCAATCAATTACCTTTCTTAAGTAAACTTTAGAGTATCTAATTCTTTATTTTATTATCGAAACTCTTAATTTTCTTTTTAAAATTATGAAGTTTCTTATTAAAGAATTGCTATTTTATTTTTAAGTTCTCTTTCCGATTAAATTAATTATGACTTTTATTCTGATAATTAAGTGTTAACTTATTGTAATTCTGTGTATTTGTTCTATAATTCAAATAAAATTTTATCATATTTTTCAATAATAAACTATTTTTCATTTTCACTTTCCCTTTTAAAATTAGTTTCTTTAGATAAAGATTACTCTCTAAAATCATTAAATTTCTTCTATTCATCTAATAACATTTATTGTAACGTTGCATCTTTATCCTCTGTAAATTTTCTAATCTCTGATTTTAAATTTTCAAGTTCCCAATGTTTATCTTCTAATAATTCAGATAATTTCTTATTTCTCTTTTATTATTCTTCATTATCTTATTTTTCTATAGCTAATTTATTAGCTAAAAAGGCTTTAATGACATCATCTGTTGCACTTCTCAATTTTAAAGATAAATGAGTCAATTTTTTAAACTCATTATTTTCAATTACTGCAAGAGTGGATTCTCCATTCTTTGTTTCCAAACAAACATAAAAACTATATAATCTCGCATTTTTTACTTCACTTTTTCATCTCTTTAACTATTTATACATAATTATAAAAGATCTGCAAGTTTCATTGGAAATGTGGCAAAATCAACATGCAAACTTTATTCATTTTTCAACGATAAAAACTCTCCTTCTGTCAAATCAAGTATCTACAAAAACTAGAAATTGTTATCATCTGTTAATTCAATCCTTAATATTTAACCATGTGCTTATTAACTCTATTGCATAATCATTTTCAAAGTTAATTATGTATTCCAATCATCTGTCAATTATTTCACTTTTACAGGAATTTATAAAGTGAATAGCTCTTTAGAGACTGTTGTGACAGGAGCATTAAGAAAACTAATATTGACAGATTAAGATTAAGGTTTATTGCTCATTTAATCGTATTTCAATTTTTAAGATGATTGAAAATCATTCATATTTGTAGTAGATTTTGCTGGAGTTTATTAAACACCAAATTCTATTCTTTTGAAATTCCCCCTATAGTCTTACATTATTATATTTTAAATTTTAACTGTTTATTAAAAGCAAAATTTCATATAAATCAATAACAAAAACACTAAATGTAGCCCTTACATTTGAGATAGATCTAATTTTGAGTTGAACTTTAATTTATTTTTTACATAAATTCTTCCTACTTTTAATATGTAGTTTCTTAGAGCGTACATCTATCTGAAAAATCAAAAACAACCTCTAGCTTACTAATTCATTCAAGCAAGTTTGTGATTTAAAAGTTTATTATAGGATTTAAATTGTACTTTGGAATTTGATTGAGCTTAATTTTATATTCGACATTTTAAATAATCTATAAGTAAAAAAAATTGATGAATGCTATTCTTTTATAACTGAATTTTATAGATCTGTGAAATGAACATTTTTAATAACCTTAAAAATTTTTAAATAATTTATTCTACAATTAAAAGGTCTTTCTCTGAATTAAACTCCTAACAATAATATATAAATACAAAAAATTAATTCATTTTTATTAATATACTTAATAATATATATTAAGGTGAGTTAAATTAATTTATTTTACGATTAAGTAAAACTTAATAGATATATTTTTTTATCCCTCATTTTTTTATTAGATGATCCATTTAATTTTATAGGATAATCCCAATAAGAGTCAGAGTCCTATCTTGATTTAATTAAGGTGGGTTTTATTTTATTTATAACAATTTTTCACTTTAGATATGAATATAGTAAGAGTTATATTTGTAATTTTCGTTTATAAATTATAATTTTTTAATTAAAGTATGGTGTCAACATATACATATAATTTATCAATCCTTATGATTTCAATACTGTTTGACAATTTATTTTTATTAATTAATTACGATCATGAATTTCTTTTCATGGGATTCTTTTATCATTCAACAAAAAAGAGGATTATTATATTTTTGTTTGAATCACACTATTACCTTATCTATTAAATTTCTTTTCCTCGAACCTTGATTGATATGAGATAATATATAGGTATATATTTATCATAAAATATTTTTGTTAATTTATTTACTTAATTATTTTCACAATTATAATCATACTTGAATTTCATGAGATTAAGTCAAAAATAATTAGTATTATTTAATTTTAATGTAGGAGTATTAAAACTCTATAAAATTAGAATAGTAGCAAAATAAAATTATTTAAATTTTATAAAATATTCATTTCTCATTGTTAATTGATGTAAACACAATAAAAATGATAGAAAGAGTACCATAATTCAAGTCAACTTAATGGTATCCTAATTAAACAAATAAAGATAATATTGTGACTGCTCCAGGTAGAATCCACATTTTAATTGTCTTTTAAGCTTAAATTTCATTTTAAGCAACATAAGCAATCATTTATAAAATAGTCATAAATGTAATTTCTCTAAAAAGTAATGATAAATAATTTACAGAAAATATGCTCCTGAGAAAATATTTTACACTTCTTAAGCCATAAGATTTAGCAAAATGTACACTGGTAAACCAAAAAGACTTTAGTAAAGCATCAAAGTGAAAAAAGGAAGTTATTTATTCATCAGAAATTTAATTACATGAGAGAATGCCAAACATACCGGTTGGAGTAGGCAAACGAAAACATATAGTAGATTTTGACCGAATAATAAAGTTGATAGTGTTTGCATTAAAGAAATTACAAGATTTAGTTGATTTCCTGCTTAATAAAGAAAATGATTGAACACCTAAATATAACCTGGAGTTAATTGATGGAAAGCACATATTTCTGAAAATGGAAAATAATACCTAAATAATTGACAAAAGTAATTACATTGCCCAAAATCCAACTAAGGAAGCTATAACTTGACATCCTGCCATAGCAGCTATAACTCTGAAACATGATTAGTCTAGCTGAAAAAGACGTTTGTCGAAAAATTGAATGTACATCAAAGTCATTATTACTTTTACAATGCATCTTTATGTAGCAATTGTAATTGCATCAATATTTTACACTAATGAATATCCAATCATTAGTTGTAATAATTAGCATAATATATAAATACCACATAGTACTTGTGGAGGTAGCTTTGATGCAGTAGGAATTAACTCTTAAGTTTCATTCAAAAGGTTTGTATTGTTAATATTAGCATGAAAGCTTAAATTTGATTCCACTCTACTTAATTTTTCTGACTTTCGATCATCCATTTTATTATAAATATTTATTTGTATAAAAAATTAAACTTAAGTGATGAAAGAACAACAAAAATATTATTTGTATTCAAATTAGTTTGACAAATTATTTTTTAATTTCTTATTATTAAAAGTAAATTAATAATGCCTATCACCTACTAAATTTATCAAAATATTAGTAATATGATAATATATTTCATTTTTATTATGATTTCTTTGAAGTCTCTTATAATTTTTTTTTATTGAATTTTATATAATAATTTTTAATTAAATGTCGCTGTGTTAACTGACAAACAAGCAAGGAATAAATTATGCAAGTATCCTATTTATTAAATACGTTCAAGAGAACTCAGAAATAAAAAATCCCCAAATGATTAATAGTCATTTGGTTAATATGATGACTTCAATAAAGATAATATGTAGAGAATAGATTCTTTCAGATAGAAATGTAGACCCAGCGTAGATATAAAACATTAAAGGGCAAAATCAAGTCTTGAAAATAAATAATATTCTTATAGATTCAATAAGAGAATGAATGATAAAGATGATTTAGATAGAGAAAACTTATTTAATTAATTTTTTAAACTTAACAATTCAAAGAGTGATAGTGATTTTATGAAAGAATCTATTTAAAGAGATACTAAAAAAAATTAGGAAGAAAAGGATTTTTTAAAATTTGTTGAAAATGCCCTAGAATACCATTAATAATCTGAAGTTCGAATTATTAGACCTTCAACAAATAAATATTGTTAGTTGGAATAGAAACTCAAAGAAGTAACTTTATCAAATAGATTGCTTGCTACTTAGTTAAAATAACAAAAATAAAAAGAAAGTGATCTAAAACATTAGATGAAATAAATGTAGAAAGAGTTTTCAATTCAATATAATAAAATAATGTAATAAAATGCATGGTTGGAAGAATTATTGGCAAAATAAAAAATAGATAATCAAAACTCATTGTTAGCTGTAAAAAAAGCGGTTGAAATGCTTTAAACAAAATGCAAATGTTAAAAAGGTAATTAACTATGTGATAAAATCTTAAGAGATGCTAAAATTTAGGAAAAATTACGCTAGCAATATGATTGGGAATTAGAATCCTAAAAAATAAAATCTTCATCAGAATTTACTAATATTAGTCAAGAAGATTAATAAATACATGAATAAAATTATAAGTTCTATGAAAAAAATAGAAGAAAATCAATATCGAAGGTTTAACATAATTCAATTTAATCAACTGATGATTAGTAAGATTAAATGGTATAGAGTTACATTCAAGGATAAAGCAAAAACTTGAGAGAATATACAAAAGAATTATTTTAAAAAAAAAGGTAATTTCAAGAGCCATATTACATCGAAGAGGAAAATACAATCAATAGTAATTGAAATTAATTATAATTTGATATGAATAAATAAATTTAAATAATTTAGGAAACTAAGAACAAATAAATTATTATAGTTCATTTAGTAATCATTCTCAATCCTATGACTTCTGGATCTTCGTATTTCTTATAAAAACAATCATGTGTAAGTTGCATTTGTCTGAAAATTTATTAAATTTCTTTTTTTTCTTCCATCATTTCAGCTTCTTCATAACATACATCTGAAATTAATTCTTTCATGAAAGGATCTGTTATAGTTTCTCTTGCTGCTTTTTTTTTTCTTTCTTAATTTTGAACTTAAATGGTTTGCATTCTTTTAAAATTATTTTGAGCTTATCTTTTGAATTGCTGATCCTTCACCTTCATTTTAACAATAGAATTACCCCATTTCTTATTAAAAAATTCCATTTATTATTCTCTAAGTCTTATTCTTAGTTTATCTGCTTCGCTTTAGAAAGTATCATAATAATCTTGATTTTTAGTTTCTTTTAATGGCAGTATTTAGGTCATACTTTCTATATTAGTACTTAGTCTGGCAATAATATTTTTTTTTTATTCTTTTTCAATTTATTTAATGTCGGTAATATCTTTGAACAATTATAGTTATGGATTTTCTCTCAAATCTATATTTTTGAACTTCTCTTTAAGGTATGGTTTAAGATTTTAGATTGTTTCAAATAATTATGGTTCATATTTTTCTAAATTAAGTTAATTTCTTGCTCTTAAAAGTAGATCACTTTTAACACTAAACCTTGTATTAGATTCAAACTCTAAGTGTTAAGGAAATTGAGTTTTCCATCTTTTAATTTTTTCTTATTCTAACAAAATCTTAATTTTATCTCTTTATATTTCATTTTTTCTATCATCCACACCAGCTGTATTTAATTCTTATAAAAGTTCGTTGATAGTGAAAAATGTATCAAGACCTTTAAATTCTTTGAGTACAACATCAAATCTATCTGATCTTGAAAGAGCTCTGAGACCTAATTTATTTTCCAAAACACTAAAACGAGTATTATTTTATGAGATAGATTATGTTCCTGAAAATAGCATCTTTTATTTCATTTTAGCTTATATCTCCTTCAATTTAGATTTCTTTTTTGAATCTATAGTAGGGATGGATGAATTTTATGGAGTATTAGACATAAAAAATAATAGTAAATATTGATTTAAAAAATAGGAAGAAAATGAATACAAATGAGTGAAATAATTGATGATTTTTTAATATGATTATTTCAATTTGATTTGTCAAACAAATAAGAAAACCATAAGGGGTAAGATATGTAGATAGAATCCTTGGGCAGTAGGATCAGTTACGTTGTTCTAATTATTAATAACAATTGTGGTGTTATTGCTTGTGTTAGAAGTTCCAGCTCCACAGGCAATACATTTTTTAGTATCACCATTCCAACTGTAGGTATATTAACTCATTTTATAACATGTATCTTGAGTTAAAGCACTTGGATCTCCAGTAACACATTTTCCATTTTGTAACATACAGACAGTGTATCTTTTGCTATCGAAACTTGGGACAGTGACACATTTAGCAGTTCTTTTAGCAGCTGAATCACAAGTATGATTAGTACAGGAACTAGTTGTAGTACCAGCTGCAGCAGTCCATTTACATGTTAATGATTTAGATTGACAAGCAATTTGATCTGAATTAGCATCTGAACATTAAGTAAATAATTTGCATGTTCCAGTTGTAGTTTAACCAGAAGCTGCAGTAAATGCACAAGAACCATCTTTTCCACCTGCAGAACAAGCTTCTTTAGTTGTGTAATCTGCACATTTCCCTTAATCTATACATTTTGTTCCATCTGAGATACATCCAGCTAAAGCAAGAGCACATTCAGAACTCTTAGTCTTTTTAGTATCTTAACAAGTCTTCGTTTTACATTATTTGGCTGTAGTATCCCATATACAAGCTTTGAATTAACTATCTAAAACACAACTAGCTTATTTTTAATAAGATGGACAGTCACCTAAAGAAATACATTTAGATCCATCCGTTGTGCATTTAGTTGTTGCATTTATTTAATATCCAAAACATCCATTATGAGTTGAAGTAGAAGTAGTTGCATCAGAACATTGTCTTAATCTACATGCTGATGTATCTTTATCAAATTGGCAAGCACCATCTGTTCCTCCAGTCTTACAAGCAGCTTCACTATCAGCATAAATGGAACATTCACCCATCTCTATACAGTTTGTTCCATTGCTAATACATTTAGAATTGAAGGTTTAACATTCTGTAAGTACTTTCGAAACCAAATCTGTACATTAAGTAAACTATTGACATTTCTTTGTAGATGTTACCCAACCACAAATACCATCAGTACCTTTTAAACATTATATTTATTTCGTATAATTTGCACATATCTTTAAGGAAGTGCATTTAATTTCATCTGTTGTACAATACTTTGAAGCTGCCTAACAAGTTGCTACTGTTTTTAATGATAAATCTGAACACTTATAATATTGCTGACAAGCATTATTATTCCAAAGACATGGTTATAGGGAAGAATCTTAAAGACATTTAACCTATGTCTTAAACATATCACATGTAAATGTAGATTTCATACATCCAGCACCATTACTAACACAGCCTTATATGAATGCATCACAATCAGAATCATTTGTTAATGTATTTGATGCATCTTAACAATCTTTTGTTCTACATCCTTTTATTTAAGTACTTGTTATTACTGTTTCATCCCAAGTGCAACTTCCAATTAAATCTGTAGATTTTGCTGCTGTACAAGCTTCTTTTGTTATATAAGTGGTACATGCTCCTTTTGTAACACAACCAGCTCCTCCATAAGTACAAGTTTTAGAATATGAAACACAATCTGTTTCTGAACTAATTGATAAAGGTAAGTCTTCGCATTATGCTTCTGTACATGCACTGTTTTTCCAAATACAAAGTCCGAATCCAGTAGTAGATTTCGATGTTGCACATACACTTTATCCACTAGCTGTAAAACTGCTGCATGATGATTGAATATCTCTACATTGAGATGCCCATGTACAAATAAAATCATTTACACTTTTAACAGCAGCACATGATGAAGAATTTTATACATCTAAACATTATATAGCTGTTCCACATCCACGTCCATTAGTTTTGCATCCTTTTTTATATTTATCACATCCAGCATCAATAGTTAATGTAGAAGGTGCATCTGAACATTTAGCAGCAGAACAACTAGTTGATATTTCAGTTTATAGAGCAGTACCAACACAAGGTCCATCCGAAGCAATAAATTGAGTACATGTGATAAAGTTACCCTTCAACTAAGAACATGATTAAATAACATCACATTTAGTTCCATTATAATGACATTACACACCATAACTTTGACATATTTATTCAGAGTACGTATCAGCAGAAAATTTAGAACAATCTTTAACTTTGCAGGGAGTGGTGACAGTAGCAGTAGAATCATTAGTACATGATTTACCATTACCGATAGCTTTTTCACAATCCGCTTAGACACCTTAATAAGCGGAACATTCAGCTGTAACTTCAATACAACCTGGTCTTTTGGTAACACAACCTTTCAAAAAGGCTTCACAATCAGTATCAGTAGTAGCAGTAGTATTATGACTACAGATTTTATCAATACATGCTCCTTTAGTAGTTAAAGATAGACTCCAGCATGGTACCCCATTTCCATTTAATACTTTACATCCATCTAAATTACCCCATTAACCACTACATTTAGTAGTTCCATCAATACATCCTTTACCTGTGGTAATACATCCATCCATAAATTTTTTACAATCTGCATCAGTTGTAGCTGTTCCATTATCTTAACATCTTTTTGCAACACAGGATCCATTAACAGAAGTATTTCCTTAACATTTAGATCCTAATACTGTTGCAGTAAGTAATTAACAACTCTCTGAAGTTCCAGTCATAGTTGTACATGGAGTAGAAATATTTACACAACTTTGTCCATTAGTCTTGCAAGTTGGTAACCATGCTTAACAAATGGCATCAGTATTTCCATCAGTTTTTAAAGCACATGTTCTATCTACACAATTTGAAACTGCCCCTACTGTATTATGTCTAGCACATAATCTATATTCCCAATAAGCATTAAGACCAGATCCAACTTTATATTTACCTGTCAAAGTATCACATTCATCTTAAGTACCCTCAAGTAATTAGCATCCAAAGGTATTTCCATCTTTGGTATTTCCATCTACACATGTAGCACCAGTAGCAGGCTTTGAAAATACACATACTTCAAAATATGAATTACATTAAGAAAATGATGAAACAGAACCTCCAAGATGTGCTTTTGCATTTGCACAGGATCTTTCTACACAATTACTTCCATCATAAAAACATAATTAAGCTGGTTTACTTCCTTAAAATTAACCATAATGAATAACTTTTTTTGTTTTGCAAACTTCTTAAGCATGACCAGTGCACTCATCATCTCTACAAGATTATATATCAGGCGGTGTAGTTGCTTTACATTAACGACCATCTGCGGTAATCACTGAAGGGCATATGCCAGATTCTGATGGACCAAAAGCTTAACAAGTAAGACCTAAATTACATGCATTTGTTCCAGCTACTTTACCATAATGACAAGTTGGATGATAATTTGTACAATCAGCTTCAGAACTTGGAGTTGTAGCATTGCTACAAGTTATATTTTCACATGCAGAACCATTTGTTTTTCTCGCACAATCAGGTAAATGATCTGTACAACTCTATATATTTGTTGGTTTGTTATTTATGCACAGGTTCTATCAGTGCAATTATTATCACTTGTCCAATAGCATTTAACCCCACTTGCATTAACTAAATCTTTACAAGCAGCCACTGAATTACCACTATAAGTACTACAAGCACCGATTGTAACACATGAACCACTAATAAACATACATTTTTTTGGTAATAATGCATCACAACTTGCTTAATTAGTTGCACCTGTTATACCTGCACATGTTTATTCAGTACAATTACTACCACTTGCCCAATAACACTTAACCCCACTTGCATTAACTAAATCTTTACAAGCAGCCTATGAATTACCACTATAAGTATTACAAGCTCCTTTTGAAACACATGAACTATTAACAAACATGCATCTATTTGGCAATACTGCATCACAACTTGCTTAATTAGTTGTACCTGTTAAACTTTCACATGATGGTTCAGCTGTACAAGCTTCCCTTTTTGCACATCCTTTTTTTAATGCTAAACAACCTGCTTAATTTAAACCTGAATAAGAAGTACATATTTAAGAACTTGGAGCACATCCAGCTCCAGTTGTTACACACCCTTTTAAGAATTTATCACATAAATCATCTGTTGTATTAGAATTATCAGCATCAACACATGCTCTATCTGAGCAATTTGTTCCAGCTTTCCACCAACAAGGTATGGCTTAATTAGAGCCTTTGAATTTCCCACAAATTTCTGTGCTAGTTCCTGGATATGCAGTACAAGCTGCACTTGTAGCTATACATCCTGTGCCTTTTGTTAAACAATTTATATGATATGATTTGCAAGCTTCATCAGTTGTACCAACAGTATTTTCTGTACAAACAGGATCAGTACAAACAGTTGTATCAGTAGCATCATTGGAATTTGTACATTTAATAGTGAATCCTTCGCATGTTGTTTTAGTTCCTTAATAGCTACTACAACTAGCAGTAGGAGCAAGACAACCGTTTTTTTTTGTTAAACATTCCTTTAAGAAGCCATCACACAGAGAATCTGTATTATATGATGAGGGTGCTTAATCACATGTTCTAGCCACACAAGCACTATTGACCCACCAGCAAGTCTTATTATTTTACAAAGTAACATGCTTACATAAAATTTCAGTTTTAAGATCACTACAATTGACATTTTAAACACATTAAGGTGTCCATTAGCAAGTTGATTTTCCATCACATTGATTGTTATTCTCTAATGTACTACACATACCAGCATCCATACAACCATCAGTTCCAGTAGCAATAATGAAAGAGAAGCCTCTGAACATTTTTTAGGGAAACAGCTACCACTACTAGCCCCACCAGCACATTTACCATCAAGACCTATATATCCATCACAACTCGTAGAATCTCCAGTATAAGAAGAACAATTTGATAAAGTAGAGATACAACCTTTACCAGTTGTTTTACATCCAGTCTAATAATCATCACATTTAGCATCAGTATCCAAAGTAGAATCAGCATCTTTACAGACTTTTGCAGAACAAGCAGTTTCAGTATCTGATGTACCTTTACATTTACCATCAGAACCTACAAATCCATCACATGTTGAAGAAGTTCCTTTGTATGAAGCACAAACACCTTTTTGAGTAGTACACCCTTTGCCTGTAGTAACACATCCAGACTTGTACTTAGAACATTCTTCATCAGCTGAATGAGTTTCAGGAGCATCTTTACATTCAACAACGCTACATGTCTTTCCTTCAGTTACTCCTTTGCACTTACCATCTTATCCTATCTTATTTGCACATACTAAATTGTCTCCGGTTTAAGTAGAACAGGATCCCAAAGGAGACTTAACACACCCATAACCATTTGTAACACAACCAATCTAATACTTAGCACAGGCTTCGTTTGTCGTTAACGTTACATCAGCATCAATACATACTTTTACTGTACACTTATCCTTTCCTTCTACTCCTTTACAATAACCATCCGATCCTTTTAATCCTTCACAACTTTCTATATCTCCACTATAAGCTGAACATTATCCTAAGGAACTTGTACATCCTTTTCCTGTTGTAACACATCCTTTGATAAAGTTATTACATTTAGCATCTGTGTTAAAAGTAACATCTGCTTCAGTACATTTTTATTCTCTACAGACTGTATCCCAAACACATGTACCTGATCCTCCACTACTTCCCTTTCCTGTACAATCTTCTTATGTTTTATAAGTTGTACAAGTTCCAGGATCAATACAAAATGCTTGTCCATCTGAATTACATTGTTTTGATATAGCTTAGCATTCAGCATCTGTTGCACCTTTATATGCTGAACAGCCAGCAAATATTTAACATACAGAGTCTATATAAGCGCAACCTTTTGTTTTAGAACAGGTGTTGCTATCACTTATTGATCCACAAAATCCTTCAGTGGAACTGCTTCCAGAATCCATTTTTGAACATATAGAATTTGTTGTAGACCAGAAACATCCTTATTTTGCCTTGCAATCAGCTTATGATAGAAGCTTCTCACAGTTACATTAATCTGAGACTGCTACATCCATAGTAGATGTAATCAGTATTAAAATACTTATTATGATCAAAATCTTCATTTTATATTAAGTTAAAATTAATTCTCAATTTTCAAATTAATCTCTTCTCCTTTTAAACTTAAATTAAACTGACCCCNCCATCACATTGATTGTTATTCTCTAATGTACTACACATACCAGCATCCATACAACCATCAGTTCCAGTAGCAATAATGAAAGAGAAGCCTCTGAACATTTTTTAGGGAAACAGCTACCACTACTAGCCCCACCAGCACATTTACCATCAAGACCTATATATCCATCACAACTCGTAGAATCTCCAGTATAAGAAGAACAATTTGATAAAGTAGAGATACAACCTTTACCAGTTGTTTTACATCCAGTCTAATAATCATCACATTTAGCATCAGTATCCAAAGTAGAATCAGCATCTTTACAGACTTTTGCAGAACAAGCAGTTTCAGTATCTGATGTACCTTTACATTTACCATCAGAACCTACAAATCCATCACATGTTGAAGAAGTTCCTTTGTATGAAGCACAAACACCTTTTTGAGTAGTACACCCTTTGCCTGTAGTAACACATCCAGACTTGTACTTAGAACATTCTTCATCAGCTGAATGAGTTTCAGGAGCATCTTTACATTCAACAACGCTACATGTCTTTCCTTCAGTTACTCCTTTGCACTTACCATCTTATCCTATCTTATTTGCACATACTAAATTGTCTCCGGTTTAAGTAGAACAGGATCCCAAAGGAGACTTAACACACCCATAACCATTTGTAACACAACCAATCTAATACTTAGCACAGGCTTCGTTTGTCGTTAACGTTACATCAGCATCAATACATACTTTTACTGTACACTTATCCTTTCCTTCTACTCCTTTACAATAACCATCCGATCCTTTTAATCCTTCACAACTTTCTATATCTCCACTATAAGCTGAACATTATCCTAAGGAACTTGTACATCCTTTTCCTGTTGTAACACATCCTTTGATAAAGTTATTACATTTAGCATCTGTGTTAAAAGTAACATCTGCTTCAGTACATTTTTATTCTCTACAGACTGTATCCCAAACACATGTACCTGATCCTCCACTACTTCCCTTTCCTGTACAATCTTCTTATGTTTTATAAGTTGTACAAGTTCCAGGATCAATACAAAATGCTTGTCCATCTGAATTACATTGTTTTGATATAGCTTAGCATTCAGCATCTGTTGCACCTTTATATGCTGAACAGCCAGCAAATATTTAACATACAGAGTCTATATAAGCGCAACCTTTTGTTTTAGAACAGGTGTTGCTATCACTTATTGATCCACAAAATCCTTCAGTGGAACTGCTTCCAGAATCCATTTTTGAACATATAGAATTTGTTGTAGACCAGAAACATCCTTATTTTGCCTTGCAATCAGCTTATGATAGAAGCTTCTCACAGTTACATTAATCTGAGACTGCTACATCCATAGTAGATGTAATCAGTATTAAAATACTTATTATGATCAAAATCTTCATTTTATATTAAGTTAAAATTAATTCTCAATTTTCAAATTAATCTCTTCTCCTTTTAAACTTAAATTAAACTGACCCCCTTTCATCATTATTAATTCAATAAATATTATTTCTTGATTTGCCTTCCCTTCATAGTAGCTAAAAATAGTTTTCATTATTTATATATAAATATTTTATAATTCGTTTCATTAGATACTCTGTTAGAAACTCAGGCTTCTCTCATTTAAATTTAACTTTAAGTGGGGCTAATACTATTTCACACTCAATCCTTGTCGTTTATTAGTTTTTATTGCCTTACGTTTTTCTTAGATTCTATCTGAAAATTTGTCTTATTTATATTTATTATTTTTATACATATATCAAATTATTAGCTCTTTAGAAAATCCAAATTTTAAAAAAATTCATTATTAAATCTTCTTCACATATAGACTATTAAATTCAATTATTCAACCTGATACCACTGCTACTCTTTTTTAATTTCCCATGAACTAATTAAAATATGAAATTTTACTGTTTCTATATTGTAATTTTAGTATTCGTAAACTACTTAAATCTAAAGTTTATCCCAACATCAATCTTTAATTTTAACTGTTTTAAATTTTTTCTCTCGCATAATTCTTCTATAATTATTAAAATTTAACAAAATATCAGTTCCTGTATAAACAGAAAAAATTCTTCTTTTAGCAATAAGTATTTGAAATCGATCATCTTTATTAATAAACTTTTTCATTCATCTTTCCCTTTGCAATTAAAAAGTAGCTATTTTTGAGTTTTTTTTTAATTATTTTGTTTAATTTTTAAATCAATCAGATTTTACAATAGAGCAAACTAGAAGAAAACAATTAATTTATTTTTTCTTAGTATTAATCATGGATTCCCAGGATTCTTTAGTGAATAGGTTCAACTTTATGATAAATTTTATTTTATTAACAAAAACGCTTCTCTATTGAAGAAAAAAAATAAAATTATATAATTTATTTCAGAAATACTTATTTTAATATTGATATAATAAGAAGATAGTAATTAAGAGGAGTATAAGAAATCAAAAATTAAGAAATATTGATTAAAATATTAAAAGAAAATAAATACAAATGAGTGAAATAATTGATGATTTTTTTATGTGATTGTTTTAATTTCATTTGTTTGAAAATTAAGGAAACTAAAAGGGGCAAAATAAATAAAAAAATTATAGTCATAAGGATCAGTTACGTTGGTTTAATCATTAATCACAATTATGGTGTTGTTGTTGGTTATATCAAACACATCTGTTAGCATTTAAAATTCCAACTGTAGGTATATTAAATCATTTTATAACATGTAACTTTAAAATTTGTATCTAATGTTAATAATTTATTTCTTTAAAATTTGACATCATTTCTTGTTTTTCATCATTTTTTTTTTCTTCATTATATCACTAATTAAAATTATTCATCCAACTTAAATTTAAATAATACATTCAAAGTATGATCCAATAAAACAGAAATTTATTGGTATTTAAGCTTGCCTTATATTCTAAGAAGATGTAATTATAATGATCTCAGTTAATATAAATTTTTTTTTTAATTTAACATATTATGTGTTGGTAGAATTAATGGTCAAGTCTAATCATTAAAACTTAGATTCAACAGGCATCAAATTACACAAATAATCAAGTAATAAAAAAGTAATCAATAATAACATTCAAATAGCTCAAACATCTGATTATTATATGATAATAAATAATTTAGTTAAAAATCTATAAGTTTTTTTTTGACTAGAAATTTATAACAAATTAAATACTGCTTATACAAAAGTAATAGAAAGAAAATAAGAATTTTGAAAAGTATCATTGATTTATATTAATTTATGATTTAAAAAGATACTCTATTCTAGGTTAATGGTTAAGAAAATTAAAATTGAGGAATTAAAATATTTGTTTAATTAAATTATGTGAGAATAGTAGATAAGAAATATTCTAAAGTTTATTTTAAGAGCCTAACTATATTAAAGCAATTTCAAAATTGATGAATAATTAGAGAAGGTATATATTTAAAGAAGATGTTGATTTTAGGAAGATAGATATAACAAAATTGATTAAGCCAAAAGAGAAAACTTTTAATTAAATTAAATATCAAATCAAAATATAAACACCCTTGATTAACAAGATGTATAATTAAATTTTAGACAATAAATTGAAGCTAAACAAATCTAATATAATAGTAATTTCTAATGCATTAGTTGGTCGATTATTTAAAAAAAAGTATTAGATTTAATTAGATTAGATATTCTCATTCTAAATGTTTTGATAAATTTATTTTAAGTGATTATTTGATAAAAAAACTTGATTTAATATGAAAATATTGTTTATAAGATCTTAGAGTGCTAAATTTGATTTATTAGATAATTTTAATATGATTTTTTAAGGATATTTAAAAATATTGTCTAAATGTTATGAATAAAAATACAATATTAG